AAGTATTAAGTAAATAACTTCCTTATTCAAATTTGAAGTTCAGTATCGTTTAATACACTATTGCTGAAATATTTGAAAGCCATCGTGTTAAACTATCCATCATTGTGTAAGCACAGTCTATACAAAGTCACACTGAAACCGCTTATTTTTAAAAATCGAAATGCTTTAATGAGTACGGCCATACTGCTTTTTAGCCTAAGAGCCCACGACGGCCAGACCTCATTGTGTCTGGCAAGATTTAAAAACCATTAGAACTGTCTATTTAGGTAATATTTTGTAATAGGCCCCCAAGTAATATAGTATATAAGATTCATCTTTTATACTAGGTATAAGGAATGTATAATTATAATTTGTTACAGTTTAGGGGTGTCTGGGAGGCGGTAGCAACTGTAAAAATTGTCCGGCAATAGATAACGCGATTCCTAAATCCTCAACAAAATACTTTACGGAATTTAAGGTTTTATTTTAAACACGTTTACCTGTTACCTGCCCTGGTTACCTGCCTTGGGCACTCACTAAAGCGCAGCATACAAAGATACATGTGTGTCAAAGACCAATGGAACGATATGATAGAGAAGAAAAGAATAGATAAAATAACGAATACACCTTTAAGAAGAACAACTAAGGTCGCAGATGTTACAATAAAGATAAAAAACTTAAGCTCATATGCTCCATATTGCACGAGGAACAGAAAAGTGGAGCAAGAAAGTACTAACCTGGTCCCCAAGGTACATAAAACGAAAAAGAGGAAGACAACTTAGAAGGTGGATAGACCTAATTAAGGAAACAGCAGGTGGTACATGGCAGAGAGTGGCACAGTGCAGAGAGGAATCGCCGGATTTGGAGAAGGCCAAAAAAGGGCAAACAGATAGCTAAAAAGAATGAGAATGAATTTATTATAAATATGAATTTGCTAAAGTGTAAAAGTATCTGAATAAAATGCTATTATTATAATTAGAATATCACCTGCCCAAATAACCATTATATAAACTTAACTAAACTAAACTATAAAATTAAGCTCTGGCCGTCGTAGGCTCTCGCCCTCGAGAGCCGGAAGTGCATAGAGATCCTCTACACCTCCCGCGATCCCGCTAAACCCAATTATCTAGTTTTGTTGAAGACGGAACACCATAAGCTACGTTTTTTCAAAATCGCGGGGATGGAATCCACTGACGCGCAAAGCTTTTTTTTCAAATATTTTAGACGCTGACGTATGGTATATTCGTATATAATACTTTATAGAACTAAGAAGTGCTTCGTGAGCTTCATATAGCGATAATGGGCTGCGGTAGCCACAAACGCGTTAAACTTGTCACATACATTATTCTATGCAAAAGTTTTCGTTAAAAAAATAATAAAAATTATGTTTTAAAGATGTAAATAGTTCTATAAATTAGGGAAACCTAAAAGTCATTTTAAATATTTTGGCTTCCAGCCGATATGAAAATTGAAAATAATACTTTGCAAAACCTTGTACTGGCTGTAGATTTATGGCTTTTAAGATTACCGTCGCCTACCTTGATTATAAATATCCAAAACACATATCATGAACAATTTTAGTTTTTAACATGTTAAAGAAAGATTTTTTGAAGTGAAACTTCTTTATCGAGGTTGGAAAAAAATTTAGTGTAACATTTTGTAGCGTCAATTTTTGGTGGCAGGAAGTCAACTTTGGCTTGGAATGAAACTTCTTTATCGACGTATGGGAGAAATTTTGTAGCAAATCGTCACGTTTTTCAATGATAGTAATAATTCTATTACAATTAATGAAATTCTATAATAATCTTCGTAGTAATAAGGTAAAATGAAATATTTGTATTCATGTCTATGATAATAAAAGCCTTTTGTTAAACTTTATCTAATTTAACGAATTTCTGTAAAGTTGCATATAGAAGATCATTTTTCGAAAAATAAGATCATAAAGAAGTTTCACTTCTTACGTGTGTACACCTAGTACACGCACAATTTTTTTTAAATAAAAGCCATATTATCCACCTAGGGGTCGTGTGTTCGAATTTCGGCCCGGCGCGGCGTGCAAATTACACTTGTACGTATCAGTGATGTGTGTCAGGTTCAGAATTCTGACAACCTACTTAAAATAAAATAAAATAAAAATACAGCAGAAATGTGTCTGCAATTGACTGATACGAAATTTGGTATCTTCCTTCTAGGAAAAAAGTTTACAGATTATTGTGCGATATCCGTAAAATTTTATCGACTTATGTCCGTAGTAATCGAAATATAATTTATTCTTTCTTTCTTTTTATGTTAATCAAATAAAAAAGAACAGTTGAACTTGAAAAGACGAGACCATTTTGTAATTTAACTTTAATTTGAATAATTGTGTTCTCGTAACTGACTCAATAGAAAGACGAAGTTTATCAAGTTTTTAAGCATATAATTACATTTTATAAAACTTCATCATCGACGCTTTTTCATTCAAGCAAAAGCGATCTTTATAATAACTCTGTTGGCGTGAAATTGTGTCACCTTGACTTTGACGTATTTTTGTTACAAATTCCATTTTCAAAAGCGTTTGAAGGTCTTGATTAGGAAAATTTATGATATTCGTATCGAGTATAGAGACGATAGTAATGTCATATAAGTACAACTATGAGTTCGACGAAGTCATAGTCTAACGTCAAATCACTATAGATATAATTTTACAAATAAAAATATTAGTTTACCGTTCAAAACTTTATAGAAAAGATTGATTGCATTTGCGTGAATTAATATGCATTTATACCTCACAGAACATAACGTCCTAATGAGACTGGGAATCGAATAATTATCAAACGTAGATTAAAGACAGTACCGTATTCGATAACGTAATTCCACTTATACACAATTTGTTTTTAGTTTTAAAAATTTGACGCTTATTTTGATACGAAAAATATTTCGAAAGTTTTCTTGCTCAAGACTTGTAATCATAGACTTTGCAGCTTGAAACAGTAAATATGCTCTTTCCATAAAAACATTTTAACGGTGGACTTTTTCTCACTTTTCTTAATTATTCCTAAATTACAATTTACATTACTTTATATTATACGCGTTTTGGGTGCTTTAGCTAAAGTTTAAATATGTTTACAAATCGCTTATTCGAACGGAAGCTAAATTGCTTTAAAAATACATCCGACTCCAAAATGCACTCAATGCTAATTGCTGCAAATGCATTTGACACTTCGATCGTCCATATTAGTTCTTCGACTCGATGAGATATGCTTGAACAAAAAAAAAAACAAACCGGCACTACAACCTTTTAAGTTATAGCCCTCAAATTTCAGTATCTGTTTTGGAATCATTTGTTTTTTCTAATAGGCAAGTAGGTGATCAGCCTTCTTTGCCTGACATGTGTCGTTGACTTCTTAGTTCTAAAGAGAGCCGATTAGCTGACGATGTTTTCCTTGTTCCGTGTCTAACGCACTCATAGACAGAAAATCCATTAGTGGACAGCTGGGGATCGAAGCTACGATCTCAGGATAAAGAGTCGCACGCTGCCACCCGGCCCACAATATTCTATTCTACTGCGCAATGTTTTAACACAAAAGAATACACGACGAATTGTAAACCGCCTTCTGTTAAAAGGTGTTCCACTGTCGCATGCTTCTCTAAATCAGTCGTAAACAAAACGGGCATGACATTGCGTTGCGGCGTCATTTAGATATTTACAGTGTAAACTCTTTATAACGAATTTCAAGGGTCCGAGCTGTTTCATTCGTTATAGAGAGGTGAATTAAGATAAATAAATGTATGGTTACTGGGTTAAACCAAATAAATTAAGCTATTTTTTACGTTATAGAGAGCGTTTCGGTGACTAATGAGACGAATGACGTTATAAAGAGTGTACAGATATGTTAATGAATATCTGAAATCTTTTTTGGAACATACACCATTCAGTCTGACGATTGACGACGTCATAACCATCTAACATATCCTAGCACAGTCGTAACTCGGTCATTTCAATTTTATAACGACGCGATAGCGAATACGTAGATATTACCCATGAAAAGGTCATTAAAATCACTTCAAGGCCGTTAGGTACGGATACCTAAAAATTGCAAATAAGCATATGAAGTTGTTGTATTTCACGTTTAAATAACAATTAACTCTAGTATTGTCTTATTGGATCTTACTGGATCCCAGGTGTTTGACAATTTTAGGTCAATAGAGAAGATGGCCTTAAATTGTCAAACCCAGGTATCCAATAATAACCAAATTAAAATATCAAAAAGAAAAACAATCCGCGAAAACAGAGGACACCGTGAGCCATTTTTGCCAAAACCCTCCATCTTTTAGTCGATACCAACTCCGGGGAAATAAATACAGATAATGCAACTTTCTCTACAGCTGTGATACTTTTTGACATCCAACACCTTTTGTCTTCAGTCACCGTGACCACGCACGCTGTAAAGCACGCGAAACGTCGGATAAATTTAAAATTATGTTAAATAATTGTAAATTTATAATAATACATAACTTTAATCCGGTTAAAAAGTTTTTTTTTAAACAATTAACTCTAATTCATAAATAATCGTTGTTATCCAGTGACTAAAGATGTTCCTTTGTTTGTATCCATATATACAATAAAAGTTTTATTTAAAAGTTATAAAAGTTTTAAAGTTATCATTTTAAATTTTTGCAATAATGCTACTACGTAGAATGATTATAAACCCCTCCTATCAAACCACTTCGTAATTTTAGTTCCTTTAGCACATCGGCTGGTTAGTTTTAAACCCCAAGATATTCGAAAATAAATTAAAAAATACACTACAATATAAGTCAGTACAAAGCGTTTAATATATATTTAAAACAAAATACAATACAATCAAGATATTACAACTTTTAAAATTATCAAATTTACAGTAATTTTTTTTACTTATTAAAATTATGATAGTTGCCGTTTTTCACGAAATAAATTTTAATTGCAGCGGCTACACCAACGACACTATTGCACAATTTTTCTAATTCGTTTAATGTTTTATTAATACTTTATTCTGAGTTTATACATTATGTTTTTTCTCGAGATCATTATGCTCCACAACACATGCGTATATGTATACGTGTAGTATATAAAAGGAAAAGTTAAAAAGAGTGAATAACATATCTTTCCACTTACTTGACGTATAACCGAAGTCATCTTCTTCTTCTTTATCTGCTTCCCTTTCTTCTTTGCTACGTTTTATGGCACCGGCTGAGGCACGATCAATCTACGAAGTTAAACTTCAGTAAATTTCCCTGATTTTATTTTCATCTTTATATTAAAAACACAATTTTTTAAAGTAATAATTAGAATTAAACTATAATGTCTCCACTCTGAGTGTAGCCTATAAGTTGGGCTTGATAAATTAAAAAATACGATTGACTAAATTTTACAGGTCCTACCTCAACTCCTTTATCGGAATATGTCCTTCCCTGTAGTTCTCTCGCGTCTTCTTCATCACTACTCTCTTCTGAGTCCGAATAAACGGTCTTTGGTTTATCCTCTGTTTCTTTCTCTTCTTCCTCATCTTCTTTTGTCACATCTCCATTCTGCTTTGGCGTATCCGAATCCGATGTTACTGTTATCTAGGTAAATTCATAAATATTTTATGTCATTAAATCTAATTTATAATATGTATTATCGTTTATACAGTACATAGTCAAAATATGTTGATACCTTGATATCGTGGTGTTGCTGCGGTGCAGGCGGTGCTGGCCGCTTTTTCATCGACGGCCTGGGTGCCACTGCAGGCGGAGAAGTGTCCGAGGAAGATGTATTCTAAGAATAAGAGAACGTTATGACTAAAATTCTCTAAACAAGGCAACAAACAAAAATTTTGTATGTTAAGCTGGTATATTTAAAGAACAATTCAAAAGAATATTCATTAGGACAGACACAATATATTTATCGTTGAAAATACTATTATATTAATCATAGTTATTGCTAATCATATTATGTCCAACAAATCTTATCATAAGTGCCGTAATACTAACCCATGTCATCAAACTCTGGACAGTCAGGGTGACGGTGGAGCCAGCTGCCTTGATCAGTTGCACGGCTCGCTCATGCTGTGCTGTTCTAACACAGACTCCATCCACTTCTAATATTCTATCACCAGCCTACATGACAAATATTTATTTCACTACCTTTGAGTTTTGTTTCTTTAGGTCTTCATTAAGACAACGAATGTGAATAAGAACGCTTTCTAAGAATAAAAAAAACATCGAAGATCTGACTTTTAGAAACAGTAATAAAAATATAATTACAGTTAAATAAAATAAATCAGTGGCGCTACAACCTTTTTAGGTATGGGCCTCAGATTTCTGTATCTGTTTCATGGTCATTTGTTAATCTAATAGGCAAGTAGGTGATCATCCTCCTGTGCCTGACGCATGCCGTCGACTTTTTGGGTCTAAGGCAAGCCGGTTTCCTCACGATGTTTTCCTTTACCGTTTGAGCGAATGTTAAATGCGCTCAATTTTAGTAAACCAAGACAATTTAACATGTAAAGAGGAATTGACATACTTTCAATTCGCCACACTTTCCAGCCGGGCTTCCTGGGACGACATTTTTGATGAAGATGCCGAATATTCCCTTATCATTTCCGTTTGCATCATCGCGCCCCGATATTATGTCAACCTGGGGCAAATGTGATTTTTGTTATTAATCAACACATTATCTTAAAAACTGAATTAGACACCTTAAAATTTATTTGAAAGATAAATGCTGAAATAAAATAAGTTTTGAATCTGACATTTTAAAAGGAATCTCGGGGAACCTCACAACTCATCTTTTTCGAATATCATCAATCTTCTTGTATAATACATTAAATTTTATTCACCGCAATGTTATCGATATGATGCTAAGAGTACTAGAGTACTAAGCACTTAGATTTTTTACGGACATTTTAAAAGGGGTATTTATACTTAAGTTTCTTAACTTGTGTTCGAAATTTAAATACCATTCTCTTCGCAATTTGAATTCTGGATTACACCAATGAACATACGATATTATAATGCACTGTTTATTATTTATGGTAAATAAATAAGTTGTGGATTAAGAATTGACAGTGGAGAATGATGTTCAATAGGCTTTTAGAATAGTATACTTATGTGGTACACAATATTATATAATACTGTTACGAAGACGGTTTGACTGAAATGTTTTTCGATTTTCCACAAGTTAGAGACGTTTTCAGAACGCAGTATGACAAGGACGGAGCAATGTGCGAAAGAGATAAATTTTACGTACGTTCTGGAATTGTGCAACCGCTAATCCAGTACCAATCCTGCCTAGAAAGTTTTTTCTAACTTTTTTTTAAACATTCTATAACCAATGTACATCAGGGAAAATGTGGGATTCTGTTCAAAGTAGTTCAGTTGTTTTGGAGTCCATGCAAAAATCAAATCCTCGTTATAATAATAGTGTTAATTACTTTAACGAAAATAGTTCTCTATGTTTTTTATATTTCTCATATTTAATGTAAGTTAATATAACGGCAACCTTCGAGTCTGCTAACCTCTATTTATTTTTAACTTCGTTACAATTAGTTAAGTTCTTGAATTGATACAATATTATAAAACTATCCAAGTATCATAGTAAACTATCACACAGTAACTATCAAAGCGTAGCGTGACCTAATTTCCTTAAATTTGCGAATAGAGATGGCCTTATATCGAAAATGATTTTGGCATCGTTATCCGAGATTATTTACGACGTCTTTACGTTCAGAAAAACAAACGTAGGAATATGGGCAGATTTATTACGGAGACATAAACTCTGGTTAATCGTGGATTTAGGCAATGGTTCACGCAATGTTGAGAGATATCTGTGTAACGAGGCTGCGATTTCTTTAAAAAATTGCTTCTCACAATTATAATTACGTTAATTCAAATTAAATAGGTACTCTTATCGCCCATCTATATGCGGGACGTAACTTTACATATATTATGTATAACCCCCTAAAACCTGGGTTTAAGATAGGTCAGTTTTCTTAGTAGTATCGCCTTAAAAATGCGTTGGTTTGAACGCACATTCAGTTGAAATTTTTACGCTTTGGAGACCCCTAAAACTTTGTTTGGTCCTCGAATACAAAAAAATCGGATGGAATCAATATCAAAAAGTTTAGCTTACCTTTCCTCCAACAATGCTGACCCCAAGTGGGGCCCCAGGACCCCTCTTCAAGGTTACCCGTCGTGGGGGGCCCCAGCGTTGCGCGGACGCGCCGTCGCGACGCTCAGGTGACACTGTCACCGTCATATTTGGTACAAAGCTGTAATAAACATATATTATTGGTTATGTGTAAGTTAATTAACGTAATAAACTTCAATATGTTTGGTTTAGTGCTAGTGGCAAACCTACAAACTAAGATAATTGGTTTTATTTGAATATATTTTTATGATAGTACTAATAGTTCGCAGTTAAAACACAAAAAACAATTGAAAGAACGATTGAATTAATTGTCGAAAAACATATTCTATAGACAAAAATGAGGATCGTTTTCTATTGTTAGGTACAGAATGAAGCGATTTAAATTGAAAACGTAAAACTTATTCAGAGGATTCAGCCAACCTTCCCGTAGAAACACAATGATGTACAGTCACGAACATAATTAAATACTTGCTGTATTTATTTTATTGTATATCACATGGGATTTATTTTATAAATTATATTATCTTTCCTACCAAACCATGCCCATTGCCCATATTAATCAAAACCATAATATCTTCTTACATGTATAGTGTTTTTATATTCTTTAAATGCAACAGTAATCATGGCATAAATAATAAGTTATAGGTGTTTATTGTTGTGTCTTTGTGCAACCATAATTTATGCATTGTCTTAGCATGTAGAGATAGACATAACATTTATTACTAACGAAACACACACACAGAAACACAAAATAATAATATTTGAAGTGTGTAATGTGTGTGTGTGTTGTGGTTGTAACTGGCCCTGCCTCAGCATTATGCTGTGGAGCGGACGTGTTCCACAGCGCTGGTCATTCTGCTAGAGACCACAACAGGTCGTTTGCGCCTGCGCAAAAAAAGGAAAATTATGTAATAATAATAATCGTAGAGAAAATAATAATAGTAAAAATTAACAGTGTAAGTAAAGAAGTCTTGGAAGATTTTCGGTAAAAGTAAATAAAGAAATAAGAATAATTGTTACTAAAACTACTATAAGAAATCGATAAATAATATTTAGCTTCTTTTCATTTGTGTATTCGTAATTAAATAATGATTGAGAAAGGACTGCAAAATTGTGTTCTTCGGTCATCTAGCCAAAAACTCGCAAACGAAACCTTTCGCTTTAACAGGTACTAGGTTGCAGCTGAGTTTCGGACGTCAAGGCAGAATACAAAATACCAGCCGTATCACCTCGACGTCCGTCGTTCTATAACTGAGCGTTTCTTAAGGCTGTCATAGCCCCGCACCACCATGCGTATGGGAACACGCACACGACTTAGGGTCCTTCAAGAAAAGAGCGTACCAATTCTTGAAAGGCCGGCAACGCACTTGCGAGCCTTCTGGCAATTTGAGTGTCCATGGGCGGCGGTATGACTTAACATCAGATGAGCCTCCTGCCCGTTTGCTTCCTATTACATAAAAAGTAGTAGGTATTAAATACATTATTGTGTTTACTAAAAGGATATCTAATATATAAAATTCTCGTGTCACAATGTTCGTTCCCATATTCGTCCGAAACGGCTCGACCGATTCTTATGAAATTTTTTATGCATATTCAAGAGGTCTGAGAATCGTCTACTGTTTATCTTTCAAACCCCTAAGTGATAAGGGGTGTCCACCGCAAAAAAAAAATTTTTTTTTTTTTTTTTTTTATGATACAGCATACAAAACTATATACAACCCCTTATTGTCACCCCTCTACAATCAACCCCTATTTTTTATTATTGTAGATAGTTATTTTATTGACAAAAAAATGTTTCCTAGAAATAATATACATGGCAAAACAAACGTTTGTCGGGTCAGCTAGTTTACTATAAAATAGTGCAGCTGAGTGTACAGGACGCGACAGTTCAATCACTTAACGCGATACAACCGAGTGAGCACACCCACAATGCATGTTTTCAACTACTGTCAATCTACGAAACATTTGAATTTTGGTCTTATCTATATCTAGATACACCAGGTTAACTGCACATGTCTGGGCCAAACCCAGTTCAGTTGCGATGTCAATACTCTGTCTGATAGCTCAATAGTTTTTAAGAGAATAACCACACGACTTTAAATTTAATCCAAAAAAGGGTTTTTTCTGCATCAATGTATTGGTGAGTCGTAGATTTCGTAATGTTTGAAGTCACTCAGTGTCTATATACGTATATATACCAAATTACTAGAAATTTTTATTCACAGGAATAGTCCTAGCATAATACCGTATCTCTACTACTTCTACACATCTATTTCTATTTACAGTCGAAGCCTAAATCACCTCAAAGACTTTTATTATTAGTTTACATAGAACAAGAGATTATTCATAATTTTAAGAAATTTGTATGCGCTAGCTTGGAGCTATGTAGTAAACATATTATCTTATATATTATATAAATAGTTTAGCAGAAGAGAAGCTATATGAATTGAATAGTTGAAAGCGATGAAGCCATCAGTTCCTCACCAAATGATAAAGACATAAAAAGCAGCTATTTGAAAGCATTCAATGTGTTATTTATAACGAAGATTATGGAACTATGTCAATAGATCGTAAAAACAATGAAAACATAGGAAAATTCCTAATTACAATCAGTATAATGGGCGTGTAATTCTATTGTACTAACAAGATAATTGTTTTACGAGAATGAGAAGAATGTGGTTGAAATCCAGAGAAATCCGGGTCGCATTTACTAGGTCATTAACTTGTATAGGAAATAAAAAAATAAAATGGAAATAATAGGAAATGTTCTGCACAGTCTTGCATAATCCAGAGGTGCTACAACAAATTATGGTTCGTGACCTTAGTTTCCTGCTGATGTTAATCATTTTTATTTGAATCACACACGTCATCGATTTTTGGATCTTAGATAAACCGATTTCCTCACAATAGCATACAACTAAGTCAATTTGCGCATACAAAGAAAAAGCCAATGGTTCCCAGCCAGAGATCGAGCGGATAGTGTTGAGGATCGCACTACAGTGGACAGTTGACACAATACAATTTTAAATGATGTTACATTTTTAGTTTCATTGTGATATTTTTGGAATAAAACAAATTCAGAATTTCCGTTTAATTAACAATACATCTAAACAGAGACCTATTATTATAATTTTAGTCAGCCTCAAAATGATACAAGCTTAATGTGTCTTAAACATAACAAAGATAAAATTGATTAAAAGTCAAAATTTAATAAATCTGTCCTAACAAAGTATCTATGCACAAATTAACAATTCCTATGAAACGAGCAGGTATTAACGCGCTCCGCTAAGCGGATAATTTTAACAGTTGGATGCTTCTATGAGTTTGATCTTACATTTCTATCTTTAATTTGTTTACTGAAAGTGTTAAGGTTAAATAATAAATAATATAGACAATTTATACAAAGACGCGTAAATTAAGAAATAGACGATTTTTTATAAAACGGTCTACATAAACGTGATTTAGTAAATTCTTTACGAAGTTAAATTTGGAGAGGGCTTGTGTGGGATCGTGATCAATGCCCGGTCGGAACACAATATATTTTTTGTAATTTGTTTTGGTGGGTTGTGAGGACCCAACCGAGTGGTTTGATAAAAATGAATTGAAATAAACCGTTAATTTAATGGCGTATGTCAGAGATTAAAGATTGTAAATGGGCCTTAGCAATTCTCTTGGTAGTCGTGTCTCTGATCTCTCTAAGTACAATGTTTAAAGCGACCATTAGAACAGGTCTTTTAGAGACGTTGGAACGGGCTAATATTAATTTAAATTCTTAGATGGTGCACATATTTTATGCGCTACAACCTTTTTAGGTCTGGGCCTCCGATTTCTGTATCTGTTTCATGAGCATTTGTCAATCTAATAGGCAAGTAGAAAGAAAATCCATTGGTACACAGCCGGGGATCGAACAAGCTTCGCTGAAGCTCCTAGGCCAAAACTACTCACCAAAAAAGATAACAATATATTTTATAGTCTGTTGCTATTAGGGTGACTATGTTTACTTTGTAAAGAATGAATCTTTTTATTTCTCAAATTAAGCTTGCTACGCGGGTTAAAAATATAAGAACGAAAATTTCTTTTATGTAAGCGGACATTATGTATGGAAACTTATTTCTACGTACAATGCTATAAAATAGAGCTCAGACAGTGAAAATGGCGCGAAAATGCTAATCTTAGAGGAAATGGAAAAGTGTGAATTGAAACTTTAAGAAAACCGGGTCAGAATGTAAATTCAAGATGCCAGGTGCTTCTTACGGCTTATTTACTTCAAGGTATATGAATAAAATAGCAAGTTAATACCCATCTAAATTATTGTGTATATCAGAACCATACTTCATTTTAGATGAATGTTAATTCACACATTTTATTTATAAATTGCTTTTTTATCGGGACAGAATATCGAGAAAAGGCTTTGTGGAAAAGCTTCTATTTACGGACACAATTTATGCATGAAAATGTAAAATTGTTTGCTGGTGACGGTAAGTTATATTTATTTAAGCTAGAAAACTATTTTTTTTATCTTTTCTAAATTTAAATCGAAAATATATGGCGATCACTATATTTACTGGGTTAGAATTGTTCTATAAAAATAAACGTAAGTAAAAATCAATGAGTAAGCTTGTTAGTAAGGTTTCAACGTAATGCGATCATTGTATTTGTGTACAAGATGTAATAGCTCAAGATATATTGGCTAAATATCTTAAGTATTGTAATAAAAGCATTTAAATCTACGTGATTGTATTCGATAAATATATCGAAAAGGTAGGCTGTTTAGTGTGCGGTAGTTACCAGTACATATTTAAATTTGGAATGTTTTTCCCGATGACACTATTAAGGGTTTCATTTAGTTACTGTTCACATTTTAGTTATTACAGATATTTAATATAACAAAATTAAACACAGGTGAAGTGCTTCTAACATAAGAAAACTTTATATTTGTTTTACGTTTGCGAAATAAACTTCAAAGACAAAGACGAATCTCAATCGAATATATTCTACTTCAGGTCACATAACCAAAATAAAGTTAAAATATCCCTAAATACCAAACACATAAACATAAAATTACACACAATTAATTATTTTAATTTTAAATAATTCGTAATTTAAATTGTGTATAAAAAATAAGACACAATTTACATTACGAAAATTTTAAAAATAAAACTCAATGTATGGGATTCCTGTTTCTAAAATGACTTACCGTTTTCCTTTATCGAATTAAAACAACACTACATTTCTTTGCAAGAGATTGTAAAAATCAAGGATTCTTGTCAAAAAATAAGACGTGAAAAGTGCACGAGTTGACAATTCATAATGGGGCAAAGAGGTCGGCTAACCATAATTCAATTATAGGCATTAGCAATTTTCTTTAGTGATGTTTAGTATCTTTGTCGATAAATTAATATAATTAAGAATTCATTCGAAAAGAGTTTATTTTATGAATTGGATATTTTTATTATTATTAATAGAGTTACTTCTACAAATTAATCGTTGGAAATGTGGAGAATTATCCTGTTGCATATTTTAGTACAAAGATCATTTAAATTTTTTGTTTATAAACTAATAAGCCTCTAATTTTTGCATTGTTATAATTTGCATTACATATTCAGTCAAAAAAACATACATTAAACAGTGGGAATTAGGTATCGATACTTTGTGGACATCACTACAAACGCCTCGCATCATAATATTATTTTATGTAATCTTTTAAAAAAATAACAGGCATAAGTTCGTCGACTCCCCAGCGTAAAATATACTAAAATTACAATTAAAATGCGGGTGAGATTAAAATTGCACAAGTATTGCCGGCACTTAATTGTTAAAACATAAAATGTTATATATTCGACTATTTTATGTTTTAATTTCAAACTATTTGTTATTAACATATAGAATGATTCAATACAGAATATTAATAATAAGGATAATTAATATTGCGATGTTTTAATAATATTGCTTTAAGCGATTTCGTTTTTTCGTTGGCAGTCGAGCAAATCAGTCGTAAAGCAGTCAGTGATTTGAGCGCGACCGCCGCTGCGAAAACCGCTGTGAGAGTTCGAAAAGTGAGTTACAGAATCGCAAGGCATCTTGTGTTTCAAGCAAAATATTCCTTAATCCTAGTACCGTTCCTAGGAAACTAGATGAAAAATCAGTTTAGTTATTATCTTTGATATTGTTCTTGGTTTAAGCGGGCGCTTTTCTAGGTTATTAGGTGTCTAATTTGAAGATATATAAACAGGGGTAGAGAGTTTTTAATTTTGGATATAAAATTATTTTTAATAATTTAATTTACACAGTCGCGTGCATTCACGGATCATGCAGATAAGTTAACGTTAATTTTAGTAAGTGGATGGGTCTCCAGAGCTTGGTTGAATGACATTTAATTTAGTCGAAGTGACTCTGGTCACATGGGAAAAATATATCGTTATTGCCAACCCTGAACTGATATGTAATTACAAAAAAATTGTATATCAAAGAACGTACGAAATTTCGAATAGAAGGATTTTACCTCTACGTAATATCACAATCAATGAAAAATACTAATAAAAACTAATCTAATCTTTAAAACTATTAAAACAAAAAAATCTGTGGCTCTACAACCTCTTTAGGTCTTGACCTCAGATTTCTGAATCTATTTCATGATCTTTTTTTAAATCATATAGGCAAGTAGGTGATCAGCCTCCAGTGCTTAACACACGCCGTCGACTTTTTGGGTCTAAGACATGTCGGTTTCCTCACGATGTTTTCCTTCACCGTTCGAGCAAATGTTAAAAACTATAAGTTGTTTAAAATAATAGTTAATATTATGGTGCATATGAACTTACCTAGGTCTTCGAGAAGGCACTAGAAATTTAAAAGGCCCAGCTGATTTCCGCCTTCCTCGTTCACCAGGTACCATCAACAGTCCATTAGTGTCTGAATCAGATCCTGGACTATCTATGTTTAGCAAACCCGGAGCAGACATCCGTCTATACATTACTTTAGGAGATTCCCCCATATCTCTAATAACCTCACAATATTTACAAGCGCTTGCCTCTTCAATATACGCTTTTGTTATAGCATACGCATAACTTTCCAAGAAGCACTTATGGCATCCAGGCACATACGTTTCTACATCTGTCGATTCCTCGCTTGGTTCTTGTTTCTTTAATTTCAGCTTCTTTTCCAAAATTCCTTTATTTTTCTCTAATAAAGACGTTTGCTTTTTCTGTGATTTTCTCTCTTCTTCCTCCCGCTTCTTTCTCTTTATTTCTTTCAAACATTCATCCTGATCGTTGTAATACTCAATACATCGACGCTCATTCTTGGACGGCTTTGTAGGGCTCTTCTTCTTTTTTCTCTGGCATATATTAACGTTAAGAGGTTCTATTCGTAATGATTGCATTTGTTTTATGATATGTTCTTCCACATATGGATAAGACGACACATCCTCTTTGCTGTTTGTTTCGAAATGATCGTCATTACTCATAGCACAGGTATCGTTGTCTTTGCTAATAGCCATTTGAATTTGTTTATCACACTCTTTGATCTCGCGATCTCCGTTTATTTTATGGCCGTTTTTTGTGAAACACTTTATAGACGTTGAATCATCGTCAAGACATGTCTCATAACCGTCGATTTCATGATCGATGTATAGCAATGAATTACGATCTTCCTGGACGGAGATTTTTGTATCGTTAAAACTCAAAGTATCATCATTAGGGGAATTAAGGCATTCTTTCCAGCTTTCGTCGTTATTTTTTTCTTTATCACACTCACTCCAATATTTTTCGTAGCTTATTCTTTCCAAGCCCGTTGGTGTAACAGCAAAAACCATTTCATCAGATGTTGATATATCTTTACTTTGCTGTTTAAGTAGCATTTTCTCCCCATTAATTTCGTTTCTATCAGCGGATTTACTACGAATATTAAGCTCTCTGGGGGCAGTAACTACTTCGTCTTCAATAATAGTCATATCATCAGGGTCATCTAAAGATTCATCTGATTTGGATGTTTTCAACTCAACAATCCCGTTAACTTTTTCTTTGCTTTCCTTATTTTCAATAGAAATTATAAGCCTATCATTTATGATTTCTTTATTATTAGAATCCGTACTTAAATCAACTAAGGCAGACAATTCTTCATCTTTGATCGAAGTTTCTTCTGGTTCTAAACATATTTGTACTACTTCTAGCCCTTCGCCATATTCCTGCAAACATTCGTGGAAGGAATCCATTCCAGTATGGTCATCGGATGCTAAAGAATTGATGCACTCCTGCCAGAAGAAATTAAATACATATCAAGATTATTTTCCATAAAATACTAGAAATAGAGTGGAAACTAATAAAATAGGGATAGAACGGAACAATACTATTAAGATTGAATAAAACAAATATCGTCTGAATAAATTAGATTTTCTACCTATGCAGGCTGCAAAGATCTTTTGTATACTTCATAAAATATTATGCCCTCCACGGCGCTTGGAGAAAAAAGGGGACCCTAAAATAACGAAATTATGACAGCTTATATAATAACAAAATAAAACAATTTATTTTAAAACATTTATTTTAACACCCAACTATATAACATTAACTTTAATAGCATCGCTTTTTTTACAATATTAGATTTTTTCGATGAGTTAGCATATTAAAAATTATATCTTTAAGATGGGGCATTTAAAATATATGCGTTGTTACAACGGGTATCCTCCTTAGCTTATCATAAATATATAAACACTTAGAAAAACATATTAAAAATATCACACTTTTACCATTCATCCATTGCAAACTTCGAACAACGCCTTTAAAAAAAAATATGCTAAAAAACATGTGCACTACACATATAACTTTTCCATTTAGATAAACTACTATTTAAAATATCATTATAATATAATACTTAAATCATTCATGTTTATTTCATGACGAACTATGATATGTTTTGTAAGCTTCCCAGCGTTAAAGTACCTAATCATTCGATACTAATATTTATACGAATGTGTGAGAATAAAAAGTAGATACCTATATTGAAAGACTAGAATCGAAATACCTTAATTGTTGTTAAAGACATTAAACAACAAATTATGAAGGTTACATACGTAGCGTCCAACGGGATAATAAATCCGAACTTCAACCCAAGTAGGTATTTAACATGAAATCGTGCAATGTTTGGCCGGAAGCATTCGAAAGGATCACGAGGTCCCCTACAATGTGATTGCATTGGTCCTAACATGGTTTTATTTATAAGTTCTATTACAATATGCATGCTTAAGAATAGAAGAAAATATGACGTTACATATTTTACACAAATACACATAAATTATAAAATTACATCGCAAGGAAAAACATATAAAAGCAATCAACAAAAATATAGGTAAAACAGAATAGTATATTTCATTACAAGTGCGGAAAGCCTGTCATTGCAAAGAGTTTCGACAAATGTCTACCCGAGCCGAGGCGCAGCCGATGGTGAGGGTTGACAGTCGAAACAAGTTACAACTATTTTTAATACAGTTGCGAAAAAAATATGCAATTTAATAAAATAATAAAAAAACAATAAACTCAACTCACTAATCATTTATTTCTTATACAAATTATTGTTCACATATACATTGGTACAGTTTTTTATACTAACTGGAGAAGTTTTAGGTTGCATATTTATTTACTGTTTGAGATAAACTATTATTTATTTCGTATGATTATTCTTGTATATTTAATATAACAAACAACTAAACGCGCAAAGAACATTTGGAAAATGGCGCCCACCGTAAAAAAATATAAGCAGATATTTTTTTTTTCTTCACCCATTCTGGGTAGGCAAAGGGAACTATGCCCATACAGCCAAGTCTTCAGTACAATTTTTTATTGATATGAAATGAAATTTAATGAGATGAAATGAAATCTAACCTAACTCATTGAATCAAATCATTAAATCTTATATTGAAATAAAGCAGTAGCTTCTTTTTAGAAATATTTGCATGAATCATGAAAAAATCTATGATTTTTTTTAGTAAAAACTTCGTGGTTGGTTTTTTCTTTTTAATAGACATTATTTTGACAGTTGGGAAAGAAAACGCACTAGTTCGGAAAAGGTAAAAAAAAAAGCACGAGTGTGTAATAGCCCACATCCCGAACGCTATACGTACCTGCAATACGCCACTTTTTGAGCAACTGTATTAAAAAAAAATTAACGCATATTTTAACCAAACCTAAAAAAACCTAAAACCTCATGAGTAAATCAGGCTCGGAGTAGCAAAGGACTGGGTTCTGACGTACGTCGAGGCTCTTATCTCTACCGCAGGGTGCGTAAACGTTATCACCGCCACTCCGCTATCCACAAGGTGTACCCGATGTACAATAATGAAAGTATTATATTATTTCATATCACACATTTTGCGTAGTTGAATATCTACTTATTGGTAGCTATCTTTTTATTCTTACATCATACGTTACAACAATAAAATTAATTTAACTCTAGATAAATTGACATTTAATATAAGTGTTATTGTTAACATTAAATATCGTGAATTATATATTTTAAATTCCTTATCAAACTCCTTTCTTATTACTTGTTAAAGTCCATACACTGAATTGACAAACATCACAATTATAATTTCAGCTAGGCCTTTTTGGACAGAAATATTCTTATGGCATATCACATCTTGAAAATAATTTAAAAACAATCTGATCTTTATATTTATTTTTGTAATCCTTGTTTCTTAGTTTATATAAGCTACGATTCTTGAAACGCTTCAGGCTACAAGAGAAATTTGGACATTATAGTTTTGTGTGAGAAGATATACGACCAATACGAAAAGTCAAATAGTTAAGGTAATGGAATAGTGTACGAGCCAAGTATACATTCTGCTCTCACTCAGGCTTTCATAGTTTTATAAGCGTGGCGATTACCTAAATCGTAACGCCCCGAGAGTATAGTCAGACGCAGGCAGGAAGAGATTCTTCAACATTTTATAAGCATTGCATTTCAATTCATAACATTAATTAGTATTTATTCTTTTGTTGTACGTCAGCGGTTAATATAAAGCCAAAATAATATCCTCTATCATTCCGTTGACCCAGGAATTTACACGTACATTTTAGTAACACCTTCTTTTTCTGGAAAATCTATTGCTGACACTGACTGACACTTGAACACAAGGTTCGAAAAACATAGATAAAGTAAACTTATAGCCGTCATTTCATACTTGTTAAAACTCTCGAAAAAGCTGTACTATTATATATATTATAAAACTTTTACGTTTATCTAATTCTTTAAATTAAAGTCTATATATTATATAACAAAAATCTAGCTTAGTCTTAGCTACACAACTATTACGAAGAATATACTCAAAGAATTCGTACCTATACATTAATATTTTTTATATTGTTAGGTCAAAATGCGTTTGTGACAGAGATGTATCGATCTAAGCATCTAATACTACGAGTGAGAAGCAATAGCTAGGAAAAGTGTTTTCATTCTACCACAGATGAATAATAATAATTATACTTCATTATATTATAATCTAATTTTCTTCGCATATTCTGCGACTCAATGGCATGCACATTTGTCTTACATAACATAATACATAAATAATTCGGTACAATTTTGAATTACGTACATTATCACATAATTGTTTTACTACATTTTTATTATTATTTAACACATTACTATTATTAAATTATCAAAAAAACCTAAAATAATATATTAGGCGATGTTTAACGGCTCTTAGTGAGATACATACATACAAAAAGTTTTCTTTCTAAATAATTCTAATTATCTTTAGACAACATCACCTGATGTCATTTTGACGGAGTTAGACATTGCTTGGACTTTCTGCCCATATCTACTTCGACAGTTGTCCATTCCCATTGATGTAAATGGAACACCTAATATAATTAACTACTTTAAAGCCTAAAGATTATGTAAATTAGACCATTGAGATCAAAAAGGTACGCATAATTCTCTACACATTTATAAACACATAGATAATCGCAAGTAGGAAAGACGTGAAAAAACGTTACATAGTATAGCTTTTCAACCGATATAAAAAAAACGGAACCTCTTTGTTATAGACATAAAAACAATAGCAATTATTTTATTATCAATCTAAGTATTACAACTGTATGTGACAAAGGCGTGTAAAAGCTATATTTTGTCTCGCTATGTGATACAAGAGTGATAAGGACATAACATTGAATTTTAGAGGTTAGTAGTAATACTTAGATAGATGTTGCGCGTTGTGGCGCCTACAAGGGAAGTTTTAAGTATTAACTCACGTAACAGACTACGCACAGACTTTATTACATAATAGTTTATTAAGATTTATTATATGTCTACGGAATAGGCTTTTAGTCTGTTTTTTGAACACTTTATCTCCTCTTATCCTTCAGATTTTGAAGCAATGTATATTGTTTCGGTAATTTGTGCAATTAACACTTTAAACTTTACATTACAATTGACTGTGTAAACCACTTCACGAGCTATATAGAAAGATCTCTTTGAAAAGAAAACTCGGCTATCACCACTCTTTGAACATATTTCCATAGACAATTAAATAACAGTCAGAGTAATTTCAATTATTTTGATTAGTCACTACCGGGCTTTTTGCCTAAAGAGTTGAAATCAAAAACTATCTGTGATAAAGAACAAAAAGCACTCAAAGAAATAGTTTCCTATTAAACATTTTAAAACGTGTTCTAAATTTAAATTTTCATAACCTAGACTGTGTAGTCTTGCTCTTCGAAATCTACTTTCTTACGTCTTCTTCCCTATATTAGTAAAAATTAGGACAGTTCAGTTTTTAGAAAGGCTATCTCTTCAAACACTAAAAGAACCATGTCTAAATGGGGCTTTGTCGTTACATGACATTGACGCGTTTTCCAGTATAGCACGCCGTTTTTTTCCATTAAGACTGCAGTTTCCGCATATAGTGATTGGGTTCAATGGCCTTTTGACAGTGCAGTTGAAGCTCCATTATGTCTTGATGTAGTGACATTATTAGGCGAAAAACTTTCGTCAAGTACTCCAAACGCTGAAAATAAAAGCATAATATTTTCTAAATGTTACGTTTAATATTTAAGAATAGCAATCAAGCATATACACGAAAATAGAGTAATAATATTAAACTAGTCGCCAGTTGCCCTACGCCTATGCCACTGTAGGAACGACACTATACCCTTGCCTTTTGGTTTATATAGAAACAAGACACCGCTACAACAATGTTCCTGCTGTCAATCGTAATCAGTTATTTTTACCCATAAATGTGTTACTATACTCGTAAGTAGGTAATTCTGTTATGTATTTTGATCTACCAATTTGTTTTGAGGCTTTTATCAGTTTTGTTGATGTAACATTTAATTATTCAAGGGCTGATTTCTTTTCTAAGCAAAATAAAATGCTATATATAAAATATATAGTTTACGAGTTACGTGTTTTTGAAAACGTACATTCTATAGGATGCTCCTTCTGTTTAGTGTCAAATCCGCCCAACGAGCGTTTCTTAAGCTCTTAAGCTTTACATACAAAATACTATTCTACTACGTATTCTTTATGCTACGGATACTGGCCTTAATCTAGGTCATGCATTTGTACACTAAAGGGAAACACAAAAAATTAAAGTAAACCATCTTAGAGCGGTAATTTAGTCCCTTTATTGTACAATTAGTTTTATTAATGAAAATGCATGCAAATTGAGAAATACTGCTCTAAGCGTTAGTAAGCTTAAATATAATGTAACTTACGTTTCCCTTGAGTGTACAAATTAACACTTATCACTTAAATAAACACACTCCCTTTGTTTTACCGACCTCAAAGAATAAAATAAATAATTATTCAAATCAGCCGTACTCAGAGTCGTTTCGGAAATCAACATATGCCAAAAGTAAAGATAAAAAAACATTAACGTCAATTTATGTCAAAAAAATTGTTTATTTTTAATAAACATTTGAAAATAAATAAGCTCAGGAATCTATTAAGATCGTTCTTGTTCCGTTTTAGTGTTTAGATATTTATAATTAATCTATAATTTAAAATACATCAATAGACGACTCAGGGTACGGCGGCTGTTATAAACTACTTTTGAAGTCAGTATAAAGACAGTTCTCTTAAAATTGTGAAGTTTTCTTTAAAGTCCCGTTATTAACCAATAGGGAACATATATTTTATCAATTATTTATATATTTCTGTGATCCGATACTGTAACTCGTTATATGTCAATTAGATATATGCAGTTTGAAAATTTAAGTATTTCTCTATAAGACAAGTGACAAATGAAAAGTGTCTGTCATACAGGCATTAATAAATTCCTCTTAACAATGTCCCGTCTCGGTCACATAACGATTGTAATTTCTTGACGCTTGGGTTTTCCACTCTATCGCTCGGCCGATGCGATATTATGTAATAAACTTTTAATTTTATAATTACATCTAAGGAGTGATAGTATAAGAAACGCGTAATCAGAGAAACACTTTATTAATAGTGAACCGTTAATAAAGGTATAGTGCGATAATTATGCTTTTTTCAATACGTTTTAACGATCAACTTAAAAGTTTGTTGTAAAGTTACTATATTATATATCTCTCTGTTAATTCCTTTATATAAGATATTAATATATATATTAAAAGAAACGTAATTACCTGGCTATTTTGAAAGCTAGACCCATTCGCTTTGTCGCCACCGACTACTGTGCTACAGGGTAGAGGCTTCGATACCCCTATTGTTACGAGTCCTGTAAATAAATTTATTATTAAATTTAAAGAATATTCATAACCACAATTTCGTTTAATATGAGGTCTACGGAGAATGCACTGAAGCAAAAATATTTTTATAGACTATATTAGGATTAAGAAATTTAGATTTTTTACATACAATACACATATTATATAATATATTTAAATGATTATTGGTTTATGTAGCTATGTTTCGCAATTTTCACACTTCATCATGCCTTTAAATTTTTCTACCTCCTGTTCCAAACCAAAATATGGTTGCCAAATCGGTAAGCGATACGCACGACTGCTGCTACGAAGTCTTATGTTTGATCTTCTTTTAATATGAAGAATAATAGAAATAACTTAAATATAATTAATATAGGTTAAGAAATACTTACTGTTATACATTTGTGTTTTACAACAACGTTATTCACTATTATATTACTACGTTACAATCTTTTAATGTCTATACACAGACTGCAAATGTGTTGATACTAAAATTAAGTTTCTTATCAAATAACAATTATGTACATCTGTATAACTGCTGATCTTTGTGTCATAAAATTAAAGATAAGATAGATTCTTTTAATTTCCTACAGTTGTTTACTTTAAAAATATCCGTTTTAAAACAATTTTAGGTAAATTAATTGATATGGTCACACACAAAAACACTGTCTTAAAAATAGTTGTCACTTGCTTTTGTTAATTTGATAGAATTATGAATATAATAATAATATTATTTACATATCACACATAAACCTTGGCTTTCTCGCTAAGAATGACTTGTGTAAGGGTAGCTCTTTTCGAGGTTCTAACTATAAGTTGTTAGTTAAAAAATCGTTTGTTTTATGATTACCTTTAGGCGCGCTTTTAATGGCTGCCACGGCAACCGCCAATGGCGCCCGGGATATATCCTGGCCATTGACAGAGATCAGCCTGTCTCCGGGTGAGAGTCTGCCGTCCAGCGCAGCTGCCCCACCACTCACTACAGACCGGACCACTATAACCGAACTACTAGGTTCTGAAGGATCCTGGAAATTAAATCAATATACTTGCTTAATTTTTTATCATGAATTTAACAAAAACATCGAACATCTCTACAGATTAGAAAAAATCAAAAAAACAATTTATTAGTTTCACTTTATTCGTTTTACAGTTCAGCGACTTTACTCTGCAACTTCCAATAGCGAAAGCGATACCGATCCCGACGTTTTTGTATTTCGATGTAGTTCTCTCGAAATCCGTAGCGTTTATCTGTACCATGGGATCGCGCGGACCAAAAACTCTTTATTAACATTGGAAACCCGAAACGCTATAGGTAGGTAATATGGCTATTGGAAGTTACAGCGTAAGAACCTGTGTGTCTTTTAATCATATCATAATTCTAAAGAGAAGGATTGACTTACTATATAGAAACAATTAATTCCCAAGAACGTAGAATTCCCAAGCTATACATATGAAGCTAACTATAAAACTATGGAGGATTTAAAACATGAAGGTTAACTTACCAAGTAGTCGAGTATGGAGAAACCGAGACCCCGGTCTTCCTTATACAGTTGTATATAGTCAATGTGATCACTCCACATTGCTAACCAGCTCAGGGGCTCCAGCGAACGAGACCTGTTCCGTTCCAATTCGTCCGAACAAAACTCTGTAAGAAGAAGTATATTTTAACTTGGTCAAAATTGTTTACGTAAATAAATTGCTGTTGATTTAGACGTTTTGTCCGAATTTATCATTTCGAGTATGTCGCATTCATGATTTCATAGGACTTTCGAAAAATTTACAATAATTATAGGCAAACGGAATTTCAGAAACGGGAATCAATAAGGTAATCATAATTTAATTTGGGTTTACCAAATTGCAAAAAGCAGATTTTTACCATCATGATCATGACCAGCTGATAACACGGTCGCCGCGCTGCATAAAGACGCAACTGAACTTTCTGATTTGGCCTTTATCAGTCTTTGAGGTGGAGCGAGCAGGTCTTGAAGACTGCCTCCTAGGACTCCACTCTGGAATTTAAGATGCACACATGTCTTAAATATTCCTCTTCTATAGATTTGCAGGGAACTGACAAAAAAACGAAAGACGATAGCTATGTAATAGTATTTTCGATATCAAACATAGAAGATGGAAAATACTTTAATATCAATTATATTTTATACTAATTTTTTTATTTTATCGTCAATACTAAAATGATTTATCGATTTATAATATACGTAATTTGTTTCGGATGACATACAGTATCACTAAAACTATAGCTTTGCAATGTGGACATCTCTCTTCTTGGACTCCTTTTCTATTAATTTTAGCCTAACTAAAAGATGGCCAAGGTGTATAAGCAACATACCCTTGCTAAACTAGTTTCAATTCCATTAGCTTGTTCGCTACGTTTACGCACAATGACAAGTAATACGGGTGACGTCACAGCCCTTAATCTCGTAACCACCTCTACGTGATGTGCTCCTAGTACACGCCAGCCGTTTACCTACAATACATTTGAGAAAATTATGTTTTATGAATAAATTAAAATATATTTATTCATTTTTGACATATGCAATATATAGACGTAATCCTAGTTAATACGCGTCGAACGAAAAAACAACGAAACAATCATCTATCTACTCGTAATTGTAAATTTAAACCATACTCGAATCCACTAGACACGAAAAATTTTATCAATACCAGTCCGATATGAACGAATGTAATTAGAAAAACATACACAGAAGATTTATATATAAAGATGTGTATTTTTTTAAAGTCCTTTTCGTTTTTAAAAACGTTTCTTGGTAATTTTTGTTTCAACTCCTTTCTACACTGTAGATAGATGTACCATGAGTTTTACTAGATATAAGATTTGAGATGGTTAATTTAAAATGCTATCTCAGAGTCATACTAAGCGCTGAGTCAGAAATCTAAACTCTAAATGGTCAAGTAAATATCTCGTTTGTGGTTTGCCAACATGTTTTAATTTAGACGTACCTCCAACAATTCGTCTCCAACTTGATAAATCCCTAATTTAGCGACAGGCCCGTTGGGAGCTATCGCCCTAATGTAATGCCTCGCCTGGACTTCCTTGCCTCCTACCACTCGAACTGTACCCTCCAGGGAAATACCTAGGCCACTATCCTTTCCTTTTATTATTGAACCAACCTAGAATATAGATATTCAAAATTAAGCTATGATCAGCAAAATATTTCTTTGGTTTGTGTTTTGTGTCTCAGGTTTCATACAGACATCATTGTAAAAACATCGTCTGTGCCTTCCGAGCAAAGTAATTAATAATTCGTGTTATTTACAAACTACGAACTAAAGGTCCAATCTTTATAAAGCCGTCAACAGACACCCAAAATTTCTGATATTGTCCTTGCGCAACGGTTTCACATATACTATCTCGAACTCATACATCATTAAGCTATTAACTAGTAAACTTGACTTACAATAACGTCATACTGGTACTGATTACCAGGCCAGTCAGGTTCATCCTTCAGCACATCCCGCCACTTGTCCTGTATCCTCCTAATCTCTCTTTCAGATATATCGTCGTCTCTTCCTATCACTATTTCCGCTTCCTCCGAAGGAGAGGTTGGCGAAGGGAGATGTGGTTGTATATCAGACTCTGGTTCCACTTCTATCACCGTTGATTCGTCGTACTGAAAAAGTATATAAATATTTTTTTCTTTTGTGTGATAAAGTAATAACCGCCGCCCATAGACACCAGCAACGCCGGTGGCTTTCAGGCAATGGTATTCTCTTTTCTTGATATTTACAGTATTGGCTACAAATGGAATATAAAGAATAACCTCTTTTAGTGCTTATGATTCACAGGTTAAATGAAATTTCGATTCCAAAACTCCATTATTGGAATCAATTTTTGAATTAATTAAATTAATCAAAACAACAAAAAAATCTGCTTACCACACTAAAACTATATTTGGCAAGGGATGTAACCGACGGACTAGGGGGAGGTATGGGAGACCGTCTGCCGTCTTGTGCAGCTAACGCTTTCTGGAGCCTCTCAAACCCCGCTCCACGAAGATACCTTAATACGAGAAAAAACATTCATCAACAAAATTTTGTAGTTTAAAATATTTTTAAGCAAGGACGTGTTACGCGTAACTCAACATGAAATATATATAATAGATATATATATATATATATATAAGTACATTAATAGTACGCTGTTCGTTTTGCTACGTCATATCCTCCATTTGATTAGATGGTTGCCACCTCAAATATCCGTAGAATGACCTATTTTATTAAAATATCCGACTACTTCCACGCTATGCCTATTAGCCTCAAGCCCCAAACTTCCTCGGACGTCCTTTCTAACAACGCTAAGAAGAGCATTTACGCGAAAATAAGTACGGTTGTTATTTTTGTATTACAAACTTACATATAATTCTATTGTCATGTTAGGATGCTAGATTGTGTGTGTGTGGATTTTTTGGAGAAGAAAAGTATATGTTCGTGATATAAGATAAAACAAATATATTTTTGCCGTGCCAGGCGAGAGTGCAGTGCAATACAAATAATAATTTTGTACATTTACTATGATTTTAATTGATAGGCGAAGCCTACGAAAGGTAACGATAATTCATATTTTTAGTTAAATGTTTAGTGTTAAATTTCATTAATAATCTTATAACATGTTTATTAACGTCCGAACCCAATAACCTATGTCAATCCATAATCCACCATCTGAGATAGTAATCTTAATCCAAATGTTGTAACAAGTGTGCCAATAACCAATCGACGGATTGTAATAGCCATCTGTCGATACAACCTATCCATGGGAGGTCGTTTCGGTGTCTGTGGAATAGACCTTTGTATGAAAATGACAGTTGACGAAAGCTCAATTTCAACAGTTAATTATTTTAACAGATTTTAAAATGCACCAGTCTTAAACAGTTTTTTTATTTAAAAAAACTGTTTGTTATGTTTTAAACATACACATGTATATTTTAATGTTATTTGTACGGTTTTATTTACTTTATTTGGTTTACATTGATTATCAAATATGAGTGAAAACTCGGTAAAATGGAACTACAAAGAGCATTTTATCCGTCGCCAAAAATGGATTGTCTTCGTAGGTTTTGGTTTTTGGGATGCAGATAGGAGATCGATCGACTGTCACGGTCTGATGTCAGATTAATTTCAATCTGAGATTGTGGATTAATTATTGGGTTCGGGCGTAAGTGACTTAGCTGACCTAAAATGTACATACTTGAAAATACTTATCCTAAAAGTGACGGAATGTGTTTACAATTGCCCGAAGCAAAGCTGTAAAATGTCCAATACCCGTTTTAGCATCAATGAATGTAAATTTAAACCAAATAACGTTCCAAAATTGAACACTGCATTCATCATGGATTACACTAGCTAGCGTAACTATTTTATCTGTTTACAATACTTAAAAGTGTTTGTGAAAGTGAATTAAAAGTAATTTCTTTTACCACATAAATATAAGATAAAACACAATTTAAAGAATACGAAATAAGCAGTACTGATCACAACGAGCTGCTTCATCTAATAGCAGCCGTACTCAGAGTCAGACATTTAGGAAATGAAGGTGCTTCACGGACCTTTGCTTCCTTTACAAAATCTAGTAGGGCATTAAAACTAGTACCTGAATGTCATCGTTCTTTAGTTTCTTATAACTATTTATATACCAATTATAATTTATTTACAAAAAACACAATCCTGTCCTAACAGGTGATCTTGAATAAACAAGAATGCATAACCAATGAAAAGAATCACAGACGAAATAAAAAAAAAACGTTAGAAATTAATTAGACAAAACAAACTAAAGAATTACATAATGAAAAAATTAACTAATTATTATAGGCTCTAACAAATAGTAAAACGTTTCTCAGTTCACTCAACGGACAATAAAGAAGGTCCGTTAACCTATGTAATTCGTTGACTAAAGTAATATAGTGTTATTGTATTGATGACTCTGTATAAAAAACATCCCCAGGCATTTGAATATAGTAATACTAGCCGTTTCCCGTCCGCTTTGCTGGGCGAATTAAAATAGGAAATAAATAAAATTTTATGTTTCATTATTATTATTTTTTTATATTTTTATTATTCTTCTTTTTAACTTCCCGCTAAGAAAATTTAAAATTTTCGAGTTTTTAACAGATGTTGACGTTTTGAGGTTCTAGGAAGCCTCCCCGAATGTTTCCACTTTCCGCGGTGAAGTCCGTATGTATAAACTTTCATAAAAGTAAAACAGCAATAAAAAAATGAAGGAACGAATTTTTTTTTTAAATTTAAAAAATAAATAGCCATAAACCATCTAGGAAAGATTTCGCATCGAATGGCAGTAGTTTCATGTCGATACGATCAGTGGTTTAGGCGTGAAGGAGCCTCAAACGAAGACCATTTTTCTTATATATATATACTAGCCGTTTCGCGCCCGCTTTGCTGGACGAATTAAAATAAATTTTATGTTTCATTATTTTATTTTTTTTCATATTTTTATTATTCTTCTTTAACTTCCCGCTAAGAAAATTGAAATATTTCGAAAATCGAGTTTTTAACAGATGTTGACGTTTAGAGGTTCTAGGAAGCCTCCCCGAATGTTTCCGCGGTGAAGTCCGTATGGATAAATTTTCATAAAAGTAAAACAGCAATAAAAAAATGAAGGAACGTTGGAATTTAATAAATAAATAGCCATAAACCATTTTTCTTTTATATATATAGATATATATAGATAAAGATTTTGTTTGCGTCTAATCGAACTTTACACTTGTAATAAACAGTCACATTCGTTATTCAGCAACCGGGTGTATAATTATTAATTAAGGTTTAATAATTAATTATTATTATACGTTGTTTGATAGTCGTTAGAAGACGACATCAAAAAGCAGTGAAATGTTACCTCAAGGCCTTCAATTTAACGTTGGGGCCTTTGGCGTCTCGCAACAAAGCGACGGCGCGGTGATTCGTAACGCCATGCAACGACACTCCATCCACCTGTAACAGACTTAATTACAGATACGTACTTTGATATCTAGGGGCCCCAATTACATTAAAAGTTACTATCATTTTACGACGAAAGTTAAGAAGTTCCTCCTAAGGAAACTGATGATTGTCGTAATTGTTTTATAATCCTTAATTATATTTTATACTTATAAAATTTTATCCTATTCAAATGTTCTCACGTAATATAGATGTATGACAAGAACATTTATGCTAAATAGAAATATGCTACATACCAATGGCACTACAACCTTTTAGGTCTGGGCCTCAGATTTCTGTATCTATTCCGTGTTTACTCCTAATAGGTAAACAGGTAACCTTTTGTGCCTGACACACACCGTCGACTTTTTGGGTCTAAGGCTTAGGATGTTTTCCTTCACTGTACGAGAGAGTGAGAAAATGCGCACATAGACAGAAAGTCCATTGGTGCACAGCCGAACCGACGAGTCCATGTATGAGATACGCAAGTTAAAACTAGGCCAACACTGCTCAAATAGAAATCACAAACAAAAAAGTATTAACAAAATATCTATGCAGCCAGATAAACATAAGTATTGACAAAAATATTGGCTATTAAATCCATCCCACACGTTGGGTTCAGATAAATTGCCTTCAGCTTTCACTTTATTTATTTTATGGTACTGGCCGGGGCCTTAACTTTAGAGAAAAAAAGGCCCCCTCAGCGCCGTACCTGAAATTATCTTGAACAATACCAAGTGGCGCGCTAACGACGCAGTTTAGTGAATAACTTTAAAAAACAAAGCAAGATTTTTCAGCCTGGCTTTTGTTTAAAAATGGCATAATTTTAAATGAATTCTTTATGCCGTAGTTTAAACTGAAGTTGGTAACTGTCTAAATAAAAGTAATTTAAAAATATGTCTATAAGGAATGAGTTGCGAACAATACTTTAATTCGTCGTAAGGTACTAAAAGATAATTTGGGGCATGGATTGTACACAGCTAACTTTATAACTGCACCACATTTTCTTACGAGGTATTAGAGTTCGGATATTATTTAAACTGCATACTGGTACATATAAATTCATAATCCTTTCTGGAGTGTTAAGAGTGATGTTCATTATTTTCAGAAAACAGACTATATCACTTAGTTTACGTTGTTCTAGAGAGAAATTGTCAAATTAACAATTAAATGTCTCATTCTAAATTGACCTTTATTAAGGTGTATTCCGAACGGCGGCTTATAGTTTTTATCTTTATAGAACATAAACAGCTAAAACGGCGCAACATTAGTTATCAAACCATAAAACTTTTACATTATTAACGGTTAAAGCTGATATAGGTGTCAACGAGGTGTCAGACAACAGGAGACGGGCCAAAATCGGTGAATTGATCCTGGTTAGGTTTAGTTGATAAGAAGGCTTAAAAGGCAACGCGAAGGAGCCTATTTTCAGCTGACAACCTCATAACTGAAAATAAATAAATGCTTAAGTATTTGATTTACTAAATAATCCTTTATACGTGGTTATTATTTAAATAAAATAATATAAAACTACGAATCTTGGCCATAAACGAAGGTCTAAAGTGTCTCTAAAATAGTAAAATGTTTATTCACTTCCTAACAATAAGCAAATCACCAACACTTATCACCACAAACACAACGCACAAACCGAGAATGAATGTTTTCACAGATCCCGTATTACAATCGCGTACTGCGTCATTCCTCTAAATCCGTTTTGTTTATGAAATAGCACTGCTGTGCGAACTGTAATTCATTTTTATTATAACCGAGAAAGAGGAAATTATAAGAATAATTTTTATTTATTTATTTGGTACGTACAAAGAGCTTCGAATATTTTATTTCTTGGAACTTTCCTGAACTTTAAAAATTACGACTTTTGATCTTATATTTCTCTTACAGTGATAAGCGTGGTCGTTTAGGTATGAGATATGAATGTCTGAACTATGTTTTTCTTTACTTAACACAACCGGTATTGAGAACTATAATAATTAAGACACATATATATAACATACTATTAAAAACGCAATTGGATAAATAACATATATTCTATATAAAACAATATTAAATAAATAAAAACCGCATTGTACAGCATTGAAAACATTTTTTCCAATTAAAATATATTGTACATTTCCCACTCATTTGTCATGACCTATTTATTCACAAAGCTCATTGTTATAGGAAGCCTTCAATACAGCTATCCTATCTATTAAATTCTTGCAGGGCAAGGCGATATTAAATGTACAGAAAAATGTGTCACTATTGCTTAATCGATTTTATAAAAAAAGTTTGCTTTCGCGGTGGAGACTGTATAAAGAATATGAAGTTTAATAAACGCAAATCTTACTATTTTAGAAAAGGCCCTTTCAGGACGAATATAAGGCCGAATACGGTCTTATTAGTTTCTAAGACATGCCGGTTTCCTTGAGACATTTCCCTTCACTGTAGGAATAGGAGTTAATTGCGCACGTAAAAAGAAAACTCTATTAAAGCGCTGCCGGGGTTCAAACGATTAGAAGATTGAGTGTCATACGCTTCACTGGGTAAACATTGCTCAAATTACAATATATACATATTGAGCATTTAAAATAATTAAATACTCCAACCTCCTTACAATATATGTTCATCAGGAATCTTAAAAAAGAATAAAAATCAGATTGCCTATTACAACATGTACATAATCTTACGCTGTTTTATTGTAAACAATTATACCATAATACACCTAACATCAGATGCTTGAGACTTATCAGATGGTCATCTAAATGTATAACATTATCTACACATCCGGATGTTGTAATCTGTATCTTGTTATATAAACCTTATTATGAAACGTGAATTATGGAATATGCCATAATGCCTATGTGACAGGAAACGCCGTTGAAATTTATTTGAATCTAAAAAATATTTTAGTGTTATATTTATTTACTGTCTATGGACTATCCATTTAACGATGCTATACGGCATTACTTATCACTCAGTACTCTATGACCGAATTACCACACGTGTAGATAATATAAATTTACAAAATTTTAAATAAAAAAAATTCTTTTTTGCAGTTTGAATGAAAATAGTGTAAAAGATCACATATCCTTGAAATACATTTTAAGAGGTCCAAATACATTAGTACAGCTTTTAAATGAGAATTCAACTTTGTATTCAATCTAAACTAAATTGAAACTATCCGACCTGACCTCAATCCCGATGCATTTCTATTGTAAAACTTGAATTAAAAATGCAGATTGCACTCCGTATAGCCGTTGAAAAAATGCAGATATATTTCTGTTATGAATGTTGAGTGCATTGAAAACTATTTTAATATTCACGAGAGCATCTTTGATATCAAAATTTAATTACTAAAAGCTGGGTATGAGATGTTTTATTTTAAAGCACTTATCTGCCATTTTGGCTTGATATTTGTTATAATAAGAGTATTTTTATTGAATGTGGTAAACAAATCTTTTTGGCTTAAAAATTTATAATGTATATTCTATTAGATTTTAAAATGTTTGTGCTTTGCGTACTAAATTGTTTTTGGAGATAATAGTTGCTTGTAATTGGTTTGGAAGCGAGAGTTTATGGTATCTAGCGCTATCTCTGTACCATAGGTAATATAATTTACTAGTTTTACTTTTACTTCAGAATACTAAAGTATGTAAGTATGTTAGGATATTAAAAATCTTAGATCATACATTCTTTCCTGTATCTATATAGGTCTAGTGGGTAGCTACTCCACTAACCCCTATACCTGTATGAAAAACTTATGTGTAGCACCACTTTTTATAAGACTTGTATTACGCTAACGAGCTGTCGACACGACCATTAAATGAATGCTCTCCTTTATTTTTGTCTGGAAATTCTCTGGCTTATTTTTATTTCATAATTAGGCTCGCAATATAATTCAGATTTAATGTTGAATTTATAAAAATTATTTTCCATTTTCGAGTTCCAAAAACTCAAACAACGATGTGATTTTTTGTGTGCTCAGCTTTTCTGTCTGAGGGCTCATCTTGTTGATTGATTATCCTAGAGAGCGTTCAAGTATTACGTAACGCAATTTTTGGAGATCATTTATCCCCCCCCCCATGTAACTCGCCGTAACGTTTTTCAGTACCCAAGTATAGTACCCAAGTATAGTAAAACGTTTCGTGACCACCTAGTGACTCTTTAGTTACTATTATGTAGTGTAAGGTGGTCGAAAATAATATTAACAATAACGCGTAATTTAATCCCCGCCCCGCATCGTAACGTTTTACAAAAGGACCCCCCTCCCAAAATACGTTACGTAATACTTGAACGCTCCCTAATAGCACTTACTGTAAACTTAATTGTAATCAAATCGCTGTAATACTGAAATAACTCTGTAATAAGCGGTGGTAGTAAATGTAATGTTAGAATTAATTTAACATCTTTTCTGTTGACGTTCATATGTACTTGTTTAACTATACGAATAAAGTTATTTTGAGTTTGAGTTTAAGGAATTCAATATTTCCTTTAAAAGTTATGAAAGTGTGGTGCCGTAACTCTTAAATAGATAATAGAACGTTCGTCTAAACTGATTTAAACGCCTAAACCTTATACGCCTTGCTTTTCCATCAAAATCGTGGTAGCCATTAAGAGTTTTTTTATAGAACAAAGATTTGGGTTCATAATACATTTAATAAAAATATATAACATAATTATATTCACCTCAACAATCCTATCATTAACTCGAATCTTTCCACAGAGGTCCGCAGCGCTGCCGGCACTGATGCTCTTCACGAAAATACCACTCAGCTCCTCTGGAGAGAAATTTTTATTTTTAACAAAATAATCTATGACAGATTACTCTAATTTGGCAACTAAATATAAATTTACATTCATATTACATATACAGAAAAAAACAACACATCATAAAACAGTAATAGATTAAAATATTTACAAAAAGACATAGATATAGTTATATCTTACAGTATAGGAACTGAGATGAAGCAGACAATTTTATCAGTTCACTCAACGGACAATTAAAAAAGGGTGTGTGTGTGTGGGTGTGTCAGGGCTACGACGCACGATTGGAGGGTTACTCCCTTACGAACGATAAAATGGCGATAATGTTCTGTGGCTGTCGACCATATTTTCGTACTAAAGGGGTGGTAAGAATATATGTTTTTATAATATAAATGTTTGTAGTAGTAATAAAACGTACCTACATCATCTATGCCCAAATAGGATTTTCTTTCTGTGACCAAAGTTACCTTTATAGTAAGAGAAGAATAAGTATGAACAATCTTTTTAGTTTTAATTTCACTGACCATTACTATTGACAAAACTCTATGGCACGTAGACAATCTACTTTTATTTTTTACACCTGTCAACACTGACAATGTTGTAACGTGGCTATCAAAACGTGAATTCAAAATAGAAAAGTCTGGTAATGTATTCCATCTCATTCTTTTACACTTCAACCTAAGATATATATGTTTGTCTCTTTCTACATAACGCCTCAACTTTTCGTGTTACACTTGATTTTACTCCTCAAAAATTTCCGTACCGGGCCTTAAACTCAAATCGTTTCTTAAGGAGTAAACTCCAAAAAATCTGTTAATCTGGGCACTATAAAATATCACCTTAGATCAATAAATAACGGTAATAGTAAGTGTTGATTAAATTTTCTATGATTTTAGTTATGATTCTAGACACTGGACTGACAAAATCTATATAACAATTGTTTTTGGAAGAGTTGTGCTAATTGCTGTTTTGCTTAACCTAGAATTCAAATCTACAGGTCTCCTCATCAAAGACAGTTTAAGTACTCAAGGACAAAATTAGACATTTATGTTGCCGTATATTTTCATGATTGTATTAAAAGTGCAATTAAAGCAATTAACAGCAAAATTACCGAGAAAGGTACCTGGACTCTGTAGAGTCCATTACTTAAGGAAATTAGATTTTGAATTAAGATACCAGCTCGAGCGATTTTTATAGGAATATACAAGATTTACCGACTATGAAAAGCACTCTTGTTACTTAAACCTGAATGTATTGCATATTTCCAATACATTAGTTCCTTACTGGTGGTTATTGTTATGAATTTAAGTTAACTGTCCTCGTATGACAATTAATTATTTCAAGCAAAGAAAATTCTTATCTCGGCTCAGGACTTACAGGTCATATTGCTGTGAAGTCCTAATTTGGACAAAGAATTAATTGCTTCGGGTTGGCAGAAACAAAAAGGTCATCACTCATCGAGAAAATATAAACGAATCAATCGCCGAAACGAGTCTATTCCCCTTTTGATAATTTAAACACTCGTTTATATAGTAAGTATTCGTGAAATTCGAATTGTTTCTTTAAACGCACTCGATTTTGTTTTTCTACAAAACAGTGGACTCAAATAAATTATTCAAAAACGCTGTAACCTTTAGCTTGGTCCGGGCAACAAAAATATATCTTCGGTATTTTCTTGTTTATACGAGACTCATAGTACTAAAATATATTGTTTGCTCTGCAAGATAAATGTGTTTTTCTTGATAAAACTTATCATCGTTACACAATATATTTGTTTTTCACTTGAAATAACGCTGTCAGTTGTATTTTTCTTAAGACAGGAGAAAATCACATTTAATTGATTTTTTAATGACAGTGGGAAAATGTCGGCGTTCTCTTGGGTGTTAATTGGTTAAGGGAGGAACAACCAAGCGCCGGGCTAGGTTCCGTAGGTCCGAGATTCGGGTGGGTATACTATATTTTTGGGGAACGATTAGAGATTGTCACAAAAATTTATTAGTCTAAATTAATGTGAAAATATAGAGTATTTACCAAATCTATTGTTTCTCTTCTTTAAAACGCAATCCTGCGTTACTGGCTGGAAGAGCCCTAATACATATAATTACTGAAATGATCTTAGCTTTTGTCCAGGGCAGTACAGAAATCAAAGGTTAAACATATATGCACTGCAATAAACATTAGTAGTATAAAGACGTAATTTTTACACGTATTCATGTATATCTCGCAAATAATATTTTAGTAAAATTACCAAAGTAACTTCATATAAACGTGAATACTCTGAGATAAGGTTCAGAAATAGCTGAAATACTTTCAGCTTATTTCTCGTAAAAAATCTGTGCGATTTGTTACCTTGTTCACAGACGTATCCTGCCACTGTGATTCCCAGACCGAGGGCGGAATCCTTGTTCAATTCCACTTCGTAGCTCAATGTTTCTGGTTCGCAACCTCTGACAGCCATATCTAGGGGTAACCTACAATAGACATTTTAAAATACAGTTTTTGGGAACATGTTTACACTGTTTACATACTAAATACTTAATTATTTTATACTAAGAACTATTTATGAATATACTAGAACGATTTTGAGCAAGAGGATGTATCGAATAGGAATGCATTATAAGAAGCTCTCATTATCTAGCTTCAATATACAGATTAGTATGGGTTGGGTCATTAAGTTAATTTTGTGCGATCAATGTTTATAAACAATATTTTAGATTATCCTCACCTAATTGGTGGTGGTAGTCTCGGAGGGGGTACAGTGATGAGTGGTGGGGGGCGCGGTGATGGACCTAAGGCTTCACGTGGTACCACTGCTACTATAGATGCTACCGGCTGAAAAATAGAGCTCTTTAGTAATGTGTAAGATTTTAACTTTCACTCAATGTAATTTTTTCTGTAATAAATCGTATCTAGTTGGTATTTTTATCGTTTGTTTCGCGTAAATATAATGGTAATCGAAACTAAAACTTTTAAGTATTACGCTTAAGGATAAGTAATTGAAGAAGCTAGACCCCTGACAAGTACCCTTGCTTGTGAAGGTGGTAAAGAAAAGGAGGTGATAAGGGAGGTTGTGAAATAATAAAATGTATTTCTCTGTTTTAACTTAACCACTGTTAATTCTCTTCATCGTAAACCCACTTTTAAGAAAGCTTTTTTTTAATAGCATAGTGATTAATTTTTAAGAGAAGTTAACAAGGGATAATTCTAATTCAGGGATATCTTCAAGCTTACAATTTTTGATGGTGGTGCTAGCTACGCGGGAATCCGGCCGCGCCAGTTTTTCGACATTTTCCTTTAATTTTTTACAGGACTGAGTCGCAATTAGTAAAATAAAGTTTAGTAAATAGTAAATGCTTTTTATCAAGTAATATCACAGAATTAAGAGACATAACTGCGCAATGCAACAACATAGAAATATCCGAATTCAACGAATCCTCTTGGTTAACGACATATGTTATATCACTTTAATCATTTTGAAAATTCTCGCTATCCCGTGTTACCTTGTATTTAAGCAGTCTTACGTATATTGCATAAATAATACATAAGAATCGATAAAACCCTTATGAATTGATTTACTCCGAGTAATAGGTTAAAATTTACTAACTGTTGATAAGTAATTATTGATTCATTTGCCTACAACCTTACAATTTGTATTCGTTATTCAACAACGTTTCCAAAGTATTATGAGCTTTTTTTTTATGCATGACTTACAAATTAATTCAATTTAGGCATCAATATTAAAATAGAATCACCAAGATTAAAATAAAAGTAATGTTTTATGTTAGAAGGTTAAGGTAATCATTATTGATTTATTTTGTCTTTCAAGTTATATGTTGTATCTTTTTGATATCAGTATTTACAGCCGTATAAACAATATCACGTGTTAACGTTATATAGTTATCAAATCTTCATTTATGTTACAATGTTACTGATTTTAAACAGAAATACTTATATACCAATAATTAATATCTTTGCACTGACTATTAGCAGTTACACAACACAAAAAAATAGAATACAAAAAACAACAACAATGAATGACACAGATAAATAATTTACCAAATAACATAAATCAATAATCACAAACATTTCCATTCCTAATCCAATTGCGCTGAGTACTGCCAGTTATTTTTTAACTTAATTCTTACTCTGTGATGGTATGTTTCCTCAATAATGGTAGGTGGTGGCGTCGGTGGACTGCTTTCCTCGCAGAGTGCTCCAAACCCATCATGACCAGCCTCCGATAAACTCCTCTCCAACTCAATGGGGTCCGTGAGTAGGCGGGACGGCACAATTGGGGCTTGGGATGCCCCAAGAGACTGAATCAATAAAAACATGGGCGTTTTAAAAAAAAAGGGTGCGTGTACTTACGTACGCGCGTAAGAAGTTATGCTTCTTTGGCATTATTAAAAATAGTTTTTGATTGCATGCAAATAATTAATAACAATTAAATATAGTATTGTCTTTGATTGACATAACCTTTACACATTTAAAGAAAAAACTTTTAAACCGGATTAAAGTTATGTATTATTATAAATTTACAATTATTTAACATAATTTTAAATTTATCCGACGTTTCGCGTGCTTTACAGCGTGCGTGGTCACGGTGACTGAAGACAAAAGGTGTTGAATGTCAAAAAGTATCACAGCTGTAGAGAAAGTTTCATTATCTGTATTTATTTCCCCGGAGTTGGTATCGACTAGAAGATGGAGGGTTTTGGCAAAAATGGCTCACGGTGTCCTCTATTTTCGAGGATTGTTTTTCTTTTTGAGATTTTAATTTGGATATTATTGGATCCCAGGTGTTTGACAATTTTAGGCCGTCTTCTCTATTGAAATTGGGGTGTTTTTTGATTTCAATGGTTTCGCGTACCAATCTTGGGAAGAATCTTTTCTCTTTCGCAAGTACTTTCGGTTGGTCAAAGCGTATGTAGTGATTAGGCCTATCTAGTATGTGTGTCATACATAAGCCATTGAAATCAAAAAACACCCCAATTTCAATAGAGAAGACGGCCTAAAATTGTCAAACACCTGGGATCCAATAATATAATGCCGTTGAACTTATCTAACATTTGGCGACACCAGTCCATGCGAAGGTGTTTCTGATCGTCGGTTAAAGTATGGGGAAGCCATCTGGTACAAAGCTTCCTGACGCCTAAATGTTCGTGTAATATTTTTTTAACTTGACTCATACCAATGCCTAGGCTTGCCCGTATCTGCAGATAGGTCACTCTCTTGTCTTTCTCTATCATGCGTCGCACAGCACTGATGTTATCTTCAGTAGTCGCTGTTAAAGGACGTCCCTCATTGAGATTGCTACATCCACACTTAAACTCGTTAAACCAATTGTAAATAGTGGCACGAGATGGGGCTTCATTAAGAAATGCTAATCGCAGCCTTTCATAGTTTTGTTGTTGAGTAAGCCCATAACGAAAGTCATAATAAATCATTGACCGAAAATTTTCTCGCGTTAGGTTCATTTTCACGTGTAACGTGTAAGAGTTTTAGCTTTGCCGCCAATTCCCAAAAACAAATGAATGCAATATACTACACTACAATAGGACACCAATGAGTTCTAAAATTGAAATTCAAAAAAGTTTTCATTAGCAATGTTTCTAACTGGCCAGTTCTAAACATTTTCAGTGTTACCCACGTAGAAATTAATTTCAATAGTCCGAAGTAATTTTTAATTTTATAAATATGCAAACTATTTCTGCAAAAAGACAGGTTATTAATAGCAACGTCTATGGGGTGGCGGAAATTTCCTCCCGTCAGCGGGAAACGAAGAGCAGTCGATTAATTAAGTAATATCCGATGAAACCTACGCTTATTGGTTCCACAGTGTAGTTAATATAGTTGAAAGGTTATAAATCGCTTGTCTAATTATTGCGTAGGAACGACAGGTCCATAAAAGCATAAATCTATTTTTAAGCCTGGGGCAGAAACATTTGCGTCTGTTTCATCAATCAGTTTTCTGTCTTTACAAACTCGAAACCAGAAATCAAACCCAGCTTTTTCGGGTTGTATAAGCTAAAGTTATGTTTTACTTAAAATATGTATATCTTAATATATATATTTCTTGTGTGCGTGTGTATGTGACTGAACTTCTCTCAAACGACTGGACCGATTTTGATGAAATTTTTTGTGTGTGTTCAAGGGGATCTGGGAATGGTTTAGATTCACAAATCAGCCCGGCAGATGGCACTGCAGTCGGTACTTTCATACTTTGCTTAATATCCTAATCGCTTTAAATATCATGCAGGACAACGTCTGTGGGGTCCACTAGTTATTATATATATATCACTTTTGTGTTACCATAATACATACTTTTACACAAATCTGTCGATATTGTATACGTTGAGTTTGTAACACACACACGGAGACACCTGTTACAAATTCATCTATTATCGCATCATCGTACTCTATTAATATAATGACGCTATATTACTATTACATATTATAAAAGATATCACCGATTACAACAAATTAACAATAACATAAGAAAATTTAATAATAAAAAATTAAAAGTGATAAAAATCCCAGTGCCACTGTTAGGTTTAGTTTGTAAATTTGTATATTATTTGACGCTGATTAATTATGCGTTATCAATCAATACAGGTTTATTAGCGCAAGCTCACCTCCATTGTTAGAAACTAAATACCGCACAGCATGGAATCATCGAATTTTCTGCTCAGTTTAAGTACAAAATCAGGCTATACGCAGTGGTTTATAAGGAGCTACTTTTAAGATTTTACTAAGCTCACACATATAGTCATTTTAAAATGTCCCTTACTACCCTTTGTTTCGTTAACTATAAATGAAAATAAATAAAGCCAATATTCGAGTACTATAAAAAGGATTAAATTAAGTTTATGTTATCATTGTATTAAATATTACTACACGACGTCCGACAGACTGAAAGCCTTCTCCAGATTGTTGCTTTTGTCTCTGATCTTCGCTACTATTTTCCAATCTTAACTAAATTCGTTAATTAATCAGCAATTAATTGAATTTCGTAGCTTGTTTGCATTGTTGTTAATATTTTCTTATAATTATTTACTATCCATTAGAGATTCAGTGATAGACGACTCTGAGTACGTCGATATCATAGAGGCAGCAAAAATTATAGAATGTTTATGTATAGAGTTTGACGCGGGAAATTGTTGAAATCTCATTGTATAAAATTTTTAAGAAATATTTGTATGAAGTATTTAGGCAGTTACTTTGTTTGAAATTAACTGAAAATACGTAACATTACGTTCACAGTCAAATTCTTATACTTTTATTATATTTTACATGACTGTATCGAATGTATGGACAACTAATATATACGTATTTCTATAGGATACTCACGTAATAAGAAAACGTCATTTACATGGCATGGGATATTCGAAATGTGACAACATAGTATAGAACATGTTTACATAACAAAATTTAATCGAGTAAAGTGTATTTTTAATAGCACTTTAAGAGTACTGTTGTAATAAAAAGCGATGGTTCTGTCTTTAATTTAACTACGTCAGTCGACTCATACGGAAAGTTTCCATATGATCAGCGAAAAAGTGCTTTTAATATAGGTAAGAAATTGAAATCAGTCATTAACACGGCGTTTTGTTACATTGCTTATTAGTTAAAAGCATAAATAACAACCGTGAATTTCAATGTATTATTTTTACGGGTTGATATATACATATATATGTTTGTCGATGAACAATTTAAGAACACGTTTTTATACAAAATAGGTTTTTGGAAGGTATAAATCATATGGATATATGTGAAAATCTAATAAGTAAATGTAAATACCATCAAAAACTTGTAAAAAAAACAAGTTTCGCAATACAGTAACTTCGTAAAAAGTTGAGAGATCTATGTAATACTGAGTCGGTTAATTTATTCAGTCCCAACTTAAGGGACCTTCCGTCTTAAGGTATTACGTAATTAGCTAACCTAACAACATCTTATAGTGACCTAAGCAATATTAAAAACCTTTTATGGTTAAAATAAATAGATTTACTTGGCCATCGCATCGCACAATGTATCTCACAAGTAATACAAATTATATTTAATTAGATTGTTGCATGTGTTTGGCAAATAGGGAGGTCGAAGATGTCCTGAATTGTTTCGAGAAAAGGATGGCACGGCCGTTTTTATTTTCTCGACTTGGCAAGGGATTTAAATTAAGAAAAATTATATTTTTTTTACATTCACATTTGTAACAAAAGTTACATAAATAAATATTCAATTTGGAATCAACGAATCAACCTGTGCAAGTATATATTTCTAAGTGCACAATTACCACAAGCTGGGACGGGGTAGGTAATGGACGACATATGTCAGGTATGAAGGGCAATCAATCACCTGATATAAAGATACCAAAATATAAAAAAACACAAAGCCTTGTTGTCACTGGAAGGCGGAAAAGCGGTTTAATATTTTGATTATATCTAAAAGAAAGTTGCACGTAATTGTTTTTTAATATAGACGAGTATTACACATTTAAATAAAACTTTTTTAACGGATATCACCACGAATTTATTACATTATTAGGACGCCAGCAAAACGCTCTTTTAACGAAGTTAGAAATCTTAACGAATTAGAAAATTAGGTTTTCTCCAATTGTTTTAAAGTCATGGCAATCAATGTCGCTACAACCATTTGAGGTACTAACCTAAGATTTTTGTATGTTTCGTGATCATTTGTTTTTTCTAATAGGCAAGTAGTTGATTGAGCCTTCCGTGTCTGACAGACGCCTTCGACTTTTTGGATCCAAGCATGCCGAAAGTCCTATGGTGAAAAGCCGCGATTCAATCCTCCAAACTCAGGGAAGAAAGTCACACGCTTACTAGGTCAACACAACTCAGTTTAATATTATGCGTGGTAACGGTGCGATAACAATGCACCCATTTTCGGTAAATTAATCGGATCGATTATTTTCTTATTTGTTGTCACATCACTTATAGCCAATAGAAAACGTGAATTTCACATCTCTTATAACCAATAGAAAAGTAAATAATGGTGGATTGTTTACAAATTTTAATACATTTCACAAAACTTTAAAAACCATTTTAAAATACTTTGACGCATTTCCGGCAGCTAAAATTACTTGGAGGTGTTCCAATGAAGGTCCCCCGAGACTCCTGCATAATCAGTATCATCAGATTCGGGTGCATCGTTATCGAACCCAACCCTTATGCGTTCTTAGCTAATTTTGTCGCAGCCCGTGATCACCGAATTGCTTAATACAACCACATATCCTACAAACTACTAACAAGTATAGCTGAGGAAAACTTACTATAGCTTCTACTAAGTTACGGTTAAGCATATTATGTTGCTACGCGTTGCCCCAAATAGTTTTTACGATAACAAATGTGTATTATCTATAGATATCGTGACTGCGCTCCAAATAACAGAAGGATGTTTTAATTACAATTCCAGGTTATAAGTAAACTTAGAATATTTCTCTGAATTGCTTATGACAACCTAGCTTTTTAATAAAAAATACATAGTAATACGTGAAAGCATTTTTTATGTAACGGGAGGCAAACCGATACGATCGGGGTTCTTTAAATAATAGTGGATTTTATTTTTACTCATTATTAACCACTCGCGTACTATTCGTAATAGAATATTAGCGAAATAGTTAAATGTTAATTGCTATGTAACGAATGAATACACCGTACCAGTTGAAGAGAGTGCCTGCGTCTGGCTATATTCTCAGGGCGTAAGTAATTCCAACGATTTAGGAAATCGCCACGCTTGTAAAACACACAATTTCAAAATAGTTGCGAATAGTTTCTCAGCAGTTCTCACGCCTGCTCGACACCCTTGATTAGTGACATGATAACAAATTTAACATCATGTCTTTTTTTATGAGTGACAGTAACCTATATATTAATGTCTACAGAGCTGCAAATGAATTTTAATTTATATATTACCGTTTGCACGCTATGTGCAGGCCTGGCGACCAGTAAACGCACACAGGCGCCGCACTGTCGCAAGACGGCTGCAGCCTGCCGCGCACACATTCCCACCACAGACACTGCGCCGATTCGCAGTAGCATGTCCCCGCTACGAAGACGCCCATCCTATGAAAAAAAACAAAACAATTTTATTAGCAGATTGATTGCCAAGAGGGAGACTATTATGTTTAAGGCGATAATGTTTTTTGGAATCCAGAGTAAGCTAGCTACGAATTCAAAATACTTCACTTAAGTATTAAATAGTATAGCTAAAGTGGAAACCATTCTTATCGGCTCTATGAGAAAAATAATGAATTTAAATATAAATGCATGCCGTATGCCTAATTTGAATTAACAAATGAATTAATCTCGGGCTTTTACTTTATCAGAAACTTTTTTGGCCCGGCGGTTTATTTTGACAGCCAGGAACGTTTTCACACAATGTTTGTGGACTCTTTGATGAAAAATTTACTACCAATATTGACATTCCAAATTTAAATTATTTTTAATCTTATATTTAGCGATTTTTAATACTTATTTTAATCACTGTTTACATAGGGCCCCTTTAAGTATGGTTGTTATAAAAAACAATTATATGTACATAGCAAGCATTCACGTGCTTAATTATTGCTCATAATACCAATCTAAATTTCAATCTAGAAGATATTTTGAAAGTATTGTCGGCACGGCTGCAAGATCTGATTATTCCTATCTATAAAGGAATTGTTGAAACTATAAAAAAGTAAAAAAAAAACCACTTTACACGCCCATCGGAAATTCTTCTATTCATAAAAATTAAAGTAACGACAAAACAATTGAACTTATTTGTAGAAATGCAGTGTAGGGAAAAGATAGATTTTATTTCGCCTACGAAGGTGCACGTATTTCTAAACAAAGACGTAGAAGCGCGATAAACAATTCTAATTTTGAAAAGTGTGTCAAGCATAGTAAACATAGTGAATTTTTACTATCTTGGTACAAAATTTAAGCAATAACGAACTAGAATTTGCTTATTTTCAAGACAATACGCCTGTAAAAATAGCTGTTCATAAAAACAGAATCTAAGTATTCATTCATCAACAAGATATATTGTTGTATACAAAAGTAAACGATTTAATTGTATGAACATAATAGTTTTGATTTATAACTCAATAAAGAAACTACTTGCAGATTACATTCAGCGTAACGAGATGAAACTCTATATCATAACACCGAATGCGGCAGACGTCGTCGAAATTACCTACAAAAAAATTATTGTGCCAGTCATACACGTGAAATAGATAAAGAAGGACGGAAGGTAATGTAAACTCAAAGCGCGGGAAACGAGCTAAAAAAATTGAGAAGTCATGTCAATTTAACTATGTATTTACATTGTCCATAGTGCAATATTTTAGCACAGATTACTATATAATGCCTGCAGCAAGACATTGATCGAGTGGTTAATTGTAACATAAGAAATAGATTGGAGTTTCATTTGTCAAAATGTATCTCTTGGTCGAACGTTTGCGACAGTTTTAGAGGTGAAATATCTAGCAATATATTTTAATGCAGATCCTGATTGATCCTGATGCGAATGTCTTAGGAGGTTTGACTTCACGAATATGAGTGTGTGCATGTGCAATTATGACTTTCTACAATTCTCGAGTCAGAAGTCACTTGGAGTGTAGTGGTGTATTATGTATCCGGCCCTATTTGTTCTGGGTATGGTGGGTTATGACCAGTTAAGGTACATATTAAGGAATTTGTGTTTTATATTATTTGTATTTTTAATTGTAGAAGTATTGAGGTGTAGGTTTTTTATATGTAGTTATATAGCTTCTATTATAGTAATAACAGTAAGGATACAATAATTAGTAAATTTGGTCTATGCCGTCGTCTTTTCTTTGTCCCTTGCGTTGAGTGAATATTAAAATCGTCGCTCTCAATATCGCTTTTCCCATGAACGATTGTCGTTGGCATAATCCATTTTCTTATAATGGAAGCCAAGAAGAAAAGTGCAATATCGATATAACTTCATTGAATTGTTTTCGTAAACGAAAGCGACTATCGTCATTTTTTCATTCTAGATTTTTCCACGCTTCGAGAAGCTTGCAAGACACGATTAATTATATCTTCGTTGACGTCAATATTTTAATACGAGAATTTTTGAACGCATTTCAAAAAACCCGAAGCCGAAGGAGGAAGATTAATTAATAGCAACATAACTAGTGTATTTTTTATTTTAGATTATACCAATATCGATTGTGTAAGTGCGACGTGCCTAGACGGGCCACTTATACGGGTGATTAGGGGCCATTTGTTCGTCTGTCGCTCATGTAATAAACATGGAAGCAATAAGCGTTATTAGAAAATTTATGGGAGTGCCAATGCTTTCATTATTTTACATTTTAAAAGTATAAACTATTGATTATTTGTTGTTTATTTTAAATGGGTTATAGGCGGATAAGTCATATTACCAAAGGTCAATGTAATAAAACGCGTGGCGCCAAAGCTGGCGCTACCATATATTAGTAACGACTTGAATATGTTGACTATAGAAATGGCGGGCTTTCTAGTAATTCTAGTAAATAACAAAAAAAATTCTTTGCTAATAACGAAACCTCTGGTGATACAAATATCGTGCAAGTTCCCTTTGAGCTGTATTTAAGACAATTTTTAAGTAGATATGCACTTAAATATATTATATTTTAATAAAAATATTTATTTCACGGACAATGTCATTTTCATATTTTTAGTATGTTTGTATCACAAAACTACAAAGTTAATTTAAAACAATATAGGGCTAGTTTTCGCAACCGATTTCTTAATCTTTTCATTAAGGATTGTAATGAAAAGGTAATTAACTCAGAAAAAAATGTAGTTTATTTTAATTTACATAATTCATGTCTACTTTCTGTATATTAAAAATCTATTATTTTTATGAAGTATATACATAATATAAGGTTAAGAGTATTTAAATGAAGGTCTAAAGTTTTCTTCTATTTTAAAAGCGTTCATCATAATAAAGTCCAGGATTAATTAAACTTTTTAAGCGTTCTTTGAGAAGAAAACTTTCGTGAAGTATATTACAAACTTATGACGACCCGAAAGGACGAGTTCTGACTTTTAATAAAGGCAAAATATATTCGTATAAAATTGCTATGTGATTTAACAGATATAATAATCCATAGTCGAGTTTGGAAATATCTTATATATAAAATTCTCGTATCACAATGTTAGTCACTATACTCCTCCGAAACGGCTTGACCTATTTTTATCAAATTTTATATGCATATTCAGTAGGTCTGAGAATCGGCTACTATCTATCTTTCAACCCCCTAAGTGATAAGGGGTGTCCACCCCAAAAATTTTATTTATTCTTTAGATTATTTTTGTTTTTATTTTTTTATGATACACCATACAAAAATAGATAGTCAGCTAGTAGATATATAAAACATAGACAACATCACATAGATAAGTGAGATTCTTAGCCAGTTGCATTCGCCACGGATCGGGAAGACGATCTTATAAAAAACCATAGACATATATTACTGCTATGACACCCACATATGTTGTTTTACGCGATTTAACACATCAAAATTTTGTCCAAATCGGTTTGTCCAATTAAAAAAACATTCTGATGTTAAATTGTCATTACTTACTCTGTCAGCCACGCCGCCCGGCAGCACGCTCTTCACGACGACGCCTGAGGAGCGGCCCCCAACGATGCCAAACGCCAGCCCAGACCCGTCGTTCACCAGCTCTACCACCTCCACCTGGGCCCACTCGCCGAACACCTGCTGCGAATGAAGGAAAGGAAAAACTTTATTATACACAATAAAAGGATATTTAGGTAAAACAAAGTGGACTAGACCCGATACTGGGATTCCCTTTGTATAACACAATTTATAATTGCACTATTGCTGCACAATAACAATATTTTCTGTATCAGCGTAGGACAGTTTAACAAGATGATGTTTAAGATTTTTAGCGAATATGTATGTCATGTGAGTTTTAAAACATTAGTGAAAATTTTGTTTTTAAGAAAGTGGTTAAAGATGAAAGGGCCTCGGAAGGAAAAAGCGTTGAGCGAAGAAAGTGCGTTTTTAGGGTTGCTTATTCTTAGTATGGACATGTTTATATATGATCAGTTAAAGAGAGTTTTCTCTAAACGCCATGATAATTTGGAGTCCCTAAAGCAATCCGTACGATTGGCAGTGAAGAATTTTCCCATGGAAAGAGTGCATGCTTCTATTGATAACTGGCCTGAAAGTTTAAAGGACTGTATTGCAGCCAATGGAGACCACTTCGAATAAGCTTTTTATATTTTAAATTATTTTATATTTATGTATTAAACTAACACACTGTAAAAGTAATAAATTTTGTTTTTTTTAAATTTACAGTTTCATTCTTGTTCATCTAATAAAACTAACAAAGTATTTACATTATCAATTAAACCAACACATAGGCTGTAATGTCATAACTAGTATTTATCATCTTGGGTCTTGCTACGGTCTTTTTCCAAATACTTACGCAGCTTCTAATTGGTATATAACAATTATAGCTTTAAAACCTTAAACCTTTTAAGGACCTGTTTATTAAGTTGCAGTTAAAACTAGGTTTAAACTTGTTTCTTTAGCTTCAGTATTCGATGATGAAAAACTAGATTGTTCTAAATATTCTTCGGTGTATGTTTTCTTACTGTAATATTGCTTCTAGTTAATGAAAGAACTTACCATGATGTGTCTAAGCAAGCGTTTCTTGGGCGTGCGCGGCTGACTCTTAGATCAGCTAACCTTCTCCATCCTCACTACACTTCACTTTTCACAATCACTATTATGCACTTTACTTCACTTTGGTTGCATATTACGTTGAATAAAGTTTAGTGCGTTCAGTCAAAATTTATCTCTCACAAAAAAGCTATCAAATTAGATTGATTATTTTAAGTTTTAGACACTTATCCTAAAACGTGTACATGAAACTTAAATCGATCTATCAAAAAAATACTTTAAGATGTTTGTCATTATAGACAGCGGTCGAGAAATAACTGTATCTTGAAATACATCTCACACAGCCTCAGTTCTATGGTGGAGGTGCACTTTGACGAAGGGGTTAATCAATAATCATATCAAATTCAGTCAAAACATGACTAGTTTTCATTTATTTTTTAAAGTACACCACGTCACTCATCATCATGTCATCACATATATCTCCTATTGAAGAATCATCATGGCTTTAATTTTGGATGCCACGATTCTGAACAATGTGATAATACAATTTTCTATAGTTTAAGTTACAAAAGAAAAGAAAGGACACAAATTATAGATTAATTTAATCAACACTAACTCAGCTCACTACTGTATATTAATAAGTATATTAAGTAGCATTCATTCACAAATCCGAGTGAGAGGCTTATTACAGCCGGAATTTGTAAGATTAACTAAACCATTCTTAATATATCTTCGTGAGACCTTAACGTGGTTGCGACCTAGTAATCAAATCGATTTATTTTCAAACATTCTTAGCACGCACGATGTAACAGGGAATAATGAATACTAATCAGACATCTCTAAGCTATTAAGTAACCCCAGCGTTATATAGAATGCATATTACGGCTAAGCTTTTTCGCAATGCGTTTAGCAAGAGCTAATTCTGCATCAAACGGAAACAAGTAATATAGTTTACAGTATTGATGTTATATTAAATAACACTTGTGATAAAAGAATTTCCAATTGGGTCCATGATGCGTGGCAGAATGTGCCTAATAAGACGCTCGGTTGTGGTGATACGGGTGGAATTTTATCTTTATTCTATATCAATTACATTATTACTGTGTTCAGATAGGGCGTAAAACTGTACAGAGCTGGGCAATGTATAAATAGTCTATAAAAATTGCATTACAATCTGCTAATTAATTATACTGTTTATGTATATGATTAATGTGTGTAAGTTAAACTACTATTTAAACTAATTAACATATGTAGCATTTTGATAAGTCAGGAGAACAAAACATAAGAAACAAAAATTATATAAAAATGCATGATTATATTTAATTAAAGCAATGGTAATATAGAAATATACACTACCCTTGCAATTAATTTATACGATCAATAAAATCTTCTACCCTTCTACCGTGAACAAATAATGATACTATTAAATCTCCATATTAATATTGTAACAGACAAATATCACTATATATGCCGTATCTTAATACTTTATCACAAGTCATAGAATTCCTAAGAGCAAAAAACGTTTAAAACAACTCTTTGACAGACCATACACTATAATATTACTGATTTATATCTAAATACCGTATGGGCTTGGATATAATTGAATTGTTTTTCAGAATTAAGCTAAGAGTTGGCTACAACCGCCTCGTATGAATGGCGCCACGGAACTACCGAAAAGCCGAAATGGCGGGAAATCTGACATGCGCTTTGGGAAATCGATGCGAGAAATATTTAAAAAGCGTCCTATTTAAAGCGTCGAGTCAGCGATTTTGTGGTAGTTTTTTGAGCTTTAACAAAGTCCCTAAAGGTCTTAGTATAATCTAATTTAGCTATTTTGACGAATTAATTTTTAAAATTGATGTCATTTAAATCAAGCGGTTATTTTTATATTTTTTCTTCGAGTTAACGTCAGCGGGTCTTCATTGAGCTTTTTCAAGTGTCTGCGAGTTTTTCGCAAAGAATAAATATATAAAAAGTAGACGAAGTTAAAATATTCATATAGAAATAAATTTTAACTATAATTATGAAAAAAGAAGTGGAAAAATTCAAAATTCAAAATCATTTATTCATATGAAAGTAAAAAACAAACTACGTAGCGCTGATGTCCAGGGCATCCCCCCAATTCTCCGAACTGGTGCTCTTGAGTTGGCTCCGGTCGTACCACGCCTTTTCTGGTACCTGTACTTGCTCAGCAATGTCCTGAAATGCTGGAAGACCGCATTAATACATCCGATCTCTAAAAAAGGCTATCGATCTGATCCGTCCAGCTATCGCCCAATAACCTCCTTATTCTCCAAAATAATGAAATCCATTATACTGAGATATTTAGAGGGCCACCACCGGATTAGCGAGTGTCAGTACGGCATTCGTCGTGGTCGCTCAGCTGGTGACGTTCTCGTTTAACTTACACATAGTAGGCGCTGGCGGTAAGTTTGGATTTTGAGAATGACTGATCGGGTTTAGCACGGAGCGCTTCAAGTGAAGCTTCCAGCCTATAGGCTCCCCGGGAAATTGTGCAATTTCTAGCTATCTCGCTGCTCGGAGCATCAAGGTTGTTATTGACAGAGCATATTCCGACCTCAAACTCGTGAACGCTGGGTTCCCACAAGGCTGTGTACTATCCCCGACCCTGTTTCTTCTACATATCAATGATATGTTTGCAACTGAGCAATATTCATTGCTATGCGGACGATAACAATGGGGATACCCTATACACTGGCCGTGCGGGTATTTCAGGCAGTTGTCGATCAGTATCGATACACAGGTTGTGTTTGAATCCGAAACTCTGCTAAGTGGAGTCTCGGACTGGGTTCTACTAAATCTAGTCCAATTCAACCCCAATACGATACAAGTTTGCACGTTTTCTTCTAAAATAATACTACGCCATACGCCATACTAAGCCACAGCCAGTATTGAAATACTTGGCGTTGACATATCGAACGACATTCAGTTTCGTGGTTATTTGGAGGGATATGCTAAATAAATGTGCACACTCAGGTGCACATGGAGTACTCATCTCTGGTCGGGAGCTCCCCAGTACCAGCTCCTTTCACGTCATCTCTCAGCATCTTCTTCCTCATGTACTTTACTTACCATGGAGGGTGCTTAGAGAATTTATACTTGCAGTTCAGATTCATCACCGGATGTCAAGGCATAATACTACCGCGCACCCCCACTATGTGGAACAACGACTTGGAGTCCTTTAAGAAAAGAGCGTACCAATTCCTAAATGGCCGGCAACGCACTTGTGAGCCTTCTAGCAAAGTGAGGGTCCAAAGGCGGCAATATCACTGAACATGACATAAGGCCTGCCTGTTTAAAAAAATAGTGACGGCACAGCGCGTGCGGCAATACCGTCGAGGTAAATACTTTATTTAATATTTTATAGCTAAAAGACAACATACTACCTTAATAAAAACCATAAGGTTAAAAAATTATCAGTTGTTGTATACGAATTGGATGGCTTAGTGGTTAACGGAAATGGCATGTAACCCAGAAGTCTCAGATTATTCATTGCGAATGATTTGGCACCCATTGGGCGTCAAGGTGTGAACTGTACTGGCGGCCGCGGAGGTCAACGGAGGGGATATATTGAAAAGGTTTAAAAGCTACAGAAATTTGAAACTTTATTCGATTTAGAGAAACTCTTTACTCGAGACGACTTTGGTCAAATTAGGTAAACACGTTCAGGTTCTTTAAAAAGGGTTCTTTTAATTTATTAACAAACAAACATATGTAAATGATAAAATATCATCGATTCATTAATTTTTATGTCAAAACAACAAACTTTGATAAATATTAAACTCTCTAATTAGTTTTGGTGTGATATTAAAAAAACAATGCCAAGATGCATTCTATGTTCTATTCAGAACAGTAGGACGAGTACCATCTACCTAACCTTGTTACTGTCATAACAAACCTTGCAGTCCCTTTTTGGACCTTTTAGCATTACGTGAAGTTTCCCGTTTAGCAGAATTTCATCGGAATGTGACGTGGACTTGGTCTCGTTGCTGGCCCATGACCCTTTCAATTGTTCGAATTTAATTGTCAATAGTGGAGGTCGAGGGTTCAAATCCCTCACGGGCTGATAAGTTTCTTGTTATGTTTAAGATGTAAGCTATAGAAATAGTAGTAACATTTTTGTAAATACGAAAAAATAACGGTGAAACTAAAAAAGGAAATAAGCATTAGTAGTAAAAATTTGATTAAGAATGAACTTAAAATCTATGTAACATAATTTAAAAAAGGCCTAGTGTTTACTAAATCTGTAATCAAGAAAATGTATGATATCTATTACACAGTTAAACAGGAAGTTCTATGTATGATTTTAGTCAAAGCCGCTGTCTGTACTATTTTAAGAAACTTCGATTTTCTACTAGGAAATAACTGCTTTAGATCTAATTTGTGGTATAAAAGTTAAAAGAGAATTGTTATTTGCGACTTAAAAATCTAATACAAAAAATAAACCAGCCCGTGAGGGAATTGAACCCCCGACCTCCACTATTATCAATTAAATGGGTGCTCTCACCGCTGAGCTAACGAGCCCTTGTCGCAAAACATTCAATTTACCTGTCATATTGTTTCTGTAATATACCCTAATAATGAAGGTAGTAACAAAAAACTACCTTATACAAACACGTAGATGTTACCGTGTAGATCTACCTTGTTCTTTGTTATTCTTGAGGTCAAAGTTAGATTAAGTATTGAAAAGAATTAAATATGACTTGCAAGAACAATGCAACCAGCCGAAAAAAGAATATTATAAATCGTACTATACTATGAAAAGTTCATATTACATCACTTATATGTGATGGAACTAACATAATATTCATAAAATGAATAAAAAATTCGATTAATTTATCTTTCCCGGTTTCTATTTATCATGTTAATGTTTAGAAAGATTATTATAGATGGGTAAATTAAACATTTTTACATATACTAATAGATATGTACAAGATTTTATTTTACAAGGTAGTTCCTGTAAAAAACATGAATTTGAATATTATTTTAACAATTTCGGAGATACCAATATCACTTTTGGCTTAAAACTAATATTGCTGAGACACGGCGCTGAATACCAATTTTTTTCGAATCACACTGCTTTAAAACTCGAAACGGTGTTCGGTTGTAAAATTGCAAAATAAAGATTGATTGAAATGTTATATACGTTAAGTAATATATCCCCAATCCTAGTATCATCGCGTTTATAATCGCATATATATTTTTTTATGAAATTTGAATTACGATTCAACTTTTAACATTTGCCTATAATTAATTAATGCAAGAATAATAAATTAGGTAAATTGAATGGTTAATGACAAGGGCTCGTTAGCTCAGCGGTTAGAGCACCCATTTAATTGTCAATAGTGGAGGTCGGGGGTTCAAATCCCTCACGGGCTGATAAACTTTTTGGTTATTACATAAAACTACAACAAGAATATAGATTATATATTTTTTAAAAATTTAAGGTTAATATTGTTTTGAGATATTATTAGAATATTAAACAACAAATCTTCATTGGTTTTAAAGGAGGGAAAGGGCCTAGTTTTTATTAAACCTGCGATCAAGAAAATATATATCTAATACACATAAGTTCTATTTATGATTTTCGTCGAAGCCGCTGGCTGCACTGCCTTAAAATTTCTACTAGGAAATAACTAAATATATTAAAGCGCTCAGCTTAACAATAAGATGTAATTTAAACTTTAAGATGTAATTTGTGGTATAAAAGTTAATAGAAAATTGTTATTTGCGATTTAAAAAATCTATATTTTGATGTAATACAAAAAAATAAACCAGCCCGTGAGGGAATTGAACCCCCGACCTCCACTATTATCAATTAAATGGGTGCTCTGACCGCTGAGCTAACGAGCCCTTGTCATTACATATTCAATTAACCTCTCATATTGGTTTGTAACATAACCCAATAATGAAGGTAGTAACAAAAATACTACCTTATACAAACACGTATATGTTACCGTGTAGGTCTACCTTGTTCTTTGTTATTCTTGAGACCAAAGTTAGATTTAGTATTGAAAATAATTAAATATGACTTGCAAGAACAATGTAACCAGCCAAAAAAGGAATATTATAAATCGCACTATACAAAGAAAAGTTCATATTACATCACTCATATTACGTAGTGATGGAACTAACATTATTTATTAATATTAATTCATAAAATGAATAAAAAAAATTGATTAATTTATCGTTTCCAGTTTCTATTTATTATGTTAATGTATATATGGGTAATTTAACATTTTTACATATCCTTATAGATCTGTACATAATTTTATTTTACAAGGTAGTTTAGGCCTGTAGGTGGGGCCTGGGGGCATGCTGAATATTTTATTTACATGAATCTGAATACGATTTTAACAATTTCGGAGATACCAATATCACTTTTGGCCTAAACCTTATACCTAATTATGTCGAATCGACTCCCGGTATGGGTCTTCCCTGACAGATACGACCTCCAACTATTCAAAGTTAGAGTGTACTCTTCCCTCAGAGGCCGGCAACGCACCCACTAAAAATAGGTCCATGGGCTGCGATGACTGCCCTTATTGGGCGTCCCGTAGGCGCGTTTAACCCCCTATTATATAAAAAAATAACCTGCTGCTGAGGATGGAATTAAATTTATTTTTTAATTTTCATTCCCATTTATTCGAGTGATATTTAGAAATAAAAAGAACTAACTAACACTTAATTAGTTTGTATCGAATCTTATTGCTTTAAACTCGAAACAGTGTCAGGTATTGTAAAATAGCATCAAAAAGATTAAATATCTTACGTTAAAAGCTACATATCCGCAATCCTTCCATCATCGCTTTTATAATCGCATAAAATAATTAAAAAATATTTATGAAATTTGAATTACGATTAAACTTTTAACTTTTGCCTATAATTAATGCAAGAATAATAAATAAGTTAAATTAAATGTAATCACTCATGGGCTCGTTAGCTCAGCGGTTAGAGCACCCATTTAATTGTCAATAGTGGAGGTCGGGGGTTCAAATCCCTCACGGGCTGATCTTTATTTTGCTTAAAATTACTACACTGATATTTAATTACTTTCTTTAGTGAAACAAACCATTTGATGACATTTTTAATATCCCAATGTTTTTTTCAATATTAGTTATAAAAACAGTCAATTGTTGTGTTTTCTTTAATGCCAAGTTTAAACATTGTTCATTAAATAAAAATCTTTTTATTTGATATTAATTTATTATATATTACGCATATAGCTCACAGCGACTACGATTCTAATGGAAGATAACAATATGATCTACGTTAGATTTACAACTTCACATTTTAAAAAAACCTTGAAGTGTTATCCATTACCAAATAAAAACTGGACCAATTTGGTCGGGCCTTATGAGCATTCCATCACCTTTAGATTTTCTCATAATAAAATCCAACGCAGACCACATAGTACAATATTGAATTATACCTAATGCAGACAACAAATTTGTATCCTATCGAGCCACTTTCACCAGCCCGGCTCAATGGCAACATTTAAAATTTTTGCTTTCGCTCAGCATACAAAAGTTAGAGCAGGACAGCATAGATCTCTGTAACTACTTTCTGTGTGAAAAATTATACCCACATATTGGTGCCATTGACTTAATCGGTGGGAATTCCGGGCCCATATTAGTGTTTATACAAGTAACATTTATAATTTTCCTTTAACAAAAATGTCATCTCCCAGCCAGATTACACTTTTACTTCTAGTCATTATGATAGATAACCGATCAACATACAGATATCAATACGAAAGAAATGCGTAACTGACTGTTACAGTAAATAAAACCAGATGGCGCTGAAACAAAATTCAAATATTAGTTAACTACTCGGAAAATAATCTCGCTGTTTTAAGCCTTTGTTTTATAAAAGCTACGATTTAATGAATTTTTTATACTCAGCCTTGTTACGCATTTCTCACGATCACGAAAATAACACTTAAAACTATGAAAATTACATTAAATACTATTTCAATTAGCAACAGATCCATTGTCTACATAATTTGTTTCACTATAATATAATCAATATGTGTTAAACATGTATACATTTACAAATAAATAGTGAAATACTATAGAACATTTATTTTTCTAGATTTTTATATTGCCTATAAGGGAGCGTTCAAGTATTACGTAACGCAATTTTTGGAGATTATTGAGACACACACCCCCCTAATCTCGCCGTAACGTTTTTCAGTACCCTAGTTACAGTACTGTACTCAAGTATAGTAAAACGTTTCGTGACCACCTTGTGTCTCTTTAGTTACTATTATGTGGTGTAAGTAGAAAATAATATTAACAATAACGCGTCATTCAATCCCCGCCCCGCATCGTAACATTTTACAAAAGGACCCCCCTTCCAAAACGCGTTACGTAATACTAGAACGCTCCCTAAGCTGGTCGTTGTTAGATTTTTCAAATGATTTACAATAAGGTCACGAAATTATATAATTGAAAATCGCGAAATCTATTCGTATTTTAATGCAATTTCAGCTTACATAGTTAAATAAAAATTAAATTAATTAAAGGATTAGGAATAAAAACCGTTTACATTTTCAACGATCCATTTGTTTTAATATTTTTCTATTTATTTATAAAAATCTAACAACGAAAAGCGCTACTAATAAATAAATTAAATTTCTTGTGAATATAAAGTATACTTAACAATTGCGAATAGCAACGAAACTTAGCCTACAGATATTTCTATCAAAACACACTCATGTAGAAATACTCAAAGAATTCGAGCTCTCGTAGAAAAGATCCTAAACAGTAAGGCTTTTTACACACGAGTAATGTATCATATTATATCATTCAATAATATCTGAATCTCCAACTGAAAGTACATTTTTAGTGCAAAGTTATTGGAGACGTAACAGGTTTCTAACTAGAAGTTATTATTACTGACTATAAGAGTTATATACAAAGTAAAAATTGCTATGATTTTGTTAAAGAGATCGTTACAATACTTGTAAAAGTTCAATACAGAATTCAGTATATACAATTTTACACAACTCGTGCGCATAGCGTCAAGAAAGGTATTTTAGTGCAAGTTTAAAATTGAATAACAACGTGGCCTATTAAACCGCACTCAACAGTAAATGAAATACCCTGTTCAGAAGACATTGTATATTTTAAAAAATTGTCCTCAGCCTTTTTCAGTGATATCGTTTGTTTTTAATTGCACAGACAGGTGACATAAACCAAAATTTTAGGGGTCCAGAAATATTGGTTCCATATTTTCATAGAAATTTGACCAATTTATCTGATTGAACTTATCTTCAGGCTGCGCTGAGCGAAACCACGTTTAGTGTTAAATAATAAATATTTTGTTTATGCCACCTCCAAGTTGAGTTAAAATTCCACTGCCTGTGTGTGTATATCTAATTCGCTAAGGGATCTATTCAATACAGGGTCTTGAAAAGAAATAAATACTCTGGTAGACGGATACAGATGACATTTAACTTACGACTAGGAAATGGTAATTTGGGGGTCTCCACAAATTCATACAAAGTTGCAGACCAATAATTAGTACATAATATTTACAAATTTATTGAATAACATCTAAATACTGAAAAATAAAAGTTGCCATACCATACTATATAATATTACGCTAAGACGTCCACGTCTACACGTATACGTGTGCGTATACGCGCTGTGTGTACTTTACGAATTAATACTTTTAATAGCCCCTACAAACATGTAATGATGGCACGAGATCATATCATGAACAATAACATTTGAAGAGACCCCATACGTAAGTCGCTAAATTCACTAAAACGATATTTCGAGGATTATGCTAAATTGAGATCCTTACTAAGAACCCCATTTAAAATTCTTATCTATTTTGCCCCAATTCTTACCAAATGTATGTAGAAATTTATTCGATTTATTTATTGCAATAAAATACTATGCTTTACCTAATTCTTAGTATTGCACAACTTCCTACGAAATCGGACGTTTCCTTAATTTCCTTCGCATTTGAAGTAAAGATCTCAACTCGCCGCGTACACTATAGCAACAGATATATCAAGAGAAAAAATAAATGCTTAACAGATCAAAGTTAAATAGCAAAGTCCCATTTAGTTCAAACTACGATTATATACACTTAACAACGGGTATTGACGCTAGAACCCAATTTCGTAAACGCTTCACGATGAACACGACCCTAACAAATAATCAGTGACATCGGCGTTTAAGAAACCGAAGTATCAAAATACATCCTAAGTAAATTAGTTAAAGATTATTTTCATCATATTGTCCTATGCTATACGATTGTAGGACTGACATTGAAGGAGAAGGACACGTTTAATATTAATTCAATCGCAATATAACGACAATTACAGGAATAAGAATAAAAGTACGGTCGGCAAAATTTCTTAAAAACGCTCGAGGTTTTACGTCATAAAACATATTTGCCATAATTTGTTTTTTTTTCTAAACAGGCAAGAATATATCAGCCTTTTACTTATGTCATTGCGTTTCTATGACGTGTGCTAAACGTTCTTTAAACTTCACACTAAAAATACCTTAAACTTGTATTAAATACTTAATACATAAATTTGACAAATTGAGAAGTCACTACATTAAGATTTAACCACATATTCAAACTAAATTGTAAACTGCTATATATGATACGAACCTAGCTTGTACCGTGGATAGTACTTGTTAGAATTTTTGCCGACCGTACATACTAAGGGATTTCTAGATAAAATGTAGAATCGATATTCCGCTATGCAGGACTTAAAAACACTTATTCTACAATTAATTATTTACAAACATAGGTGGGATGATATAAACCTAGTTCACTAATTTATTTCAAGAAAAGAATTTAACTTTCTATAATTATAAATACCAGGAACATTAAAGGTTTGGAAAAACATTCGAGCTACCAAAGAACTAAGTTTAATATTAAATATAATTAATAATTTAAAACACACATGACAATATCGAAGAAAATTATTTAAAAATGTTCATATCAAACGCTAATCTTATCAAAACATCTGCCAAATAGCAGAATACATCGAACTTTATTTTTTGTATAATCCATGATACTATAAATGCATGAGTGTACTTCACTTATATTATTATATAAAACATTGTAAAACCGTAAAAGAAAATTAATTTACTCTCTGAAATAATCTTTGGAATAAAATAACGAAAGGTTCTAACCCAAATTGCAAATAAAGATCAGATTTATTCAATGCTTTATGTTAATTGAACACTCAGTTGCATTTAACACAACCTGGACCGTTAATATTAACAGTGAAACGTTAAATTTTTCATATCTTGTTATAGCAAACTGATCCAATATTTTTCATGATTTGGTATGCCACAGTGAAATATAATTTAACCAGTTTTCTTGCAAAACTCTAAAAATACTCAACATATAAACCGATATTAATACTTGAGAAACACAAATATATGAATACTTTAACAAAATTAAATACCAATAAACTGTTGAACTGAAGACCTAAAAGAAGTCCTGCAGGCGAAATACCGATAGTACAGTTCAGTTGTGCCGCGGCAGCGACACGTAGGCTGGCTCGGGGTCGCGCAGCAGCAGAGGCAGAGTCCGCTTGCGCACGGCCGCGTACAGCGGGCCACCGCCCGCCGGTCCAGCGTCTCATGTTTGTAGAGCCGTGTTTATTTCGCGGTGGATCGTTGACTGGAAATCGAATTATTTCTCATTTATTTTTTCCTGACGAGCTAGTTGGCAGTGTTTCACCCTATATTTGTTTTGTGATACATTGGCTGCCTTTTTAAAAATATATCCGACTAGAGCGACAACTATGCATACGTATGGTTCGATTTAATACACTTATAAAGAAAAACGTGTATCGGTAACAATATTGTAAAAGTATTGCTTAAAGTTAAGTTTTAAAATGAATTACAACTTAAGATAGTCTCTGCAATGGGATATAAATAATCCATTCCAGTCAATGGACTTGTATCTAGGTCATGTCAAATGTCAACATAAATTTAAAAAAAAACATCCTCACCAATTCCTCAATTTGGCGCGAAAGCCGATTGTTCAGCTCTTGTACGACCTGCCTTTGTCCGTCCTTTGCAGCCAGAGCTAACTCCAGTTGGCTGTGGGCCATTTTCGCTTCTGCATCCTGAAACATATGGAAAATTTCAGAAATATTTGAATAAATTTTAATTTACCATACAATTACTAAAATTTAGGTACATTTGGTTATTATTTTTAAATAGTTTAAAAGCTAATAAAATAGCTAATAATTTTCTAATGAATATCAAAATATAATCATAGCGGTGTCAATCACAGAACATATTTTAACTTATAACTTTCGCGTTGTTTGTTTTTTAATTTTTTAATAAAGTTATTTAGTTTAATTTTATAACAACGCATTTTATACAGGTACAATATAACATATATTTACAGGGCTTACCTGTTCACTTTTCTTAGACTTCATGGTTTGTGCCAATTCTTCATTCTTCTGTGCCAACTCCGCTTCTAACTGGGCGATGCGCTGTCGCATCTGCTCGACTTCATTCGCATCACCACCTGAAAATATTTTATACAATTTAACATCTGATTGTAATTATTAAAACTATAATTAATACCAAAAATATACAAAGACTTCTATCTTGTCTGTCGTATTAATTTGACATTTGACAAACTTAAGGTAAATTTTGCCAGTTCCACTCAATCTTTTCAGCGGTTTCTGTTGTACATATATAATATATATATATAAAAGTTTAAGCAACGGTTTCTCGTTTTCAAAAGACGTTAAAAAAAGGAATGATATTCGTTTGTTTGGATTGCTTGCGTCTTACTACGAAATAGCAACACCAGCCTAAACATGAATGATGAATTTTAACAAGAATTAGTGACCTGTTAGTACACGGGAGAAATTCTACAAAAAGATGATCCGTCACGGTTTTAGATGTAACCACCCATAGCTAACCTTTTCCAGCATACTGTCTCGCTCTAGCCACTTCCTCCCTATATTGGTGGAGTTGTCGCTTCCATTCGTCAACATTCGCCGTGCTCTCCTGTAACGCGGCAGTCAGCCTCAAGTTGTTGCTTTTCAGGGTTGCCAGTTCAATTTCCCACTTCTTTGCATTTCCAGAACTGTAAATTAAAAATGCACATAAAATATATAAAATTAAATATCTTATTACCAACATTTTTTATAGGAAAATTAAAACGAATTTTAATCATAATCAAAACAAAGGCTAGATGACAAGATTTTACAACGATAATAAACACCTCACGAATTTTAAACCAAACAAAAATTTTAATTCTTCCACAAAAAAATGGTACGTAGTTAACTTAGATGTTCGAAAAATGTTCAATTTAAATTTGGCCGTTAGTAGCGCTAGTGTACGTAGTAAGTAAGTAGTGTCTTAGACACATATAGTCCGTGTAAGACATGCGCCTGTTCACGATATTTTCCTTAATGGTTAAATTGCACACATAGAAAGACAAATCCTTTCACGTACAGCGTATTCAAACCCACGCCCATTTTGGGAATGGCACTCTTAACCGCTATACTAACACCGTTCATGTATTAAGAAATCAAAGCTAACCTATTTTTAAATTACGACAATTGTTAAAACTCATCACTTTGGTCAAGTGTGAAAACTTTCGTTCGCAATATGTATCGTTGCGTAACGTTTACGCGAGTTAGGCACGTAATCATTACGATGTTAACGTTAATAAAAAATATCGTTCCGTCATTTTATTTAAATTCATGAATCAACAGTTTTGATAGATCGAGTCATTCAGAACCTTTATTTAAATACCAATATTTTGTGTCTTAAACAAAGCGAAACGTAACGTAAATAAGCACACGTAACATCTTAAGCTTTGAAATAAGCTTTATTCTGGAAGATAATATAAGTATTAAGATACCAATAGACTTGTGTTAATAAAGTCAAGGAACGAAATGTCATACATAAGATTTATAATTTACATAATTCGTTTGGCCTTGGCACATTTCCGATTCCACACACATACAGCAAATATGTATCTTATATCACTTTAGCATAGTATATTATAATCAAAGATCTTGAGAACAACATAAACCTTACATGAAATCAGAATTAAATAGATATATATATATAATTCTTCTGTGAGTGTGTATGTCACTGAACTTCTCTCAAACGACTGGACCGATTTTGATGATTTTTTGTGTGTGTTCAAGGGGATCTGGGAATGGTTTAGATTCACAAATCAGCCCGGCAGATGGCACTGCAGTCGGTACTTTCATACTTTGCTTAATATCCTAATCGCTTTAAATATCATGCAGGACAACGTCTGTGGGGTCCACTAGTAGATATATACGATTGCATTGCTTAAAACACAATGCGAAAGCGAAAGCTATGGCTGTATTATGGTAAGTTTTGAAAATGAGTTGGAACACCGTTAAGAATGGGCCTGCATTTTATATTGCAGAATGTTAACAATTTCATTTACAACATATGCAATTATATATATTACATAACTTGCAAAAGTTTGATTATAGCCCTTACGTTATAGACATAAGAACTAAAATCGTTCTTCGTGCCCATCTCGAATAAGAATCTCGATTGTCGAATTTATTGTTCATTGCTCTGATTCTTTTCAAAGCATTGATATAATCGGTAAACTGCTTTTGCAACTGTTAATTAACTGTATGAAATGAATTCAAAATTCCAGGTTTTCTAGGGTTATTTCAACCCTGGAAATTAAGAAATTTTAAAATATGTATTCTTATACCATATCACATCCAACAGGCGTTACAAAATGCCCCATTACTCGATATAATATACGTAGGTATGATGCAATTTTGTTACAAGAGAAAAATTGCTGCTAATCATTAAAATCTACGGAAAACAGATCGTAATATCGATTCCAATTATAATTTTATATAAGTATTCGCATAATCCATCTACTCATATATTAAGTATCAACAAGTTTTATAAAGAACTTGTTATTACTACCTTTCGTACCGAAATAAATATCACATATAAATAGTTCTACCACGATTATGATCAAGTGTTTAATGCGACCCTGAGCCGGGTAGTCTGTAGCTTCTGCAACTTTTCGGTTCGCGCGGTACAAAATTTAAACGATAGTATTGGCGCTGACAATTTTTGTAAATATCAAAACGCACTTTAGCACATTATTCTTCATCAATAGTCGCTATATTGATAAAAAAATATGTTTTTGTTAAAAAACCTTTTTTTGAATTAGTATCAAAACATCCAAAAATATACCTTATGAGGAAAATCATACTAGACTAGGTATATTTATATTTAGATACTATAGATATAATTACTGAATAATTAAAAAAAGGGTGCGTGTTGGTAGGGGAGCCCACGATGCTAAATGGGGATTTACTCGAGCGTCGTAGAGACCTATTGGGATACAAAGCTTAGATAAAAAGAAGAAAAAAATGTTATATGATAAATTCGTTTTCATCGGTGGGGGAAGCGGCTATAGATAGTTAAATATGTAAAAAAAAACTGTTGCATGGACATCCTCGAGCGCGTCAGATATTGATAGCATCTATGCCCTACGTATTTTTAATAATGTACGTATGTTAATCTGATCGTTTGCATGATGCGGGTGGTTGTATTTAAGGGTTGAAAATTAAAAAAAAAAAAAATTTATCGAGCGCGTCAGATTTTCTAAGGGAGTGTTAAGTGCACCAAAAAAAATCTCTCATTCACTAATCTGACGATTTCGATGGGACGCAAACCCACAGCCATTTTCTTAATTTGCAAAAAAAATCGCAATTTTGAAATACTCAAGCGCGTCAGATTAAGATATATGTGGTTCATCTTTATGTTCTAAACGTACTGTCTCATAATCTGACGATTATCTAGAGGGATTCGCCTGATCTGACAAAAAAATAATAGAAAAACGGTTCACCTAAAGGGCCATCCCTGCAACTTCCCGCTAATTCCATTCCTGGGCGCTTAAAATTGATATTTTGAGCTCGCTGAGTTCAAAGAAATAACATTTCTATGCATTTGAGCTCTCCCAGCTCGAAAGTCTGATAGAAGTTTCATAGAACACTATTTTTGGAATTTTCAAACCGCAATAACTTTTGAATGGATCAAGCAATTTTCACGCGGTTGGCGGCATTCGACGCAGTTTTATCATTCTCATAAGTAATTTTGCAATTTTAATTGATCGAACCACAAATTTCGGAGTAATCCCGAAAAACACTTTTTCGGGTTTCTTTCATGTACGATATCTCTCGAACGAATCAACCGCTTTTGACCAGCTTGGTGGCGATCGACGTGGTTTTTCAAGCTCAAAGGCGGATTAGTTTTTGAAGTTGATCGATAAAGAAACCACTTAAAAAAAAATATTTCTTATTTTTTTAAGATTTTTCAAAATTTCTCAAAATCTATCGGTCCGAATCGGTTCAAATTCACAGGAAATGTAATTTTGAGGGAAATATTTTGAACGCCGTTTAGTAGATTCCGATCGGTTTAAGGAAATGTAGGCATCACGCAGCTGCACGCATTTAACTTTATCGACGAATTTTTGTTATTTCGGCTTGCGGAAATCGTCAGATTATATATTTTTCATTATTCTGGAATTATTTCCTTCAAAATAAAAGAAAAATTAGCTACGCTCGAGAATGTCGAGATGACGTTTTTTTTTACAACTTTGTTGCCCTCCCCTTTTTTCCGTCACTCTCAAATTGTCAGATTAGTGGAATATACACTTTTTAGGATGTAATTAACTCACCCTACCTTAATCTGACGCGCTCGGGAATTTCTGATGGTCAATTTTTTTTTACTAATCTGATCCTGTCTCCTTCACGCGCGGCCTTATATATGGGCCTCATATTTTGTGGAGGTACTTAACCGGGTACAAGGTATCCCCCTATATAGTAATCTGCCGCGCTTTAGTAAATCCCGAAATCCCCTCTTGGGCTCCCCTACCATGTACTTATGTACGCGCGTAAGAAGTTATACTTCTTTGGCATTACTAAAAATAGTTTTTGATTGCATGCAAATAATTAATTACAATTAAATAATCAAAGACTGGAAAAGGAGTCATTAAAGTCAATAAAGTTCAGTTTACATTTGAAAAATTAATTAAATAAATATTTATTATTATTCTCTTACATTAAACAAATAAAACACTATTTATCTTTAAAACATTTTTATTTCATTATACTATTTATTTTTAAGTGACTCTAATGTCTTCATCAGAATTTCGGTTTGTAATTTTAAATTAATCATTACTTGGTTGTGCATCTACGAGGCTTCTCCAAAACTACTTGCTTTCTGCAACAAATAAGAGAATATTAATTTAAGCTCTGTCCATGCAAAACTTAAAATTTTTTATAATTCATATTATAAATTTTTAACACATTTATATTAATATAATTATATAAATGTGTTAATAATATAATTTGTAGCACATGCTACAGACCTGGATAGCAACTTTCTTTTATTCTATTTAGAGATAGAGATAATTTAAATATAATACCGGTGTCTTCCTTGTAGGTTTCTTTGGAGTTGTTTGGGGATTCTTGTTGTTCAGTTCGACATGATTTTCTTTAACCTTTCTTTAATCCTACAAAATAATGAAATTGTTAAGTTATGTTGTCACTGTTGTGCACACCTTTGTTTGGCTTTTTTAGTATTCAAGTTATGTCAAAACTGATTTATTACCTTGTCATTGTTGGCTTTATTTGCTTTTGGGATATCAATTGTTTCCAAAATGATTTTATTTGTAATAACCTGAAATATATAAATAACATCTATTAATTTAAGTATCATGGTGAGTGGTTCGCACTCAGGTATTAAGGTGTATTATACCCACTGTCCATTATAAGTGGGAATGGGCTCACTTCTGGCAGGACAGAGTTTCGGTACTACAAGTGCAACATGGATGTTTTGAGGTATTACAATATCTCTAACTACCCTGTAGGGGAATAAAGTAATGTTGTAAGCATATGCCTATGCTTGAAAGGTTGAACCTTGAACATCACCATACATCATATTTATAATTAACATTCCTACCTCGACACCATCACAATCAAATTCATTGAAATCTACTTCAAACCATTGTGTCTCGAGAAGGTGATGGTGGCTTTGTTCCACCTCCAGTTTTTGATGTTTCACGGCGATAAGATGACAACTCTTTTTTTGTATTCAATTTAGTGCACTTCCACTGATTCATCAATTGTTTTTTGTCTCTTGTCCTTATATTTGCTAGATTAAATCTGATGTTTTGATTAAATAATGTGGTCATTTTTTTGAGATGCAGGTACTTATTAAAATGTTTACTTCTCTGTTATATCGCTCCAAGCCTTCATTTTCTCCTTATTAGTATTCGTGCTTAAATCTTTGTTCTCAATTATTGATATATAGGGTCGTAGAATATTTCTAAAAAGTTGCTGTAACAAACGCAATAAACAAAAGGAATGAATAATGGTTCATGTTTCAGTTTTAATCAACAATAATACTCGATAATACATACGGATAGTTAACCTCAATTGTATTGAAGCACTCAGGAAGGTTAGCACAGTTTTTTCACAAATATTTTATATTATTTCACAAATATTTTGTATAATGAAAATAACTAGGTATATAATTATTAATTTTAAACAATAATTAAAACTCCTATATTTGTTTAAAAGGTAAATGTCATTGTCAGATGTCAATTGTCATGGTCATTCAAAATTCTTGTTAAGCTGCTAAGCTAGAATATGCGTGAAGTTAGCTTCACGCATATTCTATTTCTTTTTACTTGTAGTTTGTCTTATTCCCATCTCGCTCGCGCACGCTATATCACACTGCCAATTTTGTGTCATAGGTGCGCGCGCAATCGTAAAATTTCACTCTCATCAATTTTTCATAACGCGCCTAAAGAAGTACAACTTCAAAAATATGTTTATTATGGAATATAAGAGACAGGTATTACTTATTTCACGTCATTAAATTTGAATCGGTAGACATCCCTTCTAATCGGCAAAGAAGACAGAGGGTGTAGGCCGAGAGAAAAGGCAGGCGTAACAAACTCGCAACATTTAAAATAGCAAATCATCATACAAAATGACTATGTCAAGCAACACTTATTTTAAAACAAACATCACAAATTAATTAAAGGCATATAACGTTTGACTTTATTGCTACTATATAGTAAAGAAAAAATAATTGTGAAGAAGTGCAAGAGTAAGAAACCTAATTAATTTATAATACAAAAACAATATAATAATGATGAAACAATAATATATCAATGAAATCTTAATATTAATAAAGAACTTATTATCAATAGACATACCAAAACTAAGACAAAAAAGAAAAGGAAAATGTAAAGATAAAAACATAATTATTAAAAATGATAATTACGACCACAATATCAACATTTCTCGAATATACACTATTTTGATTACTGTAATATCGTTCTTGTATTTATGTTCAGAAGACTATTTATAATTATATATTTATTAATCATAATTTGTATGTCAGAACTAAACTATGCTGGTACAATTTACATAATTCTTAAGTCTCTTGGGGTAAAACGAGTAAAGCATAATAATCGAACTTGAGAAAGTGTTTGTAGACTTCTTTCATACTACGATTAATAAGCAGTTTTAAATAAGTCTTTAATGTTTGAAGGCCCGTCTCAAAAACCATTTTAGTAATCCGGAGATTCAAATCCCGACGAAAGAAATATATACAAAATACAACATATATACAAATTCATATTTTGAGTTTTTTTTTGTTAATCAATTATGCACTTCTTGTATTTTACCCTTGTAGGTATTTCTTTATTTATTGTTCCATATTAGGGTTGCCTGGAAGAAATCGCTTGTTAGCGATAAGGCCACCCGTTGCCTAATAACTTATGTAACCTGCTTTTTTATATTTTTTATGTATGAATTTGTATATTATGGTAACGAAGTAAATAACATTTTGTGAAATAACAGGCGTAAACTTTAATCTAGTTCTATGCTGTCGTAAACGAAAACTAAAATAGCTAGCTGCTACTAACTGTAGTTACAATTATAGGTGTTAAATAATGATGACGAGTAGATAGTAAGATTTTGTTTTCGATATAATTGTATATTAATTGTATTTTATTATTATTATAATTGTATTTTTTTTAAACCTACGCCTTATCGACTATTGTCGGTATATTGAGCTCGCATATATTTTATTAATCAGGACGTACTGATATTAAGATTTTTTAAATATGATAATAGACAATTAGGATATGCGAATGCGCCTTTCAACTCGCGTAGTCTCCTTTGGTTTCAAAAGGAAGCCATTTTGTTTACGAATTTAAATGAATGCCCATAGAAATCATAATAAAATAATATCGTTCAGCGATTATAATAAGATTTAATTATAATCCAACCATCACGGATTACTTCCACTACACCGGTGCTGAATTTAATTATTCCGGCATAATCGTTCAACATCCATCATATTTGGTGCATATGGAAGCATTATTGGAAAACCCCACTTCTACAATTTCCACGTTATTACTGTATTAGATCGTCGAATGTTTTACACGTAATTTTTGTAAGATTGGTGGGATACAAATTCGAAACTTAGCGCGCGGTATGTCAAAATCCACTACGGTTTTGACATAAAGGAGTCATACTTAACGCTTAACCTCGACTCTCGAATCTTACCCTATAAGTTCTAGTCAACGAGTTAAAAATTTATCAGAAATAATATTATTTTATTGGAAACCCTATTTACCCTTTACCCTATACACTATATAATAAATCGGAGTTTCATTTTTCATAGACAACATAAGGGCTGAACGTTTCAATTAATATGTACAATAAAAGTTAGTGTCGCGTAGGTGTTGTTTCAGTAATAATTAAGACATTTTAATGCTTCCTAGCGAGTAGGCCACTTCAACATTATCCGACACGATAATCGTCTTCCGACACTTTGTTACCAACGCATCCTGAGTGTTTTTTTATGTATAACACGCATAGATCCAGAAAGTTTAGAAAAACTTATCGTACCTGGCAGAGTGGATGTCTACTCGCTGGACCGATCAAGTAAATGCCCTTACAGGTCTTACCATCACCGAGGCGCAGAGGCTTGCCGAAGACAGGGAAGAGTGGAGGGAGTTATGCAGCGCCACTGAAGGAGACGGTTATAAATATCTATCTAATTGTTATGTTGCTAAATATATTGTAGAGTTTTATATATTCGAGATGGAAATGCACCGCCTGCCTAAGTAAAGCGACATGAGGCTCGAGTCACTCTTGTCTCTGCTAGAGAATGTAAGACCATGGACCTTGGGGACAATGTAAGGAAAACCCATTTTACTACATCGGGAACTACCACGGCCGGCCAAGGCAAAGATCTCGTTAAAACATAAGAGAGCGATTGTACATTTAGTTTACTAAGAGTACCTAATACAGTCAAAGACATAAAGTAAAAACTGTGTGAGAACACACAAGAATAGACAAGTGTTACATTCAAGCTAACTTGACCAGAATTAGCCAGCTATTACATATTTACATACCTATATTGTTTTCCTTCTAAGGAGTGTAAGGCAACGCTTGATATTTAATTAAAAAGTAATCGTGTCGTATTTAATAAAAACTGTTTTAGCAAATTACTACCAAGTGCCACATATTATTAGGCGTTGCGCTATATTCAGACTGTATAGTTTTTTGCAATACTACTCATGCGTTATAAAATATTATACACCAGTTATACTATCAGATTTTACGTTAATTTTACTATCGGTAATTAAGTCATTTGAGTTACTCGGTCCGGTTGTTAGGTAATTATCGTAACTTTGTTTTGTAAACGCAAAGTTCCTATCAGCAACCACCTATCGTTATTGCTAAGGCCTATGGTAGAAAATTGGGGCACGTACTCCAATTCCTATCTAAGATAACTAGATTTGTGAATAATTGTCATTCTGGAATACGCGCTACGCATTCTACAAAATTCTATCTACACCTGTATGACTGTGTTTTTTATTCTTCTAGAACAGATTTTTTTTTAATTTTGGTTGGTTTGACTTCAATATTCTCTTCACTCAAAGAAAGTTTCATTAAAATTTTATGAAGTTTGACATATGTCTAGCATACCTTGTATTCTAATCAAATACAGTATTGAAACTTAAAACTCGTATAATTTTTGAACAAAAGTAAATGTGCTTAGTATTGCTACAAACGTTTAGGTCTGGGCATCACATTTTTGTATCTGTTTCGAGATCATTTGTTTTTTTCTAATATACAATTAGGTGACGCAGTCGACTTTTTGGATCTAAAGAATGCCGTGCGAGTGTTAAACGTACACAGCCGTGGTTCGAACCTACAGCCTCAGGGATGAGAGTTGTACTCTAAAGCCTCTAGGCCAACACTGTTAGAATTATGTGCAAGGAAGCAAAAAATAAGCCTATAAGCCTAAACGCAAAGTGAATTTACTAGGCTATTAACCAAACATAAAATTCGATTTAGGAATCTGAACATACTAAATATTAAAACGACATATGTCACATCGATTAACAAAGCAAAAACGCCTTTCATTGTACGATATACGATTTAGAGTGAATTGATATGTTTCAAATCCCCGATTGGCATATAAAAGTAGGGATTTATACATGCGTATAAGCAGACAGTGGTGTGAATATAATTTACTTTCATAAGTGAACCATAGTTGGGAAGTGAATTTTTCGTGTCCACAGAAATATGGAAATTCTCGTAAGTAAACTTCTTAATTCAAATCTTTTTTTGAAAAATTAGAATTTTTTAAAAAGAAAATCACTATTGAAGAAAAATTAATTTTTTTAAGCTTCCAACATCTATTAATCTTTTATTAGAAAAAATAAAATTATATTTCGATACGGCTACACCGTTAAATTCGATTTCATATTACTTCATGAACGCGGTAATGTTAAATGTCTTAACATAATCGTATCACGACCACGGACGTATAACATTATGTCTATTTCACATTATCTGTATCTATAATTTACATAAATATCTGTAATTGAAAACATACGAATTATATTTTGATTTATAGTATGTCATAATATTTTATCATACATATTGCCTAGTTTCAATTAAACTTTTAAGGCTCCGCATTAAGGTTTTATTCGTTATCATTTATCACATATAACTTTTATCTTAATATTATGTATCTTCCCCAATATGCGTTTTTGTATAAATATGAAATATGTATCTACATATAACATAAAATAACTATTTTGAAACGTAAGTCATGAAACGATTTATTTTACTGTAATACTAAATCTCTCGTAAGGCATGTCGGCAAAAATCATTAAAAAGCGATTTTTTTTTACGCACAACCGACGTAAGTCTAAGTACGGAAACTGAGTCCACAAACCATCAAAGAAGCAAATATGACTTGAGAAGTTGACAGCCCAAAGTCATGAGTGCCTTTAATATCTATTTCGAGATTATTACCAGATACACTAGCAAGACTTAGTTAGCAACATAAATGTAAATAAAAGGATAATATTATCATTAGGTATACGGAGTGTTAATCTAAACCATTTAATGTAGTATGTAGCGTATAAAGATTTTGTTAATTTGGTTATATATAGCTTTGCTTATTTATAATATTCGGAAGTGGCATCGCGTTGATACGCACGCGTTCTGGCGTCACTAATTGTCGGAATAACCAATTAATTCACTATACATCGCCTGACGGCAGCTGACATATTAATTTTACTTCCGTATGCAACATTGTACTGGGCGTACACAAATACATATATAAATTATTAAAAAATATAGAATATTTACCAGACATATCAAAATTAAGAAGAATTTTTGAAGACGCATAAATAAACTCAGGAAAATAAGGTAGTGACGTAGAATATTTGTTTGCATGTAGCTTTGCTTGCGTAGGTCTATGCGGCTGACAACACGGTTTCGGTTTTTAATCGTTAAAAAATTGCCTCAAACACGTTTTGTCATTAAGACACAAAAGAGTACTAGACTTTTTTTTAATAATGGTGTAATTTTCACATGCCTGTGGTTAGGTCTACGTTTCTTTAGATTGAAAAGTTAACAGGAAATCCTTTTTAAAATATTTAGATATTAGAAAACGATTCTAATAAGTCCTTTGGCCCGTACTAATCAAAAACAGATATAAAGACTTAGGTAGGAAATCTTTTTGAGTCCTGTTTTCTATACTTTAGTACTTTCACCGGTCCTTCTCGAAATCAATTTAGTCCAACGATTCGATAAAATATTTGTAACAAATCATATCGAATCAGTGCGTTTATAACATCGTCAAAGATGTCAAGTGAAATGGCGCAACGCACGCAAATAGGAAATAAACATTTGACGAGGAAACAGGCCGTTAAACATTTTAGTGTTTCGCATAATGGAACTCAAGATCCAAACATAATTAAATTGTGTTTTGCCATTTGCAACGCTTGAAGTTATTAAAAAAATCGCAAATCTCGCAATAATTTCTTCATTAGCATATTTATTTTATTTAAATCAATCTAGATTAGCTCCTTCCGCGTTATATTTCTAGTTTCAGTTCAGTAATTTCGGTTTTAAAATTTAATACTGTGTTTTGTTAACAATTTCAAAGTAATTTATTCCTAAAAACTATAATTTAAGTGAGTCGTAAGTCTTGAGTGAGCAATTTAATTTTCGATATTACAAATTATGTATGTTGTACATAGGGGGGGAGGGGCATAAGAATTTTAGTAAGGGTAAGGTAGGGCATGGCACAAAAATGGTTGGGAAACACTGATATAGTTATATAGATATAGTAATTCATTAGAATTTTAATAAATCAAAAGCATAAATGGAGATCCCAGCTAAGTTTAAAAGAGTTACAGTTGTTATGTAGTATCTTTATCAATCATTAGAAAAAAATTACATAAGTAATCAATAACACTTAAGCGTTAAGTTTCGCACGAGAGCGTAAACTTTCGCGTTAAATTATGCAACGTCATCGTCGTAGCTAGATCATCTCAATGGTAATCATTTACGATTTCTTCTATTGCATAGTAAAACCGTGTGTTATGCATAAGTAAGAACAGCGTTCGCCTAGTGGCTACAGCCTGCGACACTTATTCCTGAGATCGTAGGTTCAATCCCGGCTGTACACCAATGGACTTTCTTTCGATGTGCGCATTTAGCAGTCGCTCGAACGGTGAAGGAAAACATCGTGAGGAAACCGACTTGCTTTAGACCCAAAAAGCCGACGGCGTGTGTCAGGCACAGGAGGCTGAACACCTACTTGCCTATTTATTAGATTGACAAATCATCAGATACAGAAATCTGAGGCTCAGACATAAAAAAGGTTGTAGCGCCACACATTTATTTTTTATGTATATATAATATTTCTGAACTGTGGTAGCAAAGAAATTAACGCTTTTTTTTTATTTAATGTCAAGACATAAAAAAATCGCCAATTAAGTTTAGGCGCAGAAATGGCAACATCTACCTATCCGTATATGTATGTGTTTCTTCTCAACAGAAATCATTACCACTTTTCGTGCTCTTGGCGTCAGCGCTGGCCCAATATGAAGGCTACGGACTAGAAGGGCATGGATTAGACCAAGGTCTCCAAGGTTACGAAGGGTATCACAGGCCCTTGGTGCATCATCAGATACTGGAGCACCATAACGAAGACTATGACGTAGATTATCATGTAAGCGAAATTCGCTGATTATATCGGTTAAAGAAGTTTTTTTAAATGTTTTTTACGAGTATTAAGGTGGCTCGTTACTCACTTTCGATTAGCCTAAAGGTCTTGTCATCAATTCCCATGGCAAAAAGGTTGCCATTTAGTAGTCTAGAATGTATATAATATTAAACATTAATTAAACATTCAAAATCAAACTTAAAATGACTTTATTCATATAGATACAATTACACTTATGAACGTTAGAAAAGAAGTTAAATTAATTATTAATTTACATTTACTATCAGTTCGCAAGTCAAGGGCGTAGAGCGGGCAAGAAGAACTGACAAGAAACTTTCCGCCACTCTATTTAATCGCTAAGTTTTGAGTCATACAAATTGTTTGAACTGGAGCAAATCAATCCCAAGGATTTGGATCATTTAAATATTCGTCAAATTTATAAAAAGCTTTAAAGTATCTATTTTACCGTATTTTATTTTGCAGGCGCACCCAAAATACTCGTTCGACTATTCCGTAAAGGATCCACACACTGGTGATGAAAAAGAACACTGGGAGACGAGGGATGGGGACAAAGTTAAAGGTATAAACAAATTTTCTTTTTTTTATATAACAGGGGGAAAACGGGCGGGAGGCTCACCTGATGCTAAGTGATACCTCTCGCCGCCCACGTTGCCATAAGTGCGTTGCCGACCTTTTTCATAATTTTGGCCTTAAAATCTAGTAACTACTACAACTTGTGTCTAATGCCATCTAGTGGAATCAAGGCGTTACGTATAAATTTTTCAGGTTCCTACACTTTAATGGAAACGGACGGAACAAAACGCATAGTGGAATACGAAGCGGACGACAAAAACGGTTTCAACGCGGTTGTGCACAGAATAGGTCACCCGAAGGTCGAGGAAGAATACAAAATAGCAAAACCAGTATATGAACCACAGTATCAGGAGGAATACCAGGCGTATGACGGAGGGTTTGTACCCATCGAAGGATACGAACATAGACATTGAGACAGTATTATCTATGATTTCATTTTCCTTGTCTATTACAGTGGTAGGGTATCGGAGCTAACTTCGCGTCTGTGAATACATAATTCACGGACTGACTAATTAATAATAACTTTGGCTTTTTTAAACTGGACAAGCGACCATAACTGCAAAACATTACATAAATATTTTTTATAATATCTTCATATTCGTATTACAGATAGTTGAAATATGAAATAATACATATTAAACTTCTCAATTTGGTCGTGTAATAAATATATAAAGGGTCCAAGTCCAAGTTCAGGATAAAGTTTTAATATAACCAGTATTATACATTGTTTCATACATTGGTATTTTCCCTAATATAATGTATGAAGTTGTGTAATTTGAACACTGTTTCGCCAAGCAAGTGATATTCAGAACAGGAGTAATATCATAATATCTGCCTATTGTTGTTTTATAGCGAGACTGGTGCTCAATTGTATTGTGATTCTTGTAAAATATTATTTTTAGACTTGTATTTTTATTCTTGAATTGATAAGACTGTAGTAATGTAGATATTAAGTAGTGTACAAAATTCATTTATAATAAACCTTTTTATTGTTGTTTTTGTCTATTATTCTAATATGTTATAAACTCTTTACATCAATTTTCGTGCAGATATTAGGAACCACTTTGCCACACTTAACGTATGATAGTTCTTAATAATGTTGTTTAAGTTTAATATCACAAATTCTTTAATACTTTATTTATATATATCGTCTATATATTAATAAATACAAAATATCATTTTACAATACCCATGGAAGAAATATGATTCTAAATTTTATATCCTTTTATACGAACAATACCAATTAACATTGGCAGTGTGTGTTGTCATACACCCCAATAAAACTGCTCACAATTAAAAAAAAGAACATTATTTGTTTACTGCCACATTTTCCGTAATCGATGTCTACGGTGATTGAAACATTGACTAAAGTGCCCTGTAAACGATCAAATTGTTTGTCAAACTTCACGTTTTCATCAAACAATAGCTTAAACGATCAAACCAAATATCAATCAAATTTGTAAAATTTCTAGTAGATTCTGGTTTCTACTTTCGTGACGTGACGTAGCCGTGCCGAGCGCGAGTAATTCAGATGACGTATTTTTGGCATTGACTCTAGCACTGTGTATCAAGACAAAAAAAAGAAGACGATGGAGTCGAGAATGGTTAAAATTAAGAGATAAATATACCCACGAGAATTTTCTACGGGAAATATTGCGTACAGAACCTGAAGACTACGCAAACTTACTGCGCATGGACCATAAAACTTTTGAAGATTTACTGACTATACTCCGTCCTCGTATTGAAAAAAATAAAGATCTTGTCCATATAATCTTTTGATTTTATTTTCCATAACATCGCCATAGCACGATAAACAGATATGAAATGCAACGTAAATTCTTTGTTCGTAATATTGCCACTCATATCGTCACTGAGCGTAGCGTCCTCCATGATGTCAATACAACCAGTGAGATCTTGTTTGACAAACACCGCCGTACACGTTCAAACCTGTTTGTCAAACTCGACATCAATCCAGATTTTCATCAAACACGACAAACACGTAGATTATTTGACAAACGCCTCAAACACAGCAGTACACTATCAAATTATTTGACAAACACGTAAAATTTGACAAACAATTTGATCGTTAAAGTGCCCTGTAAACGATCAAATTGTTTATCAAATTTGTTTGTCAAACTTCACGTTTTCATCAAACAATAGCTTAAACGATCAAACCAAATATCAAACAAATTTGTTAACTTTCTAGTAAATTCGGGTTTCTCCTTTCGTGACGTGACGTCGCCGTGCCGAGCGCTTACAATTATTACAATGAGTAATTCAGATGACGCATTTTTGGCTTTGACTCTAGCACTATGTATCAAGACAAAAAAAAGAAGACGATGGAGTCGAGAATGGTTAAAATTAAGAGATAAATATACCCACGAGAATTTGCTACGGGAAATATTGCGCACAGAACCTGAAGACTACGCAAACTTCCAGCGCATGGACCATAAAACTTTTGAAGATTTACTGGCTATACTCCGTCCTCGTATTGAAAAAAAGGACACAGTTATGCGGAAATCTATACCAGCTTCTCAAAGGTTATCAATAACTTTGAGGTACCTGGCTAGCGGCGCCGATTTCGAAGACTTAAAATTTCAAGCCTGCGTTGCACCTCGTACATTGAGCAACATTATCATTGAAACTTGTGAAGCAATAAATGAAACACTATTCAACAATATTCAGGTAAGGTTTTATTTAATAAATAAAATAAAAAGCCTTTTATTTCTTGCTAAAAGATATACAAAATAACATACTACTTTACGGTTTACTAAAAAGAAAAAAAAATCGCGATAAACAGATATGAAATGCAACATAAATTCTTTGTTAGTAATATTGACACTCATATTGTCACTGAGCGTAGCGTCCTCCATGATGTCAATACAACGAGTGAGATCATGTTTCAAACTCGACATCAATCCAGATTTTCATCAAACACGACAAACACGTAGATTGTTTGACAAACGCCTCAAACACAGCAGTACACTATCAAATAATTTGACAAACACGTAAAATTTGACAAACAATTTGATCGTTTACAGGGCACTTAAGAATATCCGCATTCCAAATTCAAATTTCATCAAAATCTATATTTATCTCTAGGAATCAAAAAGCTATTTTGGTCCCTGTCTACTGTGATCTTTCTGATTAATAAACGTGATAAAAACAATATAATTTTTTTGCTCGCATTCACATGTATGTCCGATAACCTGTCTAACGGATGACACACATGCATTGGATATTTAATGCAAGTAGATGACAAAGAATATATACGCCGAAAGGCATGTTGTTTTGAGGATAATCACACACGGCACTACGTTATCTGGTTTCTCGTTATAACCACCAAGCTACTAAACTACTCGTTACATAACGATTCCGTAAGCGATAATTATTTTATGCTTGAGAAATGATAAAAGTGGTGTTCAATAAAGATTGATTAATTACTAACGGACAATGTTTATGTAATGGAATTTATAAGCATTTTTATTGGATATGCACTCTTTATTCTTATAATGAAAAATGATTATCTGTTTGTGTTTTTCAATGTATGTATTAAATATTATTAGTTGTGTAACCAGATTTTATACAGACAGAATACCAAGATTAAGGTTTTTATTAATTTATAACCAAAATAAAGAGGTTTTGTTATATTAACATTAACAAAACATGAAAACGTTATGTATTTATCGAGTATTATTTGTGTTGGTACAGTTCTGGGGGTAATCTTTTCGTCTATCTCTTAGTTTAGTAGCGACATCGAATGGCAATCCCTTCTTTGCTTGGACTTTTAAAAAAATGAAATAATGTCCACAAATAGAAAAGAATGAAAATACATTTACTTGGTTAAAATGTATAAATATCAAATATCGTCACTGTAACCAAAAATCGGCCCGATTCAGCTTTAAATGTCACCAGTAAAACTGATTTTCAGTGGGCCCTTTTTATCTTGTTGGACGACCACCACACAAACATTTATAAACAAATTAAAATATAATAGCTATTAAAAAAAAATTATGTACAAACAAACTAAACGAAAACGAATCAACTCAATTCCAAACCATATGTATTTTATTTAGACAGACATTCTAGAGCACTTATAATTTTACTAATTGTCCTACCTATTTATTACAAATATTATATTCGTACTGTGACGTACCTCTGCGCAAGCGCAAGTCGGAGCTTATCGTTCTCATAGCGAAGCTGATCCGCAGTGTCAGGGGGCGTAGGCTCCGCGGCGGCGCCCGAAGAGGCCAACGGACCTCGACCCGCACGTCCCACCGTCGCGTATCCACCGCCAGCCTATAAAAATCCATATAAAGTAATACATATTTCTATATTTTAAGATTAAAATTTTATCATACAGAAGTCAATATTTTCTATAAAAAAAAATATTTATTGTTCTAAAATAGCTTTTACGTACTCGTCATGCCAACGACTACTGTTTTATTATAACATTGTGCTTAAAATTTTACTTATGAGATTAGCTGAACTATGGACAGAAGATAGAAAGGCTGGTAAAGCGACACTGGAAATTTTGCGAATTCCTTAACCACCATAACGGATGGGTCCAAGATTGCTCGTTCAGCTGCATATTAAGAAGTGATTCTAAGCTAATTTTAAGTAAAAAATAAAATAAAATAAAAATAAAATAAAAAAATAAAATATGTTTATTATGGAACATAAGATACATGTATCACTTATTCCACGTCATTAAATTTGAAGGCATCCCTACTCATCGGCAAAGAAGACAGAGGGTGTAGGCCGAGAGAAAAAGCCGGCGTAAAAAACTCTCGGTACTCTTTTAAAACAGCAAATCATCAAACAACACTTATTTAAAACAAATATCGCAAATTGATTAGAAGTAGCCTGTCTAGCACTAGTCCCAGGCCCTTTTATCAACTAGATAATCGTTGACTTTATAGTAAGCCTTTTTACACAGCTTTTCTTTAATACATTTCTTAAATTTATTGAAAGGCAGTGATAAAAGAGCCTCTGGGATTTTATTAAAGAAGAGTATCCCTTTCCCCAAAAAAGAATTACTAACTTTAGATAGTCTAGTACGGGGAAATTGCAGCCTGCGTTTGTTCCGTGTATTAACATTGTGCGTATGTTCTATTCTAGTAAACTTATCACTATTTTTGTATACATACATAATATTTTCATAAATATATTGCGAGGGAAAGGTAAGTATATTAATTTCCTTGAATTTATCTCTAAGAGATTCCCTACATTTTAAATTATAGATTGCACGAATAGCCCTCTTCTGCAGGATGAAAATAGTTTCGACATCAGCAGCATGACCCCATAATAATAAGCCATAAGTCATTAAGCTATGAAAGTAACTAAAATAAACAAGTCTAGCTGTATCGACATCAGTTAGTGAGCGAATTTTTTTAACCGCGTAGGCTGCAGAACTAAGTCTCTTCGCCAATCCGTTAATATGAGGGGACCACTGAAGTTTTGAATCCATGGTGATTCCGAGAAATACAGTTGTATCATCCAGATTCAATTCCTCACCGTTTATAATTGGTCTAGTATCCATAACCCTTGCATTTTTTGCACAAAATTTAATGCATTTTGTCTTTTTGCATTAAGTAGAAGGTTATTCATACTAAACCAATGGACAATCGAAGACAGAGCATTGTTCACATCGTCAAAATTTGTTATTTGTCGTTTGATTTTAAAAATCAAGGACGTGTCATCAGCAAACAAAACTATCTGATGTTTTCTCTCTACCATGAAAGGTAGATCATTTATATAAACAAGAAAGAGGAAAGGGCCAAGAATTGAGCCCTGTGGTACCCCATATCTACTGCCGACCCAGAGGACCTCTTACCATTCACTTCAACCTTCTGAGTTCTTCCGTGTAAATAGGAAGTCAGAAGATTCAGTGCGGTATTCTTGATGCCATAGTGGCGGAGTTTCCCGATTAAGGTCTCGTGTTGGACACAATCAAATGCTTTGGATAAGTCGCAGAAAACACCTAAAGCGTCATGCGACTCCTCCCAAGCCTTAACTATATATCTATATAACTCAACACCGGCATCGGCTGTCGAGCGACCCTTGGTAAAACCGAACTGATTATTATGTAATAATTTGTTTACGTTAAAATGACTTACCAGTTGATTTAATATAATTTTTTCAAATATTTTACTACAAGTAGGTAGTACGGAAATTGGTCTAAAGTTACTGGGGTCGGACATACTACCTGCTTTAAATAAAGGAATAACTTTACTATGTTTCATTAGATCGGGAAACTCGCCACTTTTAATACAATTGTTGAAAATTATAGCTAGATGGGGAGCAATTACATCAATTATGCTACTAATAATTTTTACAGAAATACCCCAAAGATCGGTAGTGTTCTTAATATCTATGGTTCTAAATATCCTCACTATATCGTCGGCACCAATGGGTCGGAATGAAAAACTGACCTTGCACTCGTTTACATTATCTTTGAGCAGCGATTCGGCGAGGGCGGGAGATGATTGAAGAGACTTAGTAGTCGAAATTGGAATGTCAGAAAAGTACTTATCAAAAACAATCGCTATCTCTTCGTTAGATTTGATTATAGTGTTATCGACACATAGTTCGATGTCTTGATTGCGATCCCTGACTCTTCCAGTTTCACTATCAATTATCTTCCAAGTCATTTTAGTTTTATTGGTACTATTTTTAATCTTGTTTTTGATATTTAAGGACTTGGCCGCGTAACAAACTTTCTTAAATAATTTCGAATAATTTCGAACATAAAGAATAAATTCTTCATTATGATTGTATGACTTTTCAGCGTAAAGGTCATACAACCGTTGTCTACTTTTATAAATTCCCGCTGTCGCCCAATCACTAAACGATTTACACTGCGAATGAGAGACTTTCTTTGAGGTAAAGATGGTGTTGAACTCTTTATTAATACAATCACTTAGATTGTTGTATTGTGTATCAACGGTAGTACCTACCGGTAATAAAGGTAGGCGTTTACCTATATTATGTCTAAATCTCACCATTCGCTTTTTATTCACTGGAACAAACACACTGCTCTTATTTACTTGTTTCACCACTTTACATTTTAGCGCCACTAACTGTCCACAATGATCTGAGCTAAGATCAGTTGTAATTGAGGTTTGCATTGCCTCTGCATCTGTAAATACATTATCTATACATGTAGCAGTGGAGCGGAGTGGAGTAAGTCTTCTACTTGTGTCAAAAGATCTGGGTAATTCCAAAAGGAGCAGCAACGGAGCACATACGTAAATTTTGGGAGGAAAAGACAGAATTTGAAGATGCAGTGCATAATGTGTACTAATTTCAAGGAGACGGTCAGCAGAATTTTGAAATTTAGTAATTGAAGTATTAATATAATCAGAAATAGATTCATCAAAAATTGGAGAACCTAAAAGGTAAAGGGAATTCCTGTTAACTATTTTAATATTTGTAGCCAAAATATGTATTTTTTTACATAATTTAAATTTAAGTCGCAGTTATTTATGAAAAGTTCGCATTTGCTAAAATTAAGCTCCAAACCAATGGCTTCAATTTAAAGCTATTATATATATTTTTGATTAAAAAAAGGTCCGAAAACACAATATCCTCCTAGGGTTTCGTCGTCCAAATACCAAACATTGAAATTAGAATTTAAATTTTTGATTATCGGATTTATAGCCAAACTAATAAATAACTAAAAATTGCAGGCCCAAGGGGATCACCCTGTTGACAACTTTCTTCCAAGGACAGTTCATCTTTTATATTAGCTTTTACGTATATTAAAGTTGCATTGTAAATGTCAATATTAGATTTATAAACAAAGAAAATACGAAATATAATTATTTCCATACACAAGTGAAATAGTACGTAAGTACGATTTTTTATTAAGGACATAAAGAAGCTAGTTGAATTATTGTGAAAGATAGTGAGATTGAGTAAGCACTATGTCTAGGCACAAGCTGTATTGATATACAGACCATTATTAGGCCTGCATTCAGTGATTCAAAAGTATACAAATATGGAAATATATACCTGAATGGAAGACGAAACAGAATGCGCTCGCTGGTGTACCATCATTTCATCATTTTCTGGTTTTGGCTGAAATCAAAACAAACTTATTACAAATATATATTATGGATTTGGTCTGTATGTACATGCTAAACACCAAAGCATATCTTAAATAGATTAGCTATGATAATTCAAACTTTATCTCATCAAAATCTGATATCAGAAATGTGTCTTCGACATTTAAAGATGGTTTAGTGAGTTTTGCAATGGCTTAATTATAATGTACCTTCGTAGTTCTACAATTTAATTTTACATACACAAAATAGTATCAAAGATCTTTAGTAAATAAGTGGTCTTGTTAATAAATTCGCGTTCCGTTAAGATGTAGATGGCTACTTAATGGATGACATTATGAATTGATCAATTCTATGATCGGGCCGCGACATTCTAAAGAAAAGGCATTACCTGAGCCGGCGGTACAGCGGGCGGTTCGTCAGTAGGGGCTCTAGCGGCAAGTAAAGGACTGGCAGTCGCCGAGGCTACGGGTGTCGCTGCACCTGATCCATTTGTAGTTTTAGGCTGACCACCGCATTGTTGCGCTTGAATCGCTTCTTTCACTTCTTGGAATTTCTCAATAAACTGAAATTATAATAAAACAATTCTTAATACACATGGCTGTTGTGTGAAAATGTCCGCGGAAGGGAAAAATATGGCCTATTTAGCGCAAGTCGTGTAATTGGATTTACTGAAATAGTATAGTAAAGTCATGGTGCAAAAAATGCCTAATGATATATGACCGTGGTTAACATACGTTTACAAACAAGTTGATGAATATGCGCAGTGCTTTGATCACGAACAATACGTACATTGAAATTATTTTAAAAGAATAAAATTTTGTTAGAACACTTAAGCAGCATTATCTGAACATATTAAACATAGTAATATATAGTATATTATAATAGTAAACTATACTAAATCTAAGCTGTCTATATAGTCAAGATATAAATTCCCCAGAAACTGTAATTTACATTTATTAATAGCAAACATTATGTCAATATTTAACTTCTAGCCTATTATGATTAGAAAATTCAAAGTTTTACCTTTCCCAACTCCGCTTCAGACGAAAACCCTAAGCCATAAACAGTATTCGCGCGAACGTCACTCCATTGACCGAATTTCTGTGATGTCTTGGTGAATGTCATGTTCGCTGTAATAGTACTGTTGATCACTGCCTGTAAATAAAAATGAAAAAAAAAAATAAACCTTACGTCTTGATAATTTCAATTGACAATCAAAATAAATATAATTAACTTATTAAGCATTCAATAATGTGGCAAACTTGCAAAGATTTTCTCACAATGTGTTCTTTCTGAAGTTTCATTCACAGTCACAATTTTATTAAGGTTCAAAAATTAAATCATAATAATAATCGAGTGGCGCTGCAACTCTATATGGGTATTGGGCCTCGGATTGAATGCGGTGATCATTCATCTGACAAATGTCGGCGATTTTTGGATTTGCGACATATCGGTTTCCTCATGTTTGCATTCACAATAGGAGCAAAGAGCTAATTGTTCATATAGAAAGAAAACTTCATTGGTGTACAGTCGTGATTCGAACGCAGGTCCTCAGGGATGAATTCCCTCTAAAACCACTAGGCCAATACTGCCCTTTAAAAATAAAATATTTTTTAAATTTAAATACCTTATTCTGTAATCAACTACTACATTATGTTCTACGTTACTATACATTCAAACAGATAGACAATGTAACTTCAAAACGCCCGAGAAGTAATCGTGTTCATTAAATCCGTGAACTTCTATATACACACATCGATTAGTTACAATTTTACTAAGTGTAAACATATACTCGTATGTATATATTCGTACAAGAGTTAATTACAAGACCGACTTTGTTCTAGACAGTACTCTCAAAATGTGCCAAGTGCTCTTGTGAATCCGCGTCAGAAAAAGGCAACATTGATACGAGTTTTACATTTTTATTAAAAGAAATCACAGGACCGGACCGTCTTTATTAATTTTCTTTTTTAATAAATGTTTAGTTGCGTCTTTATTTCGACGTTAAAAAATGGTTTAAATTCATTTGATGTTTAAACTCTTTTGTGTACAGTGTAAACTCTTTTTAACGTCATTCGTTATAATGACAAACTCTCTATAACGTAAAATGAGGTACATTTGTTTGGTTTAACACAAAACGCATACGTTATTTCACTCTTTATAACGCACAGCCTCTATATTATGAAGAACTATTTTCATAGACATGAACAACATACTTAAGTGTAATTATATATTTTTTATTATCAGCTTACAAAACTAACCTATTGAGGTGCCGAAATTTCTAAGAAAGACACCTGAGGTCATAAACAGCCATATCACCTTTGTTATTGTTAATTGCATTACCACGTGTGCCATTATTTTATTTTATTTTTTATTTATTTATTTACACTTCGTTGCTAATAATATAAGAAACACAATACATAAAAATTATAAGGGATGCAACGGGCGGCCTTATCGCTAATAAGCGATCTCTTCCGGGCAACCCTAGTTAAGAGAAAACTAAAAAAAAAAGACACATGATGCGTGCGAGAAGTGCAGAATCCTTAATCTAAAGCAATACAAAAAAAAATATTAATTACAAACTAAAAACTTAAAAACTAATCTTACAAATACATGAACAGCGAATAGTCATGTAAAAGGAATCATAAGAATTGTACAAGTCACGATTGATGAGGATAGGATAAGGTTAAGAAATGATTATACAGAAGAGTTTTAAAAGATGACAGAGAGGTAGCCAATCGTACGGAGTCAGGCAGCGTATTCCACAGCTTAATGGCGGAGATCGTAAATGAATTGCCTAAGAAGGATGAAGTGTGGGATGGAATTTCCAATAAACATCTATTAGAAGAGCGTAACATATAGTTAGAAGGACCTAAGAATTTGAAGTGATTTTTGAGATAAGAAGGGGTTTTCGGATTGAAAAGAATTGAGTATAGAAGTTGAAGAAGATGAGCGTGACGTCGGAATCGAATAGGTAGCCACCCCAGCTGCCTGCGGAATTTAGACACATGGTCATATTTTCTAAGACCTTATTTTTAGATTACAATGCCTGTAGGATATTTTGGTCTCAGTTACTAAACGCACCATTGTCACCTATCTATTATATTATGTATATAAATTATTGTAATTGGTTAAAATTGGTGTTTTTTTCTTTTCCGTCCCTATAACGAAAAAAAATCCTCGGTCCCTTGAAATTCGTTATAAAGAGTTTACACTGTATTTTATATATTTCAGTAATACATATTTTTATAAATTGTAGAGACTAACACTGGCTGGCGTCAATGAGCAGTGTTGGCATATGGGTTAACTTTCAAATTCAGGATATTTCTTCCTATATTAACAGTTAACAGTCAGTAAAGTACTACATTAACAAACTAGCATGTCCAGATCTAAAAGAGTCAACTTGTGATAGACAGAGAATACTGATCACCTATATACCTAGAGCAAAATTAGCAATTGAACAAAAAAAAAGGTTGACCCATGTTAACTTGAAGGGTAAAGAGTTACCATACACACACGTCATTTATTAATACAAACAATAATCACGGACAAGAGGTAACAATATCATATCTTTGCTAAAAAATTAGTGTACCTTTGTTCCTTCTACACTGATAATCCTATACAAGTTCCTAGAGGAATCATAGAAGAATGAAACCGAAACAGCTGCTGAGCTTGCCGACATCCAAGAGCGCTTGGTCTTTGGGTCTATGTGGAACACATGCGCCTTGCACGTGAAGATTGGCTGCTCCCTGCAATTGAAATAATATTTGTTGATTATTATGTTATCTATTTCAAACAAGAAAAAACATTTCTGTGACATAAGGTTTTTCTTGTATTGCAATTTGAATTTTTGTTTGTTGTGATCAAATACAGAATTAAATATTTACAACAATTTAAATATAGATATTGCAAGCCTAGAAGCTCAAAAATCTGTGTTTTATGTAGACTAACTTTAAAACATTAAAGTTAAATATACATATTTCATGATTAATACATTCAAAAATTGCATTATTTAGTTATCATATTTAAAAACATATGGTTTATTCTTTTTCAGTAAACATTATAAAAATAGTATACAATATCAATTAAGATTAATAATTTGGAACAAAATTTTACAATTTTCAATAGATTTATTGGGTTAAGTTGAGAAGACTAGTTATTAGACTAGTAATTTTGATTGACACTATTATCTTAAATGTTTCAGAATATTTGATAAAAACATCACTCTCAATAAATTTGATAAGGTATTTATTTGTCACACAAAAACCATGTTGTAAAATAAATCTAGAATCTTAAATCAACAAATGAAAATTATATTACTTATAACGGTGGATATTATTGCTTAAAATTCAAGTTATATATCATATCAAGATGACAATATTTATCTAAGTTCCACATCCATTAGCTTCCTCCAATTATTAACAAATATTAACATTATAATAGACCACTACATAATTAACAACTTCCAATTTTGAACAAGCTAACCATCTAACCAATCATAGTGCATGACAGCAACATATGCCTAAATTCACTGACAATGTCAAAACAAGTCTTAATTACTTTGTAGTATTTAACTAATGATGGTATTTCTTTTTAAGTTTCCATGGGTATAAAGTAAGAGCACTCAATACATACATCAAAATATCCCATATTTATTCAAGCATACATAAGCATATCAAGACCTGAATTTTATTGAAATTATCCAAGTAATAGGTTTAGAACTTTTAAGTATATGAAATAAGTTGGTTCTGTTAATAAATTCAACTGTTATCACGAAACACATTCCATGTTCTCGCTAATGGATAGAATTGCTATAATCATATCTTAACATCATAACTTTGTATGGACACAAAGTGATTTATAAATAGCCAAGTACACACCCTTGTCCTTAATATCGTCGTAAAAGCGTTCATCTGGACTCAACCAATGTTAGAGTGCAATCATTCATACTTAAACGCGAAACTAATAAGTACCTATTTGCAAATAATTTCCCAATAACAATAATAAACTAAGCAATGTGTATTATTTGAATGCAGTTACAATAATTAATTATAAAAAAGATAAGCCTGAAATAGTCCTTCGCATTGGTAAATTGCATCCCCTCCCAAAAAATATCGAAATCCTGCGAAAATAGGTTTTCTATTTTCCATAAAAAAAATGCAAAGAAATAGGCAATTCGGGAGTTGTTTATATTGTTATTAATTAAACTCACCCCATTGTTTCTTTTCCAGCGGTCATTGAAACACTTTGTTTTAGAAATGTTCTAAATTCATAATTTTCAATTTATCTCTCTCAGCTACTGAGAAGCTGTCAATCGGCGGTTCAGGCATAAACTAAAGAAATTACCATTGTTGCCAGTTATAAGTATTTTATTACTTATTGTAAATTATAATTATTTTGAATTTGAATTTAAGCATGTAAAATAAGGAATAATATGTCTTTTGTTTTAGAGCATATGTTTATTTACCCAAGAATACATAAATTATTATTTTATTTATTTGTTGTCTTCTTTGTAGTGACATCTTTCGGGGTCATTGTAAATTACTAAACTACGTTATATGCGCTACCCTAGATGTCTCTGAAAAAAATGTAGAAGTAAATTTTTATATAATTTTTACTTTTGTAGGTACCTACGCGAGCAATCAAAAATTGTTGGTAAAAAAAATTCGTTGCCTATAAGCTGGAGACAAAAAAACCTTTTCAATCCCTACAGTTTAAGAATAAAGTGAATTGGGAATGTGGATATTGTTAATGTTACTGGCTGTCAACAAAAAAATACATGACAAATTGATAAATGGGTAATTTTAAATGGGTAAAAACGGTGTTCGTGGTACCAAAGTAAAAAAAAATGTTGTACGTAATGGAAGCATTGCATTCTTCAGAGAATGTCGCTAAATGTGATACAATAAGAATAATTCCACTTTATGACTAGCACGAGGGTCCACCTCGGTAGATACACTTTTTTAAAGTCGATTGGTAACTTACTATTCCTTCTCTAATCCCTTGCCCTACCCTAGATTCAAAAATCACTAACTATCAGGTTTATAATAATTGTTTGCTCCTATAGCTAATAATCTGCTGCCATTGTCAAAATCAAATTAATAAGAAGAATCTTAACAATAAAGCTAGCCTATCTGTAAAAGCTAAGTTTTTCGTTAGTAGAAACCATATAAAAAGAACCATAAAGATAATATTTGAAATAAAATATTAAAAGTTCAGATTCATTTACACTTTATTATAATGCCAATTTATTCGCGTTCTAAACAAATTTACGTTAATATCATCGTTTTGCTATCTCTATGACGTGTAAAGTCGTGTATTAATTGTTCTTAATTAGTTATTAAAAGAGTACTTAATTTCACTATATACCTTAAAAAAAATTGAATTAAAAAACTTAAATTTTCAAATTAAATACGATAAAAGTATTATTGAAATCTGATTAAAACTACAACCCTTTTTTCTTATAAGGCTTTGCTGAAATAAAAAAAAAACTGACAACCAAAAAGTTTAGAAGCCAACCATAGATAATTTAAACAACTTTAAACTTGTGTAAAAATAAATACGTATGTTAGAATGTGTCATAAGAAATAGTTCTTTTTATATTAAATAGGTAACGATCGTAAAAAGTTAAAATGATAGTCTTTTATATTGAGCAACATCTCTCAATTCCAAAAAGATCACCGATACGAAGTAGATCACCATCAGAACTTGTGAAAGTAAACACTAACCAATCTTTGTGTTTAAGGCGAATATTACCTACTGCGTAGTAAAAGTACCTACTACAAAAGTGCTTAATATATCTATATTATGTTTTTGAATGTGTCATTATTTTTTTTTAGTCTAATATCAAAGTTTGTTCATTTATTATCAGCTATTACTTTGATTATTAAACTTTATTATTAAATGATGCTCAGAAAAAATATTTGTGTATAAATATTATATAATTACAATTTTAAATTAAAATCCGTTAATATATTAGGTTATTTAACAAGTAAACAATCTTCGCCTTTACAAAAGTAATAAAAATGTTTTACACAATGCAAAAGAACGTTGAACTGCTGAAGTTATATAACGTTGCTATTTATTAGCTTACACAATGCACATTATAATCATATCGACGATATAATTAAGTAATAAATTACTTTTTCTTGTGATGACCGTATATCTATTGGTGGTGGTCTACAATTAAATTGCGTTTGCAAATATGTACCTACATAATATGGTATTACCAATTTGTGAAACCGCAAGCATCGAAGCAAAATTTAATCATAAATTGTCTCTTTCTAAGAATTAAGTTAACGTTTAGAACAAAAGAGGATTTTATATGAAAATCGGGTTATATTAAGTGTTTAAAACTCACATTGCCCCCATGGCCAATGCCTTTTCATTAAAAAAATTTTCATGTAAAACCAGGCAGCGCATTTCGGGTCATAACAGTTTCTAAATACATTTTTTTTTTAATTTAAACAGTTACATAATAGAAAATAATGCAGATTAACTTCAAATACATTTTATAAAGGAAATGTCGATCGAAGTTTTATTAATCCGGTTACTATTAGAAATCTTTAAAAAGTTACACGTTTCCCTTATTATATGTAAAACACATTTTGCATGGATTTATTTGCGAATGCTCAGTTTAAACTCTCATATGATACCATATCGTACAGAAATCTATTCATGACAAGTATAATATGTGTACTGTAGACATATATTTCAGTAAATATGACTTAATGTCCCCCTAGACGGGGCAAAGAGCGTCCATAGTGAGTCTCCATCGCGTTCAGTCTTAACTTTTGAGCCTCGTATTTCACCTCGCTCCAAGTCTTTACGGCTCTCTTTGTCTATATCTGCAACTGTACAACGCCAGGTTTGCTTGGGACGCTTCCGCTTTCCGCGGGTTCCAATCGAGCGCCTGCTTAAAAATATAATTGTAATCTCTTCGGCGTGTATGGCCTATCCCAACTTGCTCGTTAGAGATCTTCTCGGATAAGTAGATACCCAGAATACGGCAAAGACAGCGGTTGACGAAGACTTGGAGCCGGTGCGGGAGCGGAACAGTAAATATATATATATATTATGAAAATGAATTCATATATACCCGCTTATAACTATCGCGCTCATCTCTTTCTGTCAAATTGGGTGTTCGCTGTGATGAAAGATACAATGCTACAGATGAGCACTTTAGTTAAAACGGTTCAGTTAAACTACTTTTTTTTTCATAACGGAAATCTTTTATTATAGTATGAAAATAAAGTTTGTTAACTAGTGTTTTATTTTAAGTTTTTAAAATGATGTGTTGGAGATCCTGTATAAAGTCCGTTCTATATCCTCTTCAATCTATATAATGTCAATCTAAAGGACAAAGATTGTAGAACTATTTATTTACTTTAACGTTATTTTCATGTTAAGCGAATCCGGTAAGCGGTCGTAAAACCTATACGCGGTGTTTATACCATATTTTTATTACTATCAATTACGTGTACATAAACATACTATTTGGTGAACGCCTTTAATTTTCTTCAAGGATGTGCCCGTTCATTTTATACATATCGGCAAATATAATCAGTAATTTTCTATAAAGTCCAAGTCAAGTTTATTTATAAGTTTAGACTGACTTCAACTCGATGTATGTTCTCTTTTTCTCTGAAGATGAGAAAGACACTTTAGGTAAAACATTAAAATTAAACCTATTTAATTTTTATGAAATAGGAGGTTCGTCGGGAATATCACAGACTACTTCAGAGAGCAAACTTAAAGAAACATAAATGGTATTCATATACGCCACACTTTGCCAAACGTACGAGTAGTTTGGTTACTGGTTGGAACTTTCAATAAAATTAATAACAAAATTGTGTTAAAAATATTAATTAAACAAAACATTAATTTACTGCTAATTAAATAAGATTCATTCATTTGCGGTCAAATTATATCACGGACGTACCAGTTAAATTAAAATGCATCGAGCATAATACGTAAACAATGACAACTTCCTCTTCGCAGATTGTGACCTCGTGGCGTCCGTGAACCGGCCCTGACCTCTCGCCTTAGATAATACATAATATTTAGTAAATAAAATCATGTGGTCTTCACATGTATATTACTAATGTAATATTAGTACAGTACTAACATTCACGATTCCATGGCATTTTACTCGCTCATATGTTCGAGTAGCTAACTTTATATTTCTCTATATTAATTATGAATTGTTTTATCATTCCTAGTTAATACAATACAATGTACCAAGTTTTTAGTAAGATATACCATAGTTATATTTAGTTTAGTTGGTGTCTGGGGTAGTTAAAAGTATTCACCCTCATTTACTCCGCTGGTTCTGCGACCTAAAATGGCTGAAAATATGCATCTTTGAACGTATTTTGCAATCTGTTTTTAGATCTGACTTCCGCTTGCATTTAGCCATTTGAATAATGTAACTTTCGAATTGTAATTATTATTTAACTCAACCAAGTAATTTTGAATTTACTTACTTACTAGAAAAATTATAATTATTTTGTATTTTTTCAGCTAACATTATTAATTGATGATATTATGTATAAGACTTCCTGTGCATTTCCTGTTGTCCTTTCGGCTGACCCCTAACCCTGACATCATAATACAATTCATAAGATTTATTGAACTTAAAAAATATGGCCTTTTATCAATACATTGGTAAATTTCACAAGTTGAATTGTATAATTTACGACATCAATGCTTGCCGAAACGAATTATTTTTTAATTTAATTAAACTTTAAACAGGTAGGTATATTAAAATAAAATATTTGCATAATGAATCTAAACATATATCTATTCAAATAGATAAAATAATAATTATATTATACCATAGTAATTCAAAAATAGTAAATCGATGTCCCTGTTTTTGAGTGTAAATAATATACTTAACTTATATATGTACTGTAAATGTTGCTTATTCTTTTGCTGACAGTTCACTTCTGGGGTAGTTATGGGGATTTATGTATATGTGTGCACAGTGCACTGTTTGTTTTGTAACCAGTAATTGATGATTTTAAAGCTTCGCATGTATTGCCTACCTCAATCTTGGCGGTGCATTATCACCGGTGCGGTGCATATAGTTGTGGGATTATATAGACATAGACATATTATTTATTACAAACAAAAAAACACACATAAACACACAAAATAACAATAATCAAAGAAAAATATATATATATATTATATAATGCTTTGTTATATTGTAGTGTTAAATTTTTTGCTCCGTGATTTCGGTTATTTCCACGTAGCTCGTTACCGTTAAACCATCTAAATTACATTATAGATATGTAAATAATCACAATACGATCAAAGTCCGCTTTTTGCCAATGGTAAATTCCATTCATCATTAAGATTATTTGAAGTAACAAAAACTTAACTTTTCAAGGAGATTTTTTTAAGTGTGTAATTTCCTTAATAAAAAGTCGATTTTGTTTTATAAGAATACGAGCGGTTGTCTGCAGCTTTATTTAGGTAGATTTGGTTTTCCGGTGAAGATTACCAAAATATTGACAGCATGTTTAAAAATATTGGTAACTGAGAGAAACCTTACCGGTATATATGCCATGTGCTAATGCTGTTTTCACATCCTTCTCAACAACATGGCTACGAGAAAACGTCAGACTGAACTCACATCAGATTCTGCTATTTAAAAAGGAAACTTCCAGAATCACTTTCGCGTTCTTCGCGATAACAGAGCTGGTAGAAAATAGAAATGAAGAGTCTCTTCTGAATACAGTATAACCCTAAAACAATAACAAGAGCATCTCGAATTATAATCTGCGCTATCAATCCATAATTAACATAACTAATTTTTTAACTAACCGCATAAATAACGAATTAGGTAAAGCTACGGATCGATGAACGAAACTGTGAATTGAAAAATGTGTCAGTTTTTAAAAAATAATGGTATAATCTGAGAATAGTCCGATTGCATTTGTGTGGGTTACCTGCGTAGGAATGAACGCCTTTTTTTCTACTAATACATTTTTTACGAAGGTTACGTTTAAAATGCTGTGTATCAATAGATATAAATTCAGCGAGTCATATTTAAATAATCGCAGCAGCCAGGCCTGGAGCAACAAATAAATACAAGAATAACTCTGGAGGAGTTTAAACGCATTAAAGACCTCAAAGTTGTCTGCGGAATAATTGTTAAATTCGTGAAATGTAATAATAGGAAGAAGGATGAACCGAGAGCCGCTGAAAACCTTGCCTTTAAATATTTAAAGAGTATTAATAATAATAATTTATTTATTGCCGAAGTATTGCGAAGAGGCTGGTTTCCCGGGTGTCCAGTCACTATTAAATATTGTAGGCTTTAAATTTAGATAACCAAAGGCCAGATCTACTGTAAACATGAATATAAAAAAAAATCTATTTAAACAGGTATTAAAGTTAAGTTAACATTAGTTAATTTTTCTTTAAATTTAATTCAGACCTTTAGGTTACAACTGATTGACATTTAATACACAATTGTATTTAGTTATGTTTAGATAATTAAACCTTTGGCATGCATCTAATGCAGAGATTCATCGGTCCATAAATGATAAGTTACTAATCAGTAATAATAGCCGAAATTCGAGTGTAAATTCGTGACAGACCCTGAATCACATTAATGACCTGCACTTAATCAAACATATCATGTCAAGGTCAAATCTCTCACGAATGTTTGTCTAATCAAAAAATGTATGCATGGACTATAAATTAGCTAGATAAGGTTGTCATTTTTGAAGATAAGAATTTGTTTATTGACCCGATGCAAAAAAGGTCACATACAAAGCAAAGTCAAAACGTTTTAATGATCTTACTTTTTTAATATATTAGAAGTAGTAGTGGTGATGCGATTCATTCCGATGTCGAATATTCAAATCACAAAGATATCTACTTACGTAATAAAGCCACTGCAACATAACCGATGCAAATATGTTAAAGCGACATGACTCTAGCATGAACGGACACTTTAGCGTCTGTTTTTTGTCGACTTTTCCAGAAGAGAACAGAACCTTGGCGTTGCTGTAGATTGTTCTATACAAAGAGCGTATTTTACTGTATTCTTTGCTCATTTTAAACATCATACTGGGGGCGATGTTTTTAAAAAGTAAGGATCATGGACATCTTATAAAAATCAGTAGATTAATTAACATTAACAAAAAGCTTAACTTAAATTAAATCGGTATATAAAATTTTAAACCTACCGACCTTTGGTGGCAATAAATAATGAAATTAGAAATCTTAATTATTGTAACTGCTTAATATTATAGCGTGTTAGCTAATCACGCTATCTGTACTTAAATCTGAATTGAATACCTCAAATACATAATAAATAATATGAATTCATAATATCACTACAATTAACCAATTTTTTCTTGCATACTAAATACATAATTAGTTTTTATAACTATTATATTCGCTCGCCTAGTTTCATCATTTTTGTTCTTATTTGAAATCTTATAACCGTTGTTTCTAATTTATCACAATGGCACGTATGTATAAATTAACACAATTATTTACTTGAGTAAAACTCTGGATTTCATGGTTGTTTTAATCAATACGGTATACGTATATATACTCAAACGAATTTCACAATTGTTCGCTTCTCACAACCTAATTCTGTTATGCAAATCTTATCTGTCACCACATCAGTCAAGGTAACCAGGGTCGAGAGGAGCTTTCTATCATCAAGGTTGAATAAAAAAAAACACTCTCGAAAAAACTTATTTATTTTACAATAGCAGAGGAGACGCAAAAAGCACCGAAAACATTGTGCCAAAAGCCAATTTACACAAAAAAATCTCCCTCAAAAGATAATAAATAAAAAAGCGTAAGTGAGAAAGTATTGCAGCCGACGCGTTCGTATCGCTTCGAATGCTATAACTTTCACTTACGGTTACATAACTTTACATATAAAATCACAACAAAACTTAAAACATAACATTACAAATCAAATGAAAGTATGATGGCGCGACTGACTTAAGATTATGACTTAATATTACAATGGACGGTTTTGCGTTCGCGCATTGTGGCCACCAATAAAGCACGCGAACGGCAGAGAGCAGCGTTTCATCTTTACGACATATTATGTAAATGCAGGTGCATTCAGATGTATTTACGAAACCCCACGCTCTGTCATTTCAGTATCTTGCATTCCAGATTTGAGCCTACATTCTCTTGGATGTCGACTTTGTTTATTTTAATTTTGTGCTCACAACTCTGACATACATGGATGAAAACTCGCCCACAGCGCACGTCCAAGCCGCAATAAATACGCGGTAATAAATACTAATAAATTAAAAAGTAAATGTAATAAATTAAACAACTATTCTAAGTAAATGAGCGATCACATACGCCGAATCAACGACATTTAGGTAACTTCACAAAAAGGAGATATAATAAGCTTACAATTAACACACGTACTTCACTTCCTCGTTGTTGAACCTAGCAGGCATAACGTGAAAGGTAAGTTATCCATCGTGATTAGAAAGGTGTCACGGTTGGCGGACGCTTTCTAGCGCGAATATAACGCAAGGTCCGAGATTCTACGCTGACGGGAGGCCGCATGGAAGCCCCTTGTGCCGTCCGGAACTAAAGGAGTTCGAGGTTCAAAACGAGGCGTGCAGGATAACCTCCTGCCACCACATTCTGTTCCTGTCAACGAACAACCTGAGAGCCTTCTTGACAACCAGCCTTCAGCGCTACTTGCACTTCCGGTACTCGCTTGAGAAGCACGGCGAGAACCACAGAAGAAAGAAACTCCAGAATCTGAGCTATGACTGCAAGTCGATTGCCGACGGGGCACCCATGTTTGAATTTCGGGAGAACGTGGTGTGAAAAATCCACTCGAATTCCTTCTGTAGAATGGTGCGACATATCTGTAGTCAAATTCAGGTTCTGATCCACTACAGCAAGATGAATATTCACATTCATGACGCCTCGGTGTTGCACGGCGAATCGGAGTTTTCCTTTTCGGTTCCCGTGGGACTCCGTTTAACTCATACACTTTCATACCATCTTCTTCAGAGGTCTGAAGCTTTAGTGCACTTCGAGCTGCTTCAGATTCTGTAAACTCAACCAACGCACACACACAATTAACAAGACTGGGATTTTTATTTAGGAACTGCCGAACATCAGCAGGAACTGGATTTCCAGGACGTAGAACTCTAACCAAAGCAATTTCACCACAGCCCGCAAATAACCTTGACACATTTTCTACTGACGGGCGATCTATAGGCATCTTCACAGCTACTACTGTCCTTGACGGTGTCGTCTCATCGTATGCGGGAAGAGGATCGATTCGACGTAATTTAGTTCCCGCTTCATTAATTTCCAATTTTGTAGACTTCTTCAAGGCTTCTGCGACCACTCGCCAATCCTTTGTAAGATGTTTTACTCGTTTGAAACTGGATATCAATTTTAGAGAGACATATCCTTCCTTATTTCTTCGCACGTGCTTAAGCAGGAAGGCGTCTTTAGTAATATTAGCATCCGAGAAGTAGAACTCCACTTGGGAGGCTATACGGTTGGCTAGTTCCTCGTCAGGTGGTGCGTATGGCGGTTCCTGTGTGTCGGGAGCGACTTCGCAGCCAGAATCTTTTCCGCCGCCGGAGCCGGCTTCGGAAGCCGTGTCTGAAAGATCAGCATTTTCGTCGGTGGACGGACGACGGTCGGAAGTTATGCCTTCGTCGGGTTCAGGCATGCCCTGGCTAGGAGGTATCCCCTCCATCTCTGTTAGCGCGTGGAAGTACCACTATTGCATTAGAGGAGCGTGCGACTCACTCGATGGCGCGTATCGAACTGCGGGCGCGCGGCGCGTAAAAGTATCTTTTATAATATCGGAGGGATGCACAGTAAAAGGCGTTCAGAAACCAGAAGTGAGATGACATTGCAGACTTCGCGACGCATGCGTTTTAATTACTTAACATGTGTTGCCCATTTAGATTGCGCTCAGAGCTAGTTTGTTTTGCGCTTATTGTAATGCGAGGTCTCACGCACCTTGGATCATTTGTAAACATTCATACATATGCTATCTTAAATTATTTAGAGAAATTGCATGATATTCGTGTAAACGAGCAGATGTTACAAAGTCGATACTAAAATTTAACGATATCATAAATCGTTCGCTTTCAAAGAGCTATAATTAGGTAATTGGCCATTAAAGTAGTTTATTTTCATTCCTCCAAATAAATTACATATAAGTATAATTCAAGAATGTATTGCTCATGGAAATATGTGCTCGTCATAAGGCACACTACACGATACATACATATGCATCAATAAAAAGTGTGCACAACATTTAAAGGGAAACATTACAATGATTAACCACAAAAGAAATTATGCAATAAAAATAAAAGACAAGAAACTAGCTTATGAAATGGAAATATGTAATTTTAAAATTTAATATATTTCTAGTTTGCAATTGGTGACGGATCAACAGTGGCTGCAGCATCTTACACCTGAAGACATGGAGACTGTCATAAAATATAATATCTGCTTCGCATTTACTCAAAGCGTTGTTTACTGCAGATAGCGATCAGTATAAAAGAGCATTACAACCGATGTTGGTCCTCACTGCCCGAACGTAAAAAGGGACAATGCAAATACGTTCAGCAAACATTAAGTTATCATAAATAGTAATGTAAACTTTTATATAGTATTTGTAAGAAAGCAGAAAAATAAAACTTATTAAAATATTTGACCACGGTACTAGATTAAGCCAGGTCAGGTTATACCACCACATTTTATTAAAATTCTTAGTTGATTTATTCGTTACATTTTTATTCCAGTAACAATTTTAGGGCATTATTGCATTCCAATACCATTGATGTATACCTACACATGTGTCGTACGTACCAAGTTGTAAGGAAAAATCGCTATTTACTTGCTTATTTTTAAGAAGCTTGAAGCATAAGCTTGTATAGGTTTTTTATAGAATACTACGCACTTATGGCATTCTTGATCGCATCTGCCAGCCCACGTGTTCATTACACATGCATTTTACCAGTATAAGCTGTAAATTTACCTATAACGTTACTTCTAGGGCTTCTTCTACCTACTTAAGTACTATTGGAAGGTAACCTACATTGCTATAACGCAATTACAAATAACTAGGTCTAACAATTAACACAAGGTGCAAAATTATTATTTAATAGGAAAATGGTTGAAAAGAAAAAAACGTTATCTCTCTAGCTGATAAAATACTGAATTCATTTGGCATGTACAGAAAGAGTAAATGTAAATATTGATCTGCAATCATACAAATTTATAATTACCAGTAACGTGTTGCACTTTCCATTTGACTGAAAGAGAAATACAATAAATAAAACTAAAAAATAAAAAGCTAAAAGTCGAAAAGTTCGTGTATAGGTTTGTATAAAACAGGTTAAAAAGTAGACGGCCAGATAGATACCGCTACCAAACAGATGCAAAGATTTAAAATCTTGCAAAAAATTAATTTCGAATGATTAAAATTAGTTTTCATTCACAATAGCACCTAGGCGTGTCTGTATAATCAGATAGGTAAAAAAACAAGAAGCCATTTGACGTCACAGAGCAAATGAGATTACAGCGAGCAGTCACCCCACAGTTACACAACCTGCGTAATACACTCATTGGATTATTGCCTAACTTGTGATACTCTAGTACGGGATTTGATATTTGATACAGTATAATAACGCGGTACATAAAACGGAACAGTCTTATTGACTCAGCGATTGACTTTCTCCTATAGGTAGGAATTTTCCAACTATTTTTACAATGTAAACCATATGTTATCTTTAAATTTACATATAACTGAAAGTATATTTTGTCTAATACTAATGTTAAATAGCAGTGAAGCGAAGTTATTATTCAGAATACATCTGATATTCATTTAGAACTTTTAATACATTTGCATCACGTCAACATGTTCGTCAAACTTACAACAAAAAAGAAAACTAATGGACAAATCATATATGGATAGTATAAACTTATTGGAGTGTCTAAGGAGAAGATAAGAATATCTATATCTGATAGTTGAGACTTAGTGTGATTTAATAATAATTTGTCAAAATCCAACACATCATTCGTATCGTTTCGGCTGGTAAAGCCTAAAGTGAGTTATGTTCGCGCTATGTCTGGTTTCTTGAGAATTGTTCTATGGCTATCTCAAGATAAATGAAACAATTTGAAATATCTAATACACCAAGTATCTGTATTAATTGGGCCTACCAATTTGAAATGGCAAAAGGTGGAGTGCAAAAATTATTTCGAAGTGAGATAAAACAGTTATCAGTAATAAGTTATTATAAGTTAATTTACATTTATTAGCCACAATTATTGCTTTTTAAACGATTTATATAAATACAACTGCAATAACAAACACTTCTTATATATGGTCAAGAAATTATAAGGTCGGAGCGAAAAATTCAAAAGGAATTACGGAACAGACCTTTTAACAGCGGAAATCGATAGTGTTGCCATTTTTGTATGGAAATAATAAAAATTTAATTGTTGCTCCTAACCTATTTGATTCTTATTTTGAAAGCCGGAATAAGCTCAATTGTTTGCAATTAATGGAGTTTGGAGTATCAAACCAAACTAAAACAGTAATTGTCGAAGTGTAATAATACGCTAGCCACAGTAGAAAAACATTTTTGGATACTTTTGGTTTCAATTCGGTTGTTTACGTGTAATGTAGTTCGTAGAGCGGAGCACGAAAGCAAACCTTTCACTTACCGAGATCAAAAGGGATATTAAGTAATGTCGTTCCGGTTACGAATCGAAGTATTAGTTTTCATTTGTTACAAGATTACAAGACACTGAAGATTTTGAGTATCACCCAGAAATGTTGTTTAAAACATTCGCATATAAAGAAAAAACATGTGTTCGAAATAGCTATTTTAATTTCATAAATTTGCTGAGGGTTATCCATATTACTTTGATACAGCCGATCGCCACATTTTATTTCACTTGATTTTCCATTTCGCTGTGGTTTTTAACGCTTTGGATGCACTTAAAATCGTTTATACGTTTGCATTTTTACTTATTTAATTAAGCCCTATAAAATTTATTTGTTTTACAATTACTATAGGTACTATAACCTGCTTTATAGTTCCTATAGTAGTTTAATATGTGTAAGATCACCTCGACAAAACAAAACACAAGAAATTCATGTGTCGCATTTTTCAGTTCCAAAATATTTTGTAAATCAAAACAATATTTGGATAGCCGACAAGGTACTTTCTACATTTAAATGTTATTTTATGCATCTTTAAAACATTTTATAAATTAATCACTTAAAAAATTTAGGTTAATCTGGCCGAAATTACAAACACATGTAGTTTAACATACTGTTGTTCTTTGCGTCATTAATTGCAACAAAATATTTACTATTTTTATACAGCTCTGAGCTGTTTTTAATACAGGACATCTTTCGTTTCATTGTAATGAAATTATCGATACACAAGGCAACGATTGGTTCCGTTTTCACTGAAGATATTTTGCAAGGAGGTTCGGAGGTGAATTCAACGTTGCTAAAGTACGACCTAGATTTCTACGTTTTATTAAAAAACAATCTTAAAGTTCAAGGTTCGTCATAAAATTTGTCGGATGAATACGTTTTGATTGATTGTGTCCAAACTCCTGAAATAAGGGACAATAAGTAAATAAATAAAATAAAATAAAAAGCCTTTATTGTTGTTAACAAGTTTTACACAGAGTAGTTTCTTGTGCCTAAAATTAATTTACTTATGACTACAAGGGACAATAAGTATTTTTTAAATATAGTAAGACCTTTTTTAGCTTCCTTTTAATTCTATGGTAATCTTTTTAATCTCTGTCTAATTGGTATAACATCACATAACTCTTCTTGTCCAGACGAATCGTATAGGTTCTCGCTAGGTCTCTCTCAATCTTAGGACTTACTGCCTCTATCCATATTAAAGTAGTATTTATCCACATCGTATCCCTAACATCATAATTTTGTTATCATGATTCATGTGTTTTAATTTTTTGTTTTGTTCGTATAAATAAATAAATCAGTGGCGCTACAACCTATTTAGGTCTGGGCCTCAGATTTATGAATCTGTTTTGTGATCATTTTTAAATCTTATTGGCAAGTAGGTGATCAGCCTTTTGTGCCAGCACACGCTGTCGACTTTTTGTGTCTAAGACATGTCGGTTTCCTCACGATGTTTTCCTTCACCGTACGAGCGAATGTTAAATGCTCACATAGAAAGAAAGTCCATTGGTGCACAGCCGGGGCTCGAACCTACGACGTCAGGGATGAGAGTCGCACGCTGAAGCCACTAGGCCAACACTGCTCCTAACTGTTTTGTTCGTAACTTTAAATGTTTAAATTATTATCTTTTGTTGTTTAGAACTTGTTCACCCTATTCAATATTATATTAAAAAGTTCGAAAGCGATAAGGTCGTTGCCCTTATTAATTCATTATTTTGAAGTGAATGAAGTGTTAAGAAAGTAAATATTAAACGCCCAAGTGAGCACCACGAAACTTTACATCGTATCTTTTTTTTTTTTTTTAAGATAATTAACACCAATTGACCTAGTCCCATGCTAAGCTTGTGAAGCTTGTGTTATGGGTACTAGGCAACGGATATACATACATATTATACATAGATAGACATATAAATACATATTTAAACACCCAAGACCTAAGCACAACATCAAATGCTCATCACATCGATGTTCGTCTCAGCCGGGGATCGAACCCGGGACCCATGGTTTCGCAGTCAGGGGTACTAACCACTAGACCAATGAGTCGTCTTTATAAAAATGCATTTAATGGACGAAAAGGACCATTAATGAATTATTGTATCTTATGATCAACTCTTACTTACTTTGCTACAAACTATGATTGTTATATAATAATTTTATAATCGTATGGAGCTTATTTGGAGTATCGAATTATGTGTTGACAGAAAAACAATTGGATATAATTCGGGTCAAATAAGTAGGTTACATAATCGTAGGGTTTCTAATCCTAGCTTTTGTAGGATGATGTAAGTACATATATTATTTTACGTATTGTTTAGTGTATTATAGGGTTATCAGACGTATTATAACTAAGTGTACTTCATAACATAAAACCATAACAACAAAAATTTAAAATTATGTACAGTTTTTTCAACGCTTTTTTAGGCACTTTTTGAGGCAAAGTGCCCTACCACAAACCTAAGAAGAGGTATTTCTGAACCGATACAACTCAGGGGCCATCAAGAAAAGATCATACCATTCTCTGAAAGGTCGGCAGCACACCCGCTAGCCGCTAGCGTTGTTGCAGCGGCGGCGGTTATCACCTTATTCAAAGTTTACCTGCACGTTTGCCTCCTGTCCTATAAAAAAAGATTTTAAAATAATTTACTAAATAAAATGTAAAACTTTACTCGTAAACAAACTTCTTTACATATTGTGGTGTCTATAAAACTAGATAATTACAATTACATTAATTGTAATAAATGTGATTCTCAATTTTGCGCAGTTGAGCAATAGCCTCGGTGGCGCAGTAGGCAGCGCGTAAGTCTCATAATCTTAAGGTCGTGAGTTCGATCCTCACCCGGGGCATATCTTTTTATATTTATTTCCATATTTTTTTAAAAACTATTAAAATTTAGCATACCTTTTTTATTAAAATAATAGCCTATTCTATTTGTTGGTCTTTATATTATTACTATTACTTTATATTATTACTAGAATGTTCGACTAATAACTATTATTAATTGATGAAATTGATAAAGATAAAATTAAATAGTAACACTATCTGACCATCCTCGATTCTAAAACAAATGAATTATCGAATTGGGAAATTTCCCCGTACCACGTGAAGGAAACAAAACAAAATGATAAAATATATTAGCGACATTATCCTTTGCACCCTCGCTGTTTCCTCCGTACCAAGGTCTCTTCCGTGTATTCTAGGTCGACATGTGTTAAGGTAAAAATATGTGCTGAATGATTAATTGAACTGTAGGTTTCTATACAATATGCGCTAAAGATATAAAGGTCAACGTTTAGCGGCATCTTTGTTAAGGCATCATTATTATTCTAAATAAGAAAAACTTTATTTTTTATTACGTACAACTTTTTGGCAAGCCACTCCTAATATTATGCTATGATATTTATTTTCTGCGCAATTAATATTTGCTGGTACGAAAATGAAAACACACACACTTGCGTCCAAAATTATTAATAAAACAAATGAATGTCTTCCACAAATCACTTCGGTAGGAACTTCCTTTTGCGAATGGCGAGTCGTGGAATCGAACAGAAACAACAATAAAAGGCAGCTGCCGCATCTTATAGTCACCCATGGGTGAGTTGCCGGCCGTTCAAAAAGGAGTATGCCCTTTATTTAAAGCTTAGAAGTCGTATCTCCCAGGAAACTGTGGAAGACTTCCAGCCATCGAGGTGGTTGTACATTCCATCTTAGTACCTATAAATTAAGTCGATAAAAGCGCCTGGTCTACTAAAAACACTTACGAACCGTAGCTAAAGGATTTTATTAATCGCGATTTCGCGCGTCTATTATCTCAATCTATTTGACACTAAGGTGAAAACTGCTTAATAGAGAAGTGGCTAGTTAGATAAATTATTTTAATATGAGACCTTTGATATCGTAATATTTTTTAAATTCTTTTAAATGTTATACTGGACGAAGACGCGTTAAGATTTACGAGTAAAATACATAATTCGAAGATAAATAAAAAAGAAAAATGTGATCATAAAATTATTATAATAATTGTAGTTTTTGTTATAACTGTTCACAATGTTTCACTTACAAACTCAACCTCTTTGATCGACAGATACGAAGATGAGTAATCGACAGATCACAATGAAAGAGTCGGCTTTTATCTACCATAGACCTGAATTAGATTATATTTTTTACAAGTCAGGTGAGTGTTGATATGATGTTGTTACGTTAAAAACTTTGATTTTTTCCTTAACGTTCTCATCTGAGTGTCATTTTTTAAGAATAATCTTTTTTTATAGAAAAGGTCGCCGCGTACCGCCCATGAAGTGCGTTGCCGGTCTTTTAATATTTAGTATGTCATTTGAAAATATTGGTTTCCCTTATCGAAAAACTGTATATAAGTATATCAGTCATTGAAGGTACCATAATGAGAATAGTGTCAACCATACGTATTGTTGTCTTTGCACACGGAATTCAAGGAGAACAATAGTACTCCGTTTTTCAAAAGCTTGGTGTTTTATATGACCTCTGGTTAAGAGACAGACATACAACCATATATCAAAGTAAAGAGCGACCTGACGTGTCACTCACTACCATTTGCGATACTTTCAATGCCAAAATATAATAAGGCCAAGATCAACACCACATGAGTACATTACTTACACTTTTCGGTACGAGTAATATGCGAACGCGTTTGAATTTTCAAAATGGGAACCGGATGTCTAGCGACATAAAACTTTACTGTCATTCATTTTATTTTTAAACTTATAATTTTCAATTTTTAAGTGTTAATAATCTCCGGTGGCGTTGTATAAAAATGAGAGCTTTTGAGTAGGTGTTAAGATAGCTTAAAAAAACAGGTCAAGTTTGCTTAAAACACAATTGCACTCGAATTAAATGTATCTTCAACAAGAAGTTTATTCGTCGCGTGCGAACTTTAAACTTAATAAATTATTACATTGATACGTACGATTTTCATGCTTTTAGGATTAGGAATTGTAAGTCCAGTAGTAATAAACCTTAATTTTATAATTAAGGTTCTGGGCTTATGCCCAGAGTGTCTGTAATCTGAATGAAGCTATGAGAGAAGATAGTTAGAACAGTAATAGCGCAGTTGTAGTAGTTTAGTAAAGCCTTTTTTGTTTTGACTTGAGGTGTATATTTTGTTAAATTAAAGAACGCTTATGCTTATAACTTAATTTAGCAAAAATCATTGTCCATATGCATAATACAGGTATAATGTTGTTCACCTACAGGCCACAATTATATTGATACGCTCATATGCCGTAAGTGCGAAAAAACATTCACAAAAACGTAAAGATAATTTATATATCAATGTTTTCGATGATAAATAATTGACAATACATAACATTAAATAAATAGGTGTATTTAAAGGTAAATAATAAGCAAAAACAATCAAAAAATCTAACCTGCATATATCTAATTTTTTATTGCATAATTTACATACCTGCCCGGCGCGCGCCAACTTATTATTTCTAAATTAGACCCTATATAGTCTACTACTGCAGGGGAGTGTATTTTCTAGACAGTGGCTTATTATTATCTTAGCTATGTGGGCTCGGTGTTTGCCGTCTCCCGTCATGCTTCTTATTATAGTGACGCTAGAAGTGTGGGTGTCGGCCCCGGAGATGCTAGCCCCTACCCTCTAAACCCCTACGGCTCCATATGCTCGCTCTGGACCGGTCAGCAGGGTAGCAGTATTTCAATATCCGTGATTATTGCGACTCCTAAGCGATGTTCCTTAATGAAGTGAGTTCCTCTTGTAATTTACGAACGTATGGTTGTTTCAAAATATGTATATAAATCATTTTAAGAACACCTATCATGAGGCCACCTACATCGTCGAATACATAATTTATTTTTCATATTTTTATAACACGGTGATAAAATCTCATACAATTAAACACTAAATAAAATATTAAACGTTTTATTTCGCACTTCAATGCAAACTATAAAGTGCCGACATTTTTACTTTATTTTTTATGGCTAATTTATTGTTTTTTTACGATAAGCCTTAATGTAGTTAATGCATGATTATTACGTAAACTAATGTAAATTTATTATGACCTCTGCATTAACGGGAACGCCTGGGTGTTTATCAGTTTTGCGCTGTATCTGATGTTTCATTTTTGTTTAAAATATTAGAGACATCGGCTCCTAATCACCATCGACAAGACTACGTTACATCCATACTTAACGTCAATCAATGAGTAGTCAATTTTGAGGGCAAACCCGGAAATCAAAACAAAATATTATATATGTTAAACTGAGACAGAATTTTGAATGAATGTTTACTTTGGCTTCACCTATTCACAGATATCAATCATCAAACTCGAATTTATAATACTATAAAATGTGGACTAAAAAGCGAAAGAAATTCCAAGCGAACAAAACATAATATTTAAATTATTTCCAATTTTAAATACACTTGCTTAATTAAAAATTTCACACGTTTCAACAAAATTATAGTCAAGCATTCGATAAGGTTCGCCCACTAAAGCTCGCGCTCAATTTTGTTATTTAGTATTTGTATTAAAAACCTTCCGAAAAATATAATATGAACCAAAAAGTTTTCGGAGATTCAGGATTTTTTCATAATAAGCTCTCTAAACGTGTAAAACTAGAAGTCGAATTTACACTGTATAATAAACAATTTGAATTTATTGACACTAATGTCATCATTAGTTATAATTACTTTTTGACAAAAGATAACTATTATCTTTGTAATTATTATATTGGACAAGTAGCAAATTCGCTATCATATTGTATTTTGAACGCAGCCAAATGTTTGGCTAACCAATCTGCTCCTATTGAGCAGGTAGATAATAGTACCTTTATTCAAGATACCTTGGAATTTGTTCCAAGTAATTTAAATTAGATTTTAAGACAATAGAGGTGATCTCTGGCAATAGTTCTAGCCATAGTTGTTTATTAGGAGATCCATCAAATTCCTTAAATGTCAATAATAAAATCAATAATAAGCATATTTTAAATTTAGTACATCAGAATATTCAGGGTTTGATGGGTAAAGAATTGGAGTTGGAGTTGTTCATGAACTGTAATAACATTGATATCTTATGTATTACTGAACATTGGTTAAAGGACCACCAGTTCATGTTCAGCTTCAACAATCATCTGGTAGCCAGCTCGTTCAGCAGAGTTAATTTAATACGTGGAGGCTCTTTAATTATTGCTCGGAATAATCTTAAATTTAAAGAACGTACAGACATAGTGAGCCTGTCTGTTGAGCGAGTTGCTGAGATAGCATGTATTGAGCTTGAGCAGTTCATTTTATTGAGTGTATACAGGCCCCCATGTGCTTTATATGATACTTTTGAAAAAATCCTAGAAGATGTATTAATAAAAATATCTAATACTAATAAAACAGTTGCCGTCTGTGGAGACTTTAACATTAACTTATTAGATAAATCTAGTATTGTTAATAGATTTTTAATCTTATTGAAATCATATAATTTATATAATATTTTCCTTGAGCCAACTAGAATAACTGCCACCAGTGCCACTTGTATTGACAATGTTTTTACAAATGTGAAGCCAACTTTCTATTCAATTATTAATCTGTTAGATTCAGATCACTGTGGCCAGTTGGTTTCATTTACTAAAGACATTGTTAAAGCAAATCGAAAAAATGTTAATTTTGTTCCAGTAACCAGTTATCGTTTAGAACTTTTTAAAAATAATTTAAATGAAAAACTGCCTGGTTTGCCTTATCACAATAACCCTGACCAAGCTTACTCTTCATTATTTAACATGATTAATTCTCAGTTTAAGAAGGTTTTTACATCTAGATCAGTTTCTGTAAGTGATCGAGTTTTGTTTAGTGACTGGGCAACACCAGGTATTTTTAAAAGCAGAATAAGATTATTTGAATTATATAATGAAAGGAACCATGATTATAGTGAAAGGTTTAGGGAGTATGTTAAAAATTACTCTAAGACTTTTAAGGGAGCCTGCGCTGCCGCAAAATCTTTACACATTAAAAACAAAATACAATCTTCTGCAAACAAAATTAAAACTACTTGGAATATTATTAATTCTGAAATAGGAAGAACCACAGTTAAGAATAATGATTTTCATCTTAAAATTAATGATATAGATGTTAGGGCGGATTTGGAGGTGGCAACCGAGTTTGAATCTTTTTTCACTAATATTCCTGTATTAACAACTCAAACTTTGTTGTCGTCTTCCTGCTCCGCATACAACATACTTAAAGACTGTGTCGCAGAATGTGGGACAAGTTTTGAATTTACAGTTGTTAGTGCTAAGGACATTCTAGATGCATTTAAAGATTTAGAAGTAAAAAAGTCCACCGATCTTTGGGGGTTGTCAGTTCAAATAATATCCTCAATAATTGAATGTATTTCCCCATTTCTGGCAATTGTGTTCAACTCTTGTGTCGCATCTGGTGTGTTTCCGGACTTAATGAAGTTAAGCAAGGTGATTCCACTCTTCAAATCTGGTAGTACAACCGATCCTACGAATTTTCGCCCTATCTCAATTTTGCCTACACTGAGCAAAATTTTTGAGAAAAATAATTTTAAAGCAAATGCTAAAGCATTTTAACAGACAGAATCTTTTTCATTCCAAACAATTTGGATTTACTAAGGGTCGGTCTACTGCTGATGCAGGTGTGGAACTACTCAAAAATGTATTCGAGGCTTGGGAGAATTCACAGGATGCTTTAGGCATATTCTGTGACTTGTCCAAAGCTTTTGACTGTGTTTGCCATGACACACTTATCAAGAAACTACACCACTATGGCATTAGAAATAAGGCTCTTAGACTTCTCAGTTCATATTTAGACAATAGAATACAAAGTGTAGATATTAATGGCAAAAAATCAAAAGGATCTGTGGTAACTATGGGTGTTCCGCAGGGTTCAATTCTAGGTCCTTTCTTATTCCTTATCTATATCAATGATTTACCTTTTTGTGTAAGGGATGATCACAAAATCCTATTATTTGCGGATGACACTTCGCTTGTTTTTAAAGTTAAGCGTCAACTTGAAAATTTTGACCAAGTTAATTTGGCACTATCTAAGGTTGTCCATTGGTTTAATGTTAATAATCTGCTTTTGAACTCAAGTAAAACTAAATTAATAAAATTTTCTACGCCTAATGTGAGGCAGTTAAGCACCAATGTACAACTGAATGGAGTAGAGTTGGACCCTGTTGAGTCAACTGTTTTTCTTGGCATTACTGTTGACGCCAAACTACAGTGGGGCCCACACATTAACAAATTGTCTGGAAGGCTCAGTTCAGCTGCTTATGCTGTAAGGAAAATTAGACAAATTACTGATGTGGATACAGCCAGAATTGTTTATTTCAGTTATTTTCATAGCTTGATGACGTACGGCATTCTCCTTTGGGGAAACTGTGCGGATATTAATACAATCTTCTTATTACAAAAAAGAGCTGTCCGCGCTATATATAACCTGGGTCCTAGAGTTTCTCTCCGAGAGAAATTCAAAGAGATAAACATTCTGACTGTAACTTCACAATATATTTTTGAAAATTTACTTTATGTTCACAAAAACGAACCTGATTTTGTCAAATTGTCTGATCTTCACTCCCGAAATACTAGGAACAAAAATAATTTAACAGTTCATGCTACTCGCCTTCATAGAATAAGCAACTCGTTCATGGGTCAATGTATACGCTTTTACAATAAACTTCCTATGGATCGTAAACTTCCCTTAAGAAATTTAAATTTTTATTAAATCAAAATTATTAACTAAAGGATATTACAGGATATCCGATTATTTAAATGATAGAAACGCCTGGGATTGAGCTGCTCGCTTATACAGCTATCGCTTGTGTTTTTTTTAAGCTGTCTTTCACTTTTTTTTTTTTTTTTGCATGTTGTACATATTTACAATCTGACATGTCTTGTGCTTTTGCATATGCATTTTATTTTATTCTATTGACATGTTTGTGCTTAGTGCATATTCATTTTTTTACATTTTTTTTTCTCTACATTACTGACATGTTTTGTGCTTTTGCATACAATATTTTACACTTTGACATGCCAAGTGAATAATGTTTATATTACGATTATATTTTTCAATTTCATAATTTTTTCCTTGCTTTAAGGTACACCTTAAAAATACATTTTGTATCCATTGTAAGTGTAAACAATATGCGGGTATATCATAAACTCTTTTGCTTGATTTATAATTTGATACATTTTAGTATATAGTTATTTTGGGCTGGCGATCTGAGTGAGTTGTTGCCCCACATATTTTTATGGTGCCACTGGCGGTATTTCTGTGTACCGGGTTGTGCAGCTCCCTCAAAAATGGTTGAGCTGCACTATTCGGGGCATGCTTGCCGTCTGCTGGCACAGGCTTGCTCAGATCGATCTGGTTCTTTCTTCCAAAGACCAGTCCAGTAAATACTCTGCATTTGTTTACACCAATTTATTAATTTATTATTGTATTATCTGGACTATAAAAGAGACTAAGACCCCCGAGTTTGTTTCGACATTTCTTCTCAGGGCAGTCAGTTAGGAAATGTCGACTTCATCTAGTTTAGGATGACATTGTAAAAGTGATTTATATAGTCCTACTTGCAAGAATAAACTATTTCATTTCATTTCATTTACATTTGATGTAAGTCATAAAGTCCTTAGAAAACACGAAATTAAAACCAGATTATTGCGATATACTATCGACTCGATCTCACATATTATCCTCAACCGGCTCTTAGAAGCTTATAAGACATCGCGTCGCCA